GGCAGCATATGCAGTAAGCTCACCCGCTCCACTATTATGAGCATCGTAACTAACGCGAATCATTCAGTATCTATTTACTCTCCCTCTCATGTTCCAGGTGATCCTTCTTGACTCACCCAGCAAGGCTGGCACCCGACTGGTGATTCCCTGTCTATTCACCCCACTGGGTGGTCTTATAGCGGGAATCATCATGTCGCGCTGGGGCAGATTATCCTCCATTGTACGCGTCGGCGCAGCCCTAATGCTCTTCGGCAATGTGCTCGTCATGCTCCTCCGATTCAACGACTCGGGATGGAAGTATCTCGTCTATGTGATTCCCGCCAACCTGGGTCAGGGGATGGTGTACCCAGGGATCCTGTTCACATTCCTAGCAGCCTTTGATCACGCCGGTAAGGCACTTTCCCTATCCTTGTCGCTAGCCCATTACCCGGATCAGCGAGCGACCGAGCTATTTGCCAAGCAAGCCTGCTAACAATATCGTATCTAGATCACGCCGTCTCCGCCTCAACCGTCTACCTCATCCGCTCCCTCGGGAATGTTTGGGGCGTCGCAGTGACCTCCACCATCATGCAGAATACACTTAACTCAGGCCTCGGTGAGGCCTTGAGTGGAATACCAGACAAATGGAAAGTACAATTCCTTCGCCGTTTGATGATAACGAGCCGCTGAATAAGCCTTGCTGACCAATATACTCGCTCCCTCCTAGGTGATCGATGAGATCCGCCACTCAGTCTCGGCTATTTATGATCTTCCCCCGGATGTGCAATTAGCCGCTCGGCTGGTGTACTACCGCGGAATCAGACTCTCCTTCATGGCCTCCGCGATCTTTGCATTCATCGCGACCGTCGCTGCAATCTTCACTCGCGGAAAGGGTCTGGAGCGTGCGGGCGGCAAGTAACGAACATGCACCCGCACCCGAATGAGCCCCGCAAGGGAGTATAGGGAATAGGCGTGGTGTTCATGGTGAGGTCAACACACGCCTCGCGCAGACACGATTGATCGATTGATACGCGGCCCCGAACTCGCATGGGTCGGGAAAGGGACTCCCCGAAGAAATACATAGAGGTGGTAACTGGCGGAAATAGATCATGGCGATTGCATAGCCCAGAGTGCCGGTACTCAATGTGACAGACAGGTGGTAGATGTTGGAAGGATATAGCTTAGAATATAAAAAATGGCTATTTTAGAATACGAATATCAAGGCTGAGTCTTTCAGTCTGACGAAAATCTACTCCATATACAGTAATCTGTTAAGCCTGGAAACCGGAAGGCAATATATTTAAGTCATGCTCTGCATACGCAAACATCCTAGAATATTGACGATACATTAACTGGTAGTGAGCACAGCAATACTCAGATTCGGTAGCTTGAATGAGAACTCGCCCTTCTTGCCAGCCTTAATCTGGGTAGTCTTGCTGTTGACGATATTCGTCCCGCCCACCTCGTTCACCGAAAATGGATCTGGCGCAGTCAAGATGGTCAAGTCTGCCTTGGTTCCACGGCCGACACCCTCGAAGGTCAGTGATACAGGCACATCGGATGTGCTGTTGTATACTGCTGCCTTGAAGATGTGCGAGTTGGTCTTGCTGTTCAGACCTGTTGCATAGTACAGAGGACCGAAGTCGTCGGAGGAAGTGGATGGGAGGGTGTTTGTCATGAGGTTGTGGTTGAACAGCTATTTTCGCATCTCATGTCAGTGGATGTTACTTTGAAGGCCTGATAAGAGTTTAACATACGGTGTACAGGTGCCAACTAGTGGAGCGAGCTGTCTGGTCGGGATCGGAGTTGAACGAGAGGATGGTCGGGGACCATTGGTAGCTGTCCAAGTTCATCAAGAAGGGAGCCTATTGCTTTGTCAGTTCTCTTCTACTAAAACTTAAGTTGACACAACTCACATAGGTAGTTCCAATAATCGCGTCTGCGTTGCGCTCAGCACCAAGAAGGAACACAGCCTCGGCAATGGAGCCGATCCACCAAGGGTACAGACCGAAATGAGTGTTGCTCCAGTCAATGCCAACTCCGTTATTTGACTCAGTAACAGCAATCTCACCTTGATGCGTGTTAGTTCATATCTCGCAGGTATACTTATTGACTTACCAAGCAAAATAGGATGCTCGGATGTATAACTATCGAACATGTGGAACTTGCTGACGAAGTTATCCGGGACATCATACAAATGGTAATCACCACCTGCATTTCCAGGAATCGTGATATCTATAGTAGATGCAAGGACCTGGATATCGGGGTACTTGGCCGTAATAGCCTCGTAGAAGGCCGAGAACCTGTAGGACTCGTACGATGCCAGACCACTACTCAGCATATCCTCATTTCCAACCTCGACATACCGAATTGTCCAGGGTTCTGGGTGTCCAACCTTGGCACGCAGAGCGCCGTACTCGGTATCAACAGAGCCAGTCAAGAACTCGATCTCATTGAGGGCATCTTGCACATAGAAATCGAGATCTGCCTCGGGGACAACTTCTCCGTTCAGAGCGAGTCCAGCCCAAACCGCCAGGACTAGACATATTTTGTCAGCTATGTAAGCAAAATATGGCGAAATAATGTACTTACTAGGCTCCATTCCAAGATCGTCGCACCACTCCATATACTCAACCAAGCCTAATCCAAGGGTCTCTTGGTATTGCCAAGTGGTTGCGCGACCAGGTCGGTCTGTGAGTGGTCCAATGGTTTCGTTCCACTTCCAGCGTCCGTCGATGCTGTCACCCTCGAGGTTATTTCCACCAGGGAAGCGGAGGAATTTCTATCAAGATTATTAGCATCCCGGATCATTGCGCTTTTCCGAGGCAATAGTAAGATTTTGACTTACGGGGCCCATATCGGCCATGGCTTGCATCAAGTCTTTCCGCATGCCATTGGGGCGATCATTCCATGTGGGTGGGAATAAGCTGATCAGATTAAAATCAAGTGAGCCATTCGATGCGCTCTAGATGGAATTAGCTGAGGTGCATAGCAAGTCCCCTATCCCAAATCTTACCGAGCCATCGAAGGTCAGGGAGAACGTATTCTTGGTATCGGAAGCCTTTGCTTTGGGAGTAAGAACAAAATCATGCTGCACCCAGTCATCTGCAACACTCTTTGAAGCAATCTTAGTAGTGGCCAAAACTTCGCCGCTGGACGAGAGGAGAGAAGCCGTGAAGGAGCCCGAGTAAGAGCCTTTCACATAGAATGACCCAGTATACTTCTGAGGACGGACGTCAATTCCCCAGAAACCCGCATTAGTCAACCCAGTTGTGCCAGTACCCTTGACATTGATTGAAGTTGGAAGGGCAGTAGACAGTGGGTCAGTGAGGTTCTTTAGGGACAGCGATGAGTCCCCAACACCAGACCAGGCGTCCAATGATGAAGGGAACTTTGGACTTCCTTGGAATGCTCTGTTTCGGATCAATTCAGCATAGAGACCTCCTTCGCCACAATGGTTGATTTCCTAAACCTTGAATTAGATCCGATAACAATTGACACGAAGCTCATCCTACCTCTTCCATTGCACCATATTGCAGACCTGATGTAGCATTGCCTCCAGATTTTGCTACAGAAATAGTGACCGCGGCACCATATGACGCCAAAAGCGGCAGAAGAAGATATTTGTGCAGCATTTTTCGTGTTTAGTCCCAATTAGCCAATGCTATTTGAAATTCAGGGAGTCTGAGTAAAATGCGCGCTGTAACGGATATTTATATGGAGGAAGCTCAATCTCCCAGCGAGGAGTGCCCTGCCGGATAATTACCTGCGCTCCTCATTGTACTCCAATTGACCCGGATGGATCGAGGTGACACCTAAGGGTCATAACATTATGTCTTCCTTTGGGCAGAACATCTGCCGACACCTACTGTAAGACCGAGGTTTTGTTCCCAATGAAGTAAATCTCCATGAGGGGTTCGAGGGCCATGACTGGATCTCTTCCTTTGCACAAAACAATCTGCCGAATCGACCGCAATACCGATACTTCATTCCCAATGAGGTAAATCTCCACGGGGGTGCATGGATCAAGACAGATGCAATATGTATACACCGCCTAGGGGAGGTTTGGTGCGAGTAAGGCCAACGTGTATCGTAATGGTGTGTTCCTTGCGTGGGCGATGCAATACCGCTGCAGCATCTTGGCAGGAAAGGTGCCGAGGCTTATTCCTGCAAGTAATTTCCGGCTCTTCGTGTTGATTCGAGAGCGAGCACCGCACAAGAGACGCGTCTACCTTGGCTGCAGTTGAGGGGTAGTTGGTCACGGCCATGACTGAGGATGTGAGTTGTGATTGACGGGTAAATCCAGCCTTTCTCCGCAGATCCTCCATTCTTCCCCGGACTGTGCCTTTCCCCCGGTTTTTTGCCTGCTCCTGGATGTTTCCATTGTGTCTTGCAGAAAATTTCTATGTAGCTTTACATTTAGCTAATAATTCGCGAATAAAAATGGGGTTGGAGTGTTGAGAATTAGGATTAGAATAGCCGCTTGTTATACGTAATGGTGGTAGAGTGGTAGTTAGCTACACCAAGTATGAAAGATTTATAATCTGATTGAATTCAGAAATATCGGTGATAGACCCTATTCCTGTAGTATTAATTGTACATGTAAAGCTCTTGCAAATAATAATCTCGCTTGGATAAACAACTGGTCTTCCATGACATTGGTATATATGGATGTGGTATCAACCTATTTGTACATTGAAAGGTAATCATGATCAGACCTGATCTTTCTCTATCCTGAAATGGCCGCCTGAAAGATCAATTCCAGCTGTCCCACTTCAAGTTATGGGTGAACATCTGATTCAGTAAATCGTGGACAATATGGCCATGCTTTCCCCCCGGATCGGGAGTAGACATCGGCAGACGAAAAAGACAACAAACGGAAAACAAGAAACATCAGGGAATTAGCGATAATGAGTGATTGCTGCTGCGAGTGTATCCTCCCGGGGATCATGGAAGAAGGGAACAGTATGATGCGCACAGCCAGATATCCAACCGGACACCATTGCTATCTCAAAGGATCCTTAGAAGACAGTACCCTTGACCTGGGCGATCTCCTTGAGATTGAGGTTTTTGATCAACATGGTCCAAATGATGGCCAGACCCATGATACCCACACCAACCGAAAGCATAATGACTTCGGAATAGCCGTAAGCGGCCTGGATAGCCAGTCTGACCTCGCTCCCCATGGGATAGCTAGTCTGCACTGTGATGTCTTCGTAAATGTTGTCCAAGTTTGACAATTCAGACGCTGGGAGGTATCTCGCAAGAGCGCCGGGGAAGGTATTAGTCCAGATAGCTGTGCAAATAGTGTAACCGGCGGAGTCGCCGATAGTACCAACAACGTTCAACAAAGCCAATGCAGCAGCGACGTGTTGATGATCTACGGCAGCCAAAATAGAAATCTGCTCGACGATAATAAAGATCGAACCGCCGATCGAAATGAAAATCTGGCACATAACCTGGTATCCGACGCGCATACCAGGCTTACGGAAATAGATCATCAATCCCTGAGCAAAGATGTAAAGGGGAACAGAGATGTATAACAACCACTTGAACCGACCGGTCTTTCGGATAGCCCAGCCGACGAAGAAGAGTAAGACACCGGACACGACATCGAATGTGTTATTCACGTATCCAGCCTCGGCAATCGTTAGGCCGTTGACCACCTGGAGGAAGGAGGTGAAGTAGTTGTTCCAGCAGTAGAAGGATAGCTGATAGGTGGCATCCAGAAGACAGGCACCGACAACGGTTCGGTCGGTGAGGAAGGTAATGTTGAGCAAAGGCACGGGAGCTATCCAATTTTCGTAGATGGCGAAGAAAAAGAGCATCGAGAACCCGACAGCAAGCATGGCGATGATATAATCCGAGCCCCAGCCATTGGGTGCTTCACTTGCGATATCGAAAGGAAGTTCGAAGATGACTAGTCCACCAGTAAACATGAAAACACCAGGCACTGTTCGAGATTAGTGTCTGTTTGAAGAAGTAAATGGTTGAAATTGGGAAGTCTTGTCGATAATGTCCGACCGGCGGGATATGTGCACCGAAATGATAGAGAAAGGTAATACTCACAATCAAACTGCATAGTCCAATACCAGACACCTTGCAAAAATGTGCGACCACTTTTTTCCTTGATCCGATGACCTTCCCTTTCCGCTTTGCGGAGAGTGGTCTTGAGGATGAAGTACAAAGGCGCCGCCACAATGGGGAAGATGATAGCCCAACAACCCAGGCCCCATCGCCAGCTGACCTGGTAGTAGAACTCATCTGCTACCTTTGCTCCGGCAAATGCAGTAATAATGTATGGTGAAGAAGTGAAGGCATACGCGAGGCCTCGGTTCTTCAGTTGGGAGGCATCGGCGGTCACCACATCAATGGAGTATTCCATGCCGCTGAATCCGAGATTGTAAAAGACCTAGTACTCGACCGTAAGTATGTGCAAAGGAGGTTCGTTCTGAGGAGTATCTCAGAATAAATGGCAGTCTTACATATCCAGTACAGTAGATGGCAAAACTGTTGCAAGAGGCCAAGAGAATCAATCCCAGTGTAGCGAAACATGTCATCAGCAAAAACCCCTCTGCACGGCCCCAGGTATCCATCATCTTTCCGACGGGGATATAACTTGCTGCCGCAAAAGCATCGGCAAGCGCAACAGGCACACCAGACAGTGAGTGAGCCGAGAAGGAACTGGACACGTAAGGGCTCAAGCTGGAGAAGACTGAAGATTGGAAGGCGTTGACAAAATATAGGAACCAGATACTATAATCGACTGCTTTAGCAACTGTTCAAGCTTAACTATTGTCTAGGGAAACGGCTTACTTGATAAAAACCAGAGCCAAGGTTGTCTTGGACCAGGTCAAGGTGATGGCCTCAATATCGCGGACACCATGTTGGAGGTCTTCCCCCGGCATATCCGCCTGTTGAAGTTCTGTGTCGGTGGCAGGATCTATCTTGCTTGGTTGGATTCCATCCGCTGGGGGAGGTATGTCGGTTGAGCTTGCAGCGTCAGAGGCCGCCATACGGCTGAAGACCGTTCGGGCCCTTCGGATCAAAAGACGGACGCCCATATTGAAGAGGTAAAATTAAACAAGCGTTCAGTACAAGATTGGAAATAATGGGGCGCCCGTTGCACTTATAGTATACAAAGTCCCGAGATCGGCACAGTTCGGATGGGACACCGAGACAGTGAAAAAAACACGCGGTGTCGTGACCCGCATAGCAAAATCGGCCTTTGGCCTCTAGCGGTGATTTGGTGAAATTAATTATATCCACTCATCAGCGCATTCCAGGGCTGCTAGCCTAGGGCTTGCCCCACCGGCAAATCACAGCGAAACAGGGCAGATCTAATCAGATGTCGCCCTCATCTTATCTAGCGAGCGCTAGGCCCGAGCGGGTAAGCGTCGACCACAATAAGCTTTGCAGCGTCGGTCTCAAGCTTCGCTTGGCCTCTTGGCTGCAAGAATCCATATTAACTGTGGATACTCCCTCGTCTTCCGGTCATGAATCATGGAATTGCCTCATTTGTCTCGCTTGGTTGGGAGATTGATAATGAAAGTGGTCGGCACATCCAACGGTCCCTGCCGCTGATTGGTCCACGGGCCCATTACCCCTTATAAACTCGGAAAATCTCCATGAATCAGAGTCGAGAGTCGTGCAAATCAAGATTGGTTCGGGGTGTGGCAACCGAATATAGCAAAGCGCTCGGCGCAGCCCTCGTTTAGGAAACAATTTCGGATCACAGGCTAACTACTTATTGACCGTCCGACGGCTCGCGGGTGGAGAACGCGGTCATAGCGAAATTTCAAAGGTTACGCATAGAAAACGTGAGAAAGGGGAGACGATATATAGCAAAAGGACAAGTAAAAAGACTGCTGTCGAGCTAAATGGATTGTGTTGTTCCCAAAGAGAGACGGCGCAAGTTCGGCCGACTATTTTGGTCTTCTGGTTCCAGCTGGAAGGTTACTTAATTGAATTACATAATTGGCTCTTGCTGCCCAGTGGCTGACAAGGATTTATGTGACCGGCAAGGCTCGAGAGCAGCGGCGACTCCGAAGATATAAAAGCAACTCGCCTGAAGACTTCTTTATATACCACGAAATATATATTTTACTTCCTATTTACATTCGTATCTTCAACTATTACAGGATGAGGTTCACTTGAGAGCAGTGAAAATGTATGACAGTCATACAAAGAAGACCCTAAGTTCTTGTGCCCTTAAAGATGATTGGGAGACTTGTCGAGATCATGCTGTCGTAGGATTCCTTAACTTGCTGACCTTCAACTGATGATCTGAGTTCTCCATTCGGGATCTGCCCGTTTGCGGGCATATCCTTTATGGCTTTTTGGATTTCACGCAGGAGGAGATCATTTCTTGGCTGCCACGCATAATAGAGGCCATACACCTTGACTTTCGGGTAAGGGCTTCTTCGGTCTATTATCATATTCGCCTAAACACGAGAAAAACATCTGCCCATGAAGGAATTGAATGCTCTTGTACCACAATTTTAGTGCATGTATCAGCGGAGTACAGCAACGAGAAACTTGCTTCGACTTCGTCATCCACTGCTCCACAGATACGTATTGAGCCGAGTAACTCCGTGATCTAAGCCATAGCGTTGCGCGCTAAACCGGACGTACCTTTTCTCGGGGCAACTGCATCTTTGCGTAAACAACCATGTAGTTGATCCGTACGCCATTGTCTGGAGAATTGAGGGATACTCACATCCAATAATGGAATTTGGATCTCAAGGGCCTCGGTTAGCAATGATCCGGCCCCTTTATGCTGCCATCCGTCCGTATATATACTTGCCATTGTTACCATGACCATCACCGTTCTGGGATTGGCCGATCCGATGACCTTTCTGTAGATATGCAGTACTAGAATGGCTAGCTCTGACACATCCAAGAGTATCCATGGGACCAGCAATCCATGAACAGGCAACCTATAGCATCAGTCGTCTCAAATGAGCCCACACTAAATGCTTTGATATGATGTGGGATAACATTCCTGCAAAGCTCTGCAGACTTGTGGTGTTCAAAAGCGTGTGCATAGCCGATACCGGTGCAGAGCCCGGACAGCTTGGATGCTATTGAAGTCTCTTCTGCGGTTTTTCCAGTCCTCGCTTATTTTGATTGCCTTCTCCGGCTACCCTTGCCATGAACAGCCAATCGCCACCCAATCAAGATCCTAAATAGTCCATGCGCTTTCGGGGCCAAAAATCCTCTCTGAAATTTTGACACCCCCGGTGAGAAGTTTTCTAGCTTCTTTGTATCTTCGATCAGTCATTTGACATCTGGCTAACTTGAACAAAAAAACGCATCCTCGGAAGATGGGTCCTCTCCTACCGTTAGATCAAGGACCTGGAGTGCATGAGGGACACATACTCACCACTGGCTCATAATCTGCCACATCAGTAAAGGGGAACCAGGCATCTAGCCCACGTAAACCATCCAATTGACTTTCGGAGGATGTCTACTGATTGCAGCCAGTTTCTTGCAAGATGAACTAAGCGATGCATATCAAGGCAAGAATCTTCATGCGTGGCACGTACAAAGCAAAAGGAGCTGAGAACACCGATCACCTTTTTCTGTTCGACATTGGACGCCGGCGGAAGGGACAATATCGGAATATCCTTCTCTTTGATACAGGCCAGAAAGCAGAGAGAGATAGTCGGCAGCGGGAGGATTTTGTCGTCGAATTCGCTCAAATTATGTGACCCATGTGGTCACGACAGGGTTTCGAATGCTTTTGCATCGACCTCAAAGTCCTGGCTCAGAAGATCGATGGCACTCTGCTCTTGTCCGACTAAAAGCTTAACATAGCTAGCGATTGTCATGCTGTTCTCGTTGATAAATGAAGCTGCTTGCACACTAGCCAAAGGGACACAAGTCAATTGCTCGAGAAGCTCTGGGCTATTTTCAGTATCGTAAAGGAATTCCTTGTCAATCAAGGAGTTGCGCAATACATGAGTAGCTCTTTGCTCGTCCATTTCGGGAATTCGAATGACGTTGTTGGGTAAGATGTTGAGCTACTTTGTTGCTTCGAGTACTCTGTAGTGAAGACGATGACGCCTTGGTCACTCCTGGGGAGGTAATTTTTGAACCCTCCAGTTGTTGAATTCTTGCTTTCAATCCACATATCAATATTATCGGCATTATCAAGAATTAACAGCCATCGTCCAGCGGTTGGCCTGCTCAGGGATCTCTGAGACGGCTCTTTACATCCTATCGCGAAGGCCGATTGCAAGCTGATCGGCCACCGTCTGGTATGTCTGTTGGAGACTCCATATCCACCGCAGAAAGCCAAAAAATAGCACAATCTAGATAGATCTCTCCTGTTTGATACGTAGCTTCAAGGCAATCTGTGTTTTGCCAAATGGCGATTCTTTCGGTTCGATGCTTGGTAACGTTTTCCCTTTACCTCATTGCTTTATCGGGCCATGAAGCTACGCTGGGTAGCTTGGGGTTTAGTCGCCATTCTGACCAATGTCTTTGAAAGAAACTTGAGCAAATTGTCATTCGTGGGGACTTATGCGTGATCGCCAGTTCCAACAGACACAAGATTTGTCAAGCTGAATGCTTGACAGGAATGGATACTTTGAGACTATTGAAAGTTCAAGATCGCCAGTTTGAGCACAAAAACAGAGATTAAGCATTAGACGATCGTCGGCATATGGTGTAACAATATTTGGATATATCCAATGTGATAATGGATATCTTGAGTGCATTTCAATGCATACGCGCATGTATCTGAGCAACGGATAATTATGTATGTTGTAAGATCTCAAATAAACTCTTGAACGCAATGAACGAATACTTAAAGCTAGAATTGACCGGACTGGAGTATTTCTCCCAGAGCAATGAAAGCCCAATGCAACAGACACAAAGGAGATTATTGGTATTCAGAAAGCGCAGTGTTCTGTCCTGGAATGTTGTGGGCATATCGAAAAATCCCAACGCCTGCAAGAAGAAAGGTATCGTCGATGTCATGGGTCATGGAGTTTAGCAGCACTCGTCGCAGCATTCGCAGCAATCGTCGAGGGCCAAGCAACAGCACATCGCGGCCAGACTGAAAGAAAAGAGCTCAGATTAGTGTTGTTCCCACCTTCACCGACAATATGGTTACTTACCAACCCATGAGACATCCCCGGTCAGATTTTTGTTCTTGAGGCTGTTGAGGTGGAGGAGGAGCTTGGTTTGGGTATTGCATCTGTTTATCGGTAAGTGTGTGTGGCTTGGGTGGTTAATTGTCAACACTTACTCCACCAGGCTGGCCTTGGGCGTACTGAGGGTACTGGCCTTGCGGGTACTGGCCTTGCTGGTCATATCCAGGCTGCTGGTAGTATCTGCATTTGCAAGTTGATCAGCACCATGTCCAAAGTATTGACCAAGACATGAGCTCGCCGCAGACCAGGCGACAACTTTTGCGGTCGCAAAGCGTACAGAAGCCGATCGGTCTCGGTTTCGGTATCGCCAATGGTTGGTCCTGGCAAGACGGCGAAAATCGAGTTCTGGGCTGATAGGTGCTGACTTACCCCGGCTGAGGGCCAGGCGGAGGGGGTCCATATCCTTGCGGAGCGCCAGGCTGGTACCCATACGGAGGCTGCTGCTGCGCATAAGACATGGCAGCGGGAGGTAATCTTCTAAAATCGAGGTAGAACGAATCAGCGACTGATCACAATCAACATTATACAACATCAAAATTTGCGACGCCTTTGATGAGACCAGGGTCACAGTGCATGAATGGCTACCACAGCAGCTAAATCCACGTACCTGGGATAAGGCGAAGACAGAGATTGGTCGAAAGGGGGAGGCTGTGATGAGCCAAAATAAGCGATTGAAGAGGTGGAAAGAGATGAAGGTGAAGATGCGAAGATGTGAGATTAAGAGTGTCAGAAAGGAGAAAAAGGCAACTTACTTTCTCGAGGTTGTATTGCAGGTAAGAAGGAAATTGTCGGGGTACTTGAGAGGTACCTGACCGGTGCGCCCGATAGGGGCATTTGGCCGCCAAGACTCCAGGGCTGAGGTACCTTTGAAGTACCTTTTTGTCTCTCCTCCTTTCCCCTGCTTCTCCACACGGGCCGATTTGCTAGTAAATATTGATTCTTGGCCCTTTTTTGCTTCTATCTCGGTGCTTGAGACATTTGCAGGCGAATACTTCTATTTCCAACTAGCAACAATCGGATTACTAACATCGCAGTACCTCAGACATACCCATCGGCCCTTAGGCCACAGTATCACCTAAGTTCTACCAGCCACAGTTCTGCCAGCCCTATCGCCAACAAAGGCCGTCAGCCACGAATTGCATCCCTTGGGCGGCATTCCATTGGCTGAGGATCGGCCACCGGGTCACACCGGACTCCACTCCCGGCGATGGTCAGCCACTCACAGTCCGTGTCTGACTCTTGGCACTCACCGCCGGTATTGTTGCTGCCTGGGCAGTACCCGGTACCTGCATCCTCATACCACGCAACACTCTGATGCTTGTACCTGCTACAAGTACAGGGCTGAATACAATTGCAACGGTGTACCTGCAAGTGCCATTGATTATCAAAGATCACCTTCTTACTGTCAGTACGCCCTGTGAGAATTGGTCTCCACCGAACGCTCCACCGAATGCCAATGCCAGTATCACACGATATACAAAGTCGCCAAAGAAACAAGATATAAAGCCAAAAGATCGAACCCCTAAATCCCAGAGACCATTAACCACAGCCCAAAGTACAGTACACGAACTCGATCATACAGTGCTTTGGACAAACTGTCGTAAAAAAACCCAGTGGCAAAATGAAGCAGACTACGATTGCTCACTTGAGATATGAATCAGTATCAGGCGTGCAGGATGCCTGCGAACCGGATAATGAGGAATCTTCCGACTCATCGATGTCGAGGTCGAGATCAAGATCCATCTCAAAATCGAACTCAAACGGAACATCGGGAAACTCGGGGAATTGGTCAGACTCCTTCAGCGGAGCGGACTCCACAACATAAGGAGGCTGACCCTCAACCAGGCCACAAGCAGCAACAGCAAGTTGATACCCAGGGTCCCTAGTCGAAAGATGCGTGGGATTCCGAATCAGAAGCTTCGAGTTGGTGCCATCGCCAGTCGCCTCGGTGACTTCCTCTGCGGCAACCATCCAATGTTTCAAAACATCCATGCCGGGCTGATTACCTCCGCCCTTCCCGCCGCGCTTCTCGCTATCTTTCCCGCGGCCCCCGCGGCCCCGCTCACAGGGATTGAAATGCGTGCGGCGCAAATGTGCAGCCGCGTTGTAATTGGCACCGTAGCGCTTCCCATTGCGACAAGCCTTGCAATTTGCAAGGAAGTACTTGCCAGGCGAGATATCACGGCAGACCCAGACCGTGCGGACGGAAGCGTGCACGCGCTCGATATGGCGGCGCAGCTCGTGCTCGCCGTGGAACCCGTCCGGATGGTCCGTGCAGATGCGGCAGTATGTCTTTGGTCGTGGCGGTCGTCGCACGGAGGCCTTGGGGATAGCGGCGACTTCCTTTGTTGTGCCGTCTGCTGAGGAGATGCGGACCATCTTGTGGTTATCGATCTGGGACATGCTGCTGGCGACAGACTCGACCTTTGGAGCAATGCGGCGCGTGGCTTGGGCGATTTGCTCTTTGGTGCGTCGCACAGCCCGGGAGCGCTGTGAGGCCAGGGTATGGCCGTCGATGCAGTCGAAGAGGAGGCGATTGTGGGGCATTGGGTAGCGAGAGGAGGCGGCTGGGGGAGCAGATGCCGAGAATGGTAGGTTGGAGAAGGACGATGGGTGAGAGAAGGGAGAATGGGAGAATGGGGAAGACGATGTGGGATCTAGGTCAGGGTACACGGGGGAGAGAAAGGAGTCTTGATACGGCAGGCCGGAGGTAGGAGGCACCCAGTCCGGCGGGACGGAGTCGGTCGGTTCTTGATACTGAGCTGGTCCGGTCGAGTCGAAGCGGATCATGTTGATTCCACCAACTAAGGAGTCGGCGGTCGTGCTGCGGGACATCTCCGGCGCAGCTGCTGGGGCCTGGTCGGTCCAGGGGGGCGTCCGGTCAGGGTATTGAGGGAAAGGTCCGGGTTGTCCATGATTTGCGAGTCCGAAAGTCAACGCCGAGTCACAGGGTTGACTGGGAGGAACGTCCAAATACTTTGCGAAATCGGATGGCGAAAATTCGTCGACATGGTCGAGGCGATGGGTCCGTACCAGGCCGAAGGATTGACGTTTACCTATGGCGGCACCGGTGGGGTGGTGCTGGTGGGAGACCGGTATTTGCTGGCTCTGGGAGCGCACCATCGGCGTGTGTCGGTAGGAGTCTTGTCCCGCGAAGGCAGCGCCGTTCCGAGGTGGGTCTGCGGGGCAGGCGTAGGAGAGGTCGCGTGGGCAATCGACTGAGAGATCCGGGGTCTGCCAATTGTCAATCCAAGGACGAATGGCGGTTGAAGTGAGGAGACGCGAGCGCGAGGAGAAGGCTGGAGCAAGTAACCAAGGTCACACATACGGTGGCTCTCCGTTTTGCCTGAGGAAGACCCAAATCACAACATGGCAACGTCCGTGGTGTCGCATCCTGTCGATTCCGTTTCCCCAGGCTCCCAGCTGGCTGCCAGTTGGAATCCCGGTCGTTGGTCGGGATGAACTGACTCAGCCGTTCAATCCAGAGCTGATTTCGTTCATCTTCCGGGAGGTGGGAGTGTTGGACCAAAAACGCCTCGTGGTATCCGGAGATGGCACTGGTGAACAGTTCGTCATCCAGATTGACAGTCATGGCGCAATGGGTTCCTCGCAATGGCCGGGAAGTAACTGTCTATCAGCAATAAAATGGATGGAGAAGGGTGGGTTGTATTCTGCGAATAGTTAGCGCATGCTTTGCGCGAGAGAATAGGTAAGAAATGCGTACGTAGAACTGAAGCGCAATAGTAATAAAAAAAATTAAGTCGAAGCTGCGCGGGTGGAAAGCTGAGCTTATCAATGCAATCGTCGAAGATCTGCGTTGCGATGAATGTACCACGGTCTGCTGTATAGTGAAGGATAAAAACAATTAGACAATATGGCAAGTTGGGAGAAGAAGCAAATGCAGATTGGGCCGACGAGTAGATAAAAGAAGACAAAAGTTCTGATCGACGATGAAGGACACTCCCCACAAAGAGAGATACGAGAATTGGCAAGCAGAGACTACTCCGTACTATACTCCGTGCTCCCAGAAACGTGGAAGCCGGTGATCGGGTCTGGACCCTGAGATGTTCGGGTAGTCATGTATTTCTCTTTCCGGTAATTTTCTGCTTTTTTAATAAAATATCATGGCCGCAAAGTTTATCCGTGGCGAGGTCATCAGCAAGCCCATGTCCCAGAGGCATGCACCCGGGTAAGAGGGCCGACACCTGCTAGAAGCGAGATCCTGCTGGGTGCGAAGCTGCAGACGGCCGAGAACGAAAAGGAACTAAAAGTGAGGCAGCGAACCGGATCACCCCGAGAGTGGTCCGAGCCAGCAGATGCGTCCTTGCTTACGAAAAGGTGACCTGATACATGTAAACCGGGGTACATGACACCATACATATAACCAAGTCACTGGCCCCTCAAGTAGCAAGCGCCTACAGCGGGAGCATGAAAGAAACTACAAAACCCCTCCGTTTTCCGGTCCAGCACCGCCATACTCCGAAACAACCCCCTAGGATCCATTTGCTACGGTCGGACCAAGAACTGCCACGTCGTCTGGCGTGGCAGCTGGGGCATCCTGCAGATGACGCTGTTTGGCTCCCTAGGTCAGCGCCCAATGTCCGATCGAGATGACTAGCAAAGGATAATAGCGTGATTAATGAGGAAGTACAACATAGCCGAGGAAATAGAGTGTCGAACGGTTCGATTCACGTGTTACCGTGTTACCGTGGGTCGTTGCAAGGTTCCCGCCGCAGTCCCACGGTTCATGTTTATGCTTGTCAGGGATGGCCCCTATCAAATATACAACAGGGTGTTCTCATATGTTGTAGTCGATGTTCCCAATTATGGTCTCTTTCATGCCTGTCTACACGCTATCGATTGACCCCTCCGATACGCCGTATCGAGACTATTCGGGATACACGAGGTTAGTGGTGACTAGTACAGAGGCTCCACGGTCTGAGGTGGATCGGTCTCCTGATCGGATAATGGTTGGACATTTATTGATCCGCTATGATGTTGAGCGTTGGCGACTATGTTGTGCCGGCAATAGATTCCTTACATTATAGAGCGGCAATCTCGGGCTCATCGAAAATGGACTCCGTACCTCCCTCCGCGATCACGTCGATCTGTTTCAGGATAGCTCTTAGAGTGAACACAACATGGCCACGGAGCAATCTGTATGGGGTAGTCAATGAGGATCGCCGGCTAGACATTCTTGCACCTAACAGGAAATTCTTCACCGTAGTATTTCGTACTTCATACAACATTGTAAATTTCGACGATGGATCATTTTTCCTATCCCGAGACAGGCGGGATCACTCCCGTCGAATGGGCGAATTTCGGTTTGATCATCTATCGCCTACATACATGATAAGCTAAGAGTCCTCCCCACATTCGACACGAATTTGCTCTCACCGTCAACTCAAATCCTTGACCGACTTCGTCATTCTACGGGGAGAACGGATTGACAGGGTACGGGGCTCTTGCGTGATTACCTGCGCCATGTCAAAGCTCGTGGCTCTGCGGGTGTTACATGGCCCAGACGCTGATAAGTCTGCCCCTGCATTAATGCTAGCTTTTAAGCTGATGCCTGCAGTCAGAGGTTGTCTCGGGTCCGACTAGAAACCCATCGATGAGCCACCTTTCAGCCACCTTGGATGATAGGCTGTAAATTCCTGGTCGTGTGCACGGGACAAGTCATTCTAATGCATTGCATTGGAATGGGAGAGCTATACGGAATATTGATTTAATAAGTAAGCTCGTGCCTAAGTCTCAGCTGATGATATTGACTAATGATATTGACTCCCCGAGCGTAGTATTAATTCGTGATAGAACGGCTTGAGAACCCATATCCTCCAAGTTAACGCCTTTCAATTCGTATACTTCGCACCCACAGTCCGCCCTCCCTGGATTTAAACGTATAGATGCAGCCTGCTTCCCCATGTCGATCGCGTGACATGGGACAGCTCGGCCGATTTGCCGACAAGCGATAGAAGAAAGCGAGCCGGCTCCAATAGTAATAGATCCCAGACGCCGAATGAGTTGAGCTGGGCTGCAGTTTCATGACTCGGGGAAAGCATAGATCGAGCTTCCATGCAAGTTCCGTGGCCTGGTTTCCAAGCAGGCGAGAAGTTTGTGTCAGTAGGTTCATTTTCTTTGCCTACTAGCATGATTGGTGTGCTTTCTGCATATCGCTGCGCCTCCAGTGTAGGACGCGTCCTTCGAGGCTCTTAGGCTCTTCCTCTAAAGGAGCGTGGATATATATTTCTGCAGCCTACTATAACACAGGGACACCTGGTGCTTATTTGAGTGGATACGAGGAACTATTATAGGTGTGCACTATCCGTCTCGTGTGCTTGTGACCACACTCACAGAATACAATATATATCGGGCTGTTGTTGGGTACTCTCAGGTAGTAAGGGATTATTCATCCCATACGGGTGTAGAATCTTTGTATTTCGGCACTTCCGCCAAGACCAGTCCAAACCGTTATCAATAACACTCCCATGATTGGATTACTTGATGATCTCGTGAACCAACTGGTATCGAATTGCTAATAATAGGGAAAGTGCCCGAAGTGCGAGAAGTGCCTAAAGACGTTTAAGTTGACGTTACTAAAACCTGCTTCTTACCCAACTCTTCATAAAGTCTATAGCTTAGTTAGTGGGTAGGCATGCTGATCATGCTCAGACCTTGGCCCCGAAGATGATGTTTGATAAACATGTGACAGGTAACTATAGCCATGGCTGGCGCATGTTCTTGAGAGATGTCAGGTTGCTGTTCACGGAATAGACCTGGTGTTCCAGACTGAACCCGAACAGGTGAAACCAACCAGAATATTCCAGGATACTTGGATCTCTGGATCTGACGTCAAGTTGCCACACTGGGGTCCTGGAAAGATAGCAGTTGGACATGTGGAACGGCTCGTGTGGAGAGATGTACTCGACTGAGGGGATTGGTATACATCATAGACCAAGTACAGCTACAGACATATATAGGGGGAGAACCCTCTGAAATCGAGAGAGCATTCATCTGCACGTGATACCCACCAAGCCACGTCATAACAAATCCCCTAGGGGGTAAATAAATTATTTTTCTCCTGTAGAAGCTCAATCCAAGAGGAAAGACAAGACTAACCCCTGAATGAATTCAGTATTCCTTCCATAAGACCCTATCTCTCATCCTCAACACCCATTAATTACACCATCAACACCACAGCTCCAACATGTCCGACTCAACCCTCTACCTCTACACTTCCCTGACCGCGGGGTCGTCGCACATTATCACAGCGACCTCCAGAATTGAGACAATCCTCAAAGCGAACAAAATCCCCTTCCGCGCCATTGATGTCGCCACCGACGACGCTGCCCGCAAGCTCTGGGGCCGACGCTCCAAGGGCAAGAAGATTCCAGGATTGGTGAAATACGGCGATATTGTGGGAGTATGTGACAGCCCCTTGCATAGATGCCGATTTCACGCAGTTCTGTCGTACCAATATACCAGGAACACCGCTAACCCCAGCGACTTGTAGGATCTTGAAGAGATCGAAGAATGGAACGAATTCGGAGAATTGCGTATGGTAGTAAACAGCGTCCAGGACCTAGGTGGAATGCCACCCACCAGCTATCCTCTCCCGGCGACCGAGCCCAAAGCCGAGTCGACACCAACTACCCTCAAACCCTCCACGATCAAGATCCAAAACCCTCCCGTTACCAAGCATGAAGACAAGAAAGACGATATGACCGTGCTGGCCCTGCGCCAAGCTAGCTCGGAGGCTGCCGCCAAGGCGAAGACCAAGTCAGACGATAAGAAAGACGCGAAAGCACAAGCTACAGGGGTACCTGTCGCCAGTCGCGCGCACCGCGGCTCGGTGGCCCCCGAATTGCCCGACACCGCGCCGGAATCATCACAGGCCACGAGACGTCCGACCCTAGTCCCCGAACAAGCGGCCGTATCCTCGGCAAACTTCCACGCAGATAACGCAGAGATGCTCGGATTGGTTGGACACCATCGCTCGTCCAGGATTCCAACACTCGACAACGCGGAGCAAGACAAGACGGTGCATGATATTAGGCAGTCCATCTCTGCAGAGCCGACGGGCAATATTGATGCTCTGCGCAAAGAGGCTGCGGAAAAGGCGGGGAAATCGAAGTCCCCATCGATTAAGGAGGTGCCAGTTGTTGATGATGTGGCCGTCGAGAATAAGGAAGAGCTCATGGAACCCAATGAGCCTAAGGGCAATGCTATTGCTGAAATGCTTGCGACGCCTATGCCGCAAGAAATCAAGTCGGAGTCTAAGGATGATACCAAGGGAGGGCTGTCTCCCACACAGAAGTCGGAGTAGGCAACTACCGGTCCAGGATCGAGGGAGTCGCTGTTCACGAATTCGACGATTATGACATCTGTACATCAAGAATGCCTGGTAAGGTACAATCGATTTTTTCGTACATGCAGTATGAAAATGTAAATAACCTCGAAAGCGTGGACAGTTGACTCCCACATGTAAATGCCATTCATAACTCGTGATTAAGAATGTATAATATAAAAAATTAAAGAGACCACCCCTCAAATGAGACAAAGACACCTTAACCCCTTTTGTGCTATGTACCGTCTCTACAGCTCCGCGCCGCGACGCTTCTGGACAGCCTCGCGCAGCTTCGCGATGACTTCGCCGGGATCTTGTGCGCCGAAGACCGCAGAGCCGGCAACGATGACGTTAGCACCTGCATCGGCAGCCTGGTCAATTGTACCCAGGCCGAGGCCTCCGTCGACTTCGATGTTCAGATCGGGGTAGCGTTTGCGCAGGGCGGCGACCTTGGGAAGCTCCGAAGCCATGAATTTCTGGCCTCCGAAACCGGGGTGCACGGTCATGACTAGAACCATCTGTGAAACGGAGTTAGTCCCATTCAATTGAAATGAAGCGGTGTGGAAGAATGGGCAATCTGGCAATGACTCACGTCTGGTCGTTCGGCGGGGTCCTCGCTCTCAACAATATCCCACAGCACATCGACGGGGGTATCGGGCTTAATAGCGATACCAGCCTGCATACCCTGCTCGTGGATATAGCGAATCAATTGCTTGGGGCTAGTCCGAGCGGTAGTTTCTTTATCCGTAGGATCGGTCGCGGCGACGGAAGAAACAGCCGCCTCATAGTGGAAGCAGTAAAGATCGCAACCGGCCTTCTTAAACTCGACGACCCATTTATGCGGCTATAACGAAGCAAAGGACCGTCAGCGGGGAGAGCTCATGCCGTGCCGGAATGACGCGGGTATGGGGAAGTCCATAACTCACCTCCATGATCATCATGTGGCAATCGAAAGTGCCACGACCGCAGGGTTCGGAAGGACGATCGACGCAGCCGCGAATTTGAGATACGACAGGGCAGCCGATGGTCATATTCGGCACGAAGTGACCGTCCATAATATCGACGTGCAGCCAGTCGGCGCCCTCTTCCATCTTCTTGGAGCAGTCATGGCCCAGATTGGCGAAGTTGGCGCTGAGGATTGAAGGGGCGATGATAGCTGGAGGCGCCATGATGTTGTATGTATCGGGAGTGGGTTGTAGGAAGGAATTGGGGCGAGGAGTCTGGAGGGGTAGAGGGATGGAGGGGTTATCAAGAAAAAAAGATATGAAGCTCCCCGTGTTTACATCAGTGGCGAAGAGTGGATATAGCCGGGTTCAGCGTGAATCCCGAAATCTACAACTCGGGCTTCTTTTGCTGTATTCTTCTCTCTTTCTATCTTTCTATCTTCTTCTTTGAAGTCTCCCCTTCTGTATACTGTCAAAGTACAGGCGATGAGGGCTCTGACTCTCACGTGTACAATCTTGACTTCTTACAGCCAAGAAATAGAGGATCAGCATTTCGAGATCCTTGCATCCTGGATAACCTATTTAGGTGATGGGAGAAAGATCTTCAAGTCTGCTGACCTTGATAGAACTAGAATCTGCGTCGAAGCTGCGGAGTTCAGGAGCCAATCAGGAAGAATCTCCCCGGTTGCTTATAAGATTATTCCTTAGCAGTCTTTTATGGATTGATATGGTTTGGATTTCGACTTAGCTCTGCTTGCACTATATTTTATGTCTTGCTACGGAGTATTTATTGGCTTAGTGCTCAGTTGACTATATACAACACATTATAGCTTATCTCCCCTTCGCCGATCTTACGACTCATCATTCTAACTGGAAGATCGGGTACTCCATACAGATACCTAAATCTCAATAGCCGTTAGAATAGCCGCTTCGTTACCCAAGGAGATACGTCTTAGCAAAGTGGGCCATTATCAGTGCTTGTAGCGGGGCACACTGCTCCGGAGTATAGAAGTTTTATGCTACCATCTCAATAAACTTGAATTGTCATAGTATTCCTGGCCCCTATGAGAGATCACCTCGGTTGGGTAGAGACATACCCAGTACCGCAGCCAGACTTCCGCTATCTTGTTTATGCGTCCGCCCCGTCCGTCTCCCTATGCATGGTACCCAGCTGCGACAGATATGATAGAGGCAATGACTGCTCTCCTTGTCTTTCTTCTCTCCGTAAGGGAAACATTCAGTGTCTGGGATGATGTCTGAAGGGAAAATGGGAGAGTCATCAGGACACAAAGCGAATTGTCCGGATGTTGACCGCATAGAAGAACAGCCACCGAAGAATTGCATCGAACGTCCGCTCCAGGCACAGTCCCAGCGTCAACATTCCGAGTCGAATTAACAGCGGTGTTAAGCGTGTTCTCTCCAGCAAGCGATTCAGGGAGTTCTGACTCCTGAGCCCGACATAAAACGGGCTAGTCTGCTATTACTTATTGCCTTTTGACTTTGCATTGACTACGGCACAATAGAAGAGTACTTTGAACGGGAAAATGGGAACTTTGCGAGGGAAGACTCTCGCCGACGTAGAAAATTAATGACATAGAAGAAACGAATGGAAGTGCACGAAAGTTATCTCTCACAACACAAAGTCAGGATCTCTCGGACTCTCCTCCTCGAGATAAACACCCTCCTTTTTTTTGTCTGCGTCATAACCTGGGACTACTTCCTTGGAGATTTGGTGAGTGATCGCAGATATCAAAAACCCGAAGAGAAGCATATCTGCACTCTCGAAGATGTTAAGAAGCCCATGCAAGTGGATATGGAGAAAGGCCATTTATCAGAAACTCCAGGTACTGAGGCGTAGGCTCTAATGCAAACGTAAGGTAAAGGATCCGACCTTGCCCGGTCCGGCCGTGGTTGGTTCAGTCGCTTTGCCTCTCCGTCTTTGCCGTACATCTGGTTCAGCCGGTCGTGGCCGGTTGAGATCGTGTATCAACTCCTCCTACTGCATGGAATTAGGTATGATAGCGTGGAATATTAATTCATCAGGAAGACGAGCATCGGCCATCCAACTCCCGAGGTCTCCGAAAGACCTCACAATACGTTCCCAAGTAGCACGGTCTTGGTTAAACTCATCGGGCAACATATCCCCGACGTCTCCGGCATCCCGGGCGATATTTGAGAGGCGGGCACTCCACAAACTCTGGGGTGGCAATCGATTTGGCATCCAAAGCCTCGAGAAGGCCACCATGAGCGCATTTGATATAGTCTAGATCACAGGCAGGTCCCCTCTCGCAGGGGTCATGTCGATTGAGAGCAAAGGAAGAGATCAACTGAAGATGAAATAGAAGTGAGTGAAAGAAAAGAAGAGGTTGAACCGAGAGTGATATAACTAGCCCTGGAAGGTGGAAATGGTTGGGAGCCAGGTGGTGAAGGAAGGAACCTTGTGTTCGATCTTATTGAAGTAAAACATCATAGACATAAAGCATTGATTACATTAATTGCGAGCCACCAGGGCCAGAGCTAAATACATAAAGATCGATATCCCTAGATAGACCCAGTCTCAGCCAAAGAGACAGAACTCTTCCGCTTCGGCTTCATAGTCCATCCAGACAGGCAGGTCCAGCCCGCGCCACTCTTCCTCCCCTCATCAAACAGCGCACCAAGACCCTCAAGCAACATAGGTCGCTCGCGACCCATCTCCACTCGCAATTTCAGTAACCACTGCTCCCACATCCACCCTCCAATCAGTCCAGTAATACTGGCAATATCCGCCGTGCTACCAATCGGGCCCTGCACTGCCTCGTAATCTTCAATTTGGCTCTGCACACGCGGTGCCGGAGTCTCGCGCATCGGCTCCTGCTCGACGTGTTCGGTACCCATCGGGAGGACCATCCACGCGCGCTGCGTGTCGACGAACCCGCTGTTGCGGAGACGGGCGACGAAGCTCTTCGATGCTACTGGATCGTACCCACGGTTGCGCAGGTTGAAGGCAAACTCCACTGATGTTGCACTGGCGTACGGCCCCGCTCGCGAGATCTCGGCGTCAAGAACTTGGAATTCGAGGTAGCCGCCTGGCTTGAGGCATCGCATGCATTCCTTCAGAACTAGGTCGTACTCGTCGCGGTCCTTGCCTGCGGGACATTCGGTCTTTAGCAGTGCGTGCAAAGATCGGGCGGAGATGACATCAAACTGGTTGTTGCCAAAGGGAAGCTCCCAGAGGTTATCCACGTTCACCTGGCGGTGATTGGGAGGGCCTTTGATGGCGCTGTTTACGGTCTGGTTCTTGGAGGCGACGGTGTAAACTTTGACATTTGGGAATTCGTACGCGGCTTGCCAGGCCCAGTCACAGGAGGACTGACCGCCGAGGTCTAGGATGCGGAAGCTGCGTTTGCGTGGTCCCTGCGAGGCCTTGGGCTTTGATGAGGTTTGTGCAAGCATACGCTGGGCAGGACTTGTGAGCAGATTGCCGCCGTTGAGAGACCGAAGAGCATCCATGGCCCACATGGGCTGCGAAAGCTGAGCAAGAACCAGCTGCTCCTTCTCCACCTTGTCAAATTTGGCCTTCTCAGCCAGCTCAGAGGTAATAGTCGAGTTGCGAGGTGCCTTGGCGAATGGACCCTTGTATGCAGGGCGCTCGGGGCGAACAAGTTCATACTTGCCCAGCAAGCAGTTGATGTGAAGGTCGTTCATGGCGAGGCGCATGGATTGGACGGCATCGAAGCGCATGTTGCGATGCATGAACCCATCTGTCTTGGTTGACTGTTCCCGAATAGACTGGAAGCCTCGCCAGTAAATTGAATCCTTGCTAGCAAGGATCGGGGGCAGAGGACTGAGGGACTCAGGGACACCCTCGACGAATCGCACCATCTTAGTGGTAGACTCTTCTGTGGTGTCTTTGGCTTCAACCTCAATACTATCAGACTCCTTGGGTGATTCTACAGGCTCAACGTCATTCGCGGGATTTGTCTCACTAAGAGCGGAGAGGTAAGATGCTTGGGCTGACAACCAGATATTGGTCCGGTCGTGGCTCGCAACTGCACGTTCCTGCAGCTCTTGGTCATAACACTCGTCGTATTCATATCCGTTCCCAGAGCGGGGGATCTCCTGAACCTGGACTGCATCAAATGCAGCACTCATGGGGCTATCTTGGTAGATAGACCGACGAGTGGGTGTGTCACAGGGAAGTCGAATGGCAGTAAGCGGGGCCTCTTCATCACGAACAGCTGTGACTGGGTTTTCGTCAACAGGGGGCTCATGCCATTCAACTACCTGCTCAACAATATCTCCATCATCCCGACGCCAAGGAAGGTTGTAGAAACCCTCTGCAGCCGCCGACGATGGTTGGTAATTGGTGTTGGGGATTGACCACGTGTGGCGCGCTCGGGGCGCCAAAGAAGCAAAGAATCCACCAGGAGATGGAATGCTCAAATCGCTGAAACTGTAACCAGACAGCTCAGATGCGGGAGTGACCCCGTCGGCACTTCTCGGGCGGCTGGGAGGCGGCTGAAGTTGCCACATCTCGCCTTTATCCTCCGAGGTCTCAGAACACGAATCGGGTGTCTCTTCTAAGTGAACGTGGTGTAGCATTGCCAGTGCCGAGTTAGGCAGAAATGCGCCTTGGTCAATAGACTGTGGGGCGTCGTACAAGTCATCATATTCGTAAATTGGCTCATTATTCAGATGAAAAGAAGGCGAGGACGATGGCGAGAGCGGGGGTGAATATGCCTGGGCAGCAGTGGGAATTCGGGGGAAACTTCCCAGAACATGACGCCAGTCCTCATGCTGGGTCTCGATAGCAATGGGTACAGTATGGATGTCTGAACTGGAGTCCGCATTGTCTAGATCGCTTTCGCTTCCGTCCAGATCTCGGCGAACATGGATATCATGTGCATCCCAGTTGGTGTCTGGCAGAGATTGAGAGTCCGGTGTAGCCAATGCACTGATTATTGATTCTTGGTCCGAGGTCATGCTACCATCGAGCGAAGGCGGGGCATATGATGCAGGTACAGAACGACTGAGCATCGACAGCGCCGCTGGCGAGACTGGTATCTTGGATGGAGGGGTGGGCGGGACTGGCGAGCCCTTGAGGGACCCGGTAATTGACGGCCACAATGCAGAAGAGGGAATCTCAAGGGTCAGAGAGCGCTTCCGACTGCTCCCAGTTGAGGTCACCGAATTGCGGGTGATTGGGGTAATCAAGCTCGATGGCCGCGTATCGGGGGAAAAGCATGAATCGCTCATTTCGGTTTCATTATCGTCAATACTATCATCATCTGTGGCATCGTAAAAGTCGTCGTATCCTCGGAACTCTTGCATCTGAGCCTGCCATTCTGTATCTGAGCATGATGAGGTAGTGCCGGCGGAGAGAGGCGACATTAGGCGGGCAAGGCGGGCGTGTGTTGGTACCGAAAACCCGCTGGTCTGCAACTTCAACTGCGGGCTGATAGCTGCCGGTGTAAGTCTGGACGGGGGCGAGCCTTTGGGACTGGTTTGAGCGAAATTGGATTCGCGCGTATCCTCCATTATAGTATTAAGCACCGTTCCTCGGGCCTGCCGAGGGGGCGGGAATCGTACAGTCGAGATACGGAGTATATCGGTCATGTTGAACACCTGATCAAACTGTTGGATGTTGGTTTTGCGTGACTCGCTCACGGAAATATCTATGGGTATCTTGACTCGTAGGAAATGGCGACACCGATCAACGGGTCTGTGAAGTGAAAGATAAAAAGCAAGATAACAATAAGAAATAAAACAGATGCAAAAGCTACCAGAGCTATAGGCACCGAGCATAAGAGAATGAAGTCCACGAAACGAAGAACGCTAGCGTTCACAGAAATTGTGGCAGTTGGGACGGGTTTATAGTCAATTGGGCGCTTTCCACCAGCCACGGGGTATGTGCAGTGAGCAGCCGATCACTCTTCAGAAAGAGTCACTCCGTTACAGAGACTAATGCAAGGTTGGGCACAATTAATCCAATCACCCTGGTCTGGAGGGTAGCAGACATTGATCTTATTGGTGGAGAGGAAATGGGCGCGTCGCGCTGGACAGGGGTTTCGCCCGTCAGCAAAGAGCCAAGGCCATTTTCTGAGCCAGAGTCCAGTAAATGAGATTCAAAATGCGAAAATGGACGAATGAGGTTCGTAGATGGTGTGACGAACCTGCCGAGAGGTGGATGAGAGTGATATGCAGTGTGAAGAGGCTGGTGATTGGCTGACTGTAGGCGCCGGGCTACTATCTTTAGTCGAATTAATCCCGTCGGAGGTGGATGGAACGTCAATTATGCACCTTTCCAACACCGAAAAAGGCAGGAAATCGTCCTAATTAATGTCATATGATGGGAGATTTGGTGAGATGAGGTAGTGATCATCGCAAAAAGAAGAGAAAAAGGAGGAAAAAGAGCGAAAAGAGGGGAAAAGATCGCCAAGTCCAACAATTTAACATCTAGTTCACTATACTAATGCACGCTAGAGAAGTATAGTTCTCTTAAGATAGAAATTATATGTTAATTGACCTCATTGTCACATTTGCCCCTCATTAAAATGTGGACGATGTGACCCTAAAGGCGCGTAGAGTCCAGATGTCCAGTTCAATACATACATTCTCATGTTGATATGAATCGATGTCGTACACTTTCCCCTCTTACCGGGATGCTTTCACAAGTTGGCGCTAGATATTGTAGAAGTTCAGAAGTCAGCACGCCATGGGAACTCACCATGTAAAATGGCAATTATTAAATGATAATCTCGACTGAAAGAACAAGCCTAGAGTTCCGCATGTCTTATGTCGTTGCAATATATCTGACACTTTGCCAGAATTATGCGCATGCAGCCAATGCATGATGATGGTTTCGTCCTCCAAGATTATTAGTGACTTTACATTGTACAAAGTAGTTCCAACAACTATGTTTCAGACCAACGGCACAATCTGCACAGTGCTGCAGTGCTGAAGAATAACCCGCCCTCCTAAGCCAAGTTGATCCTCGGCTTTCGGGGTTGCTTACCCGCGGATGTTGTAGAGAAGGTTGCGTCAGCCTAGAAGCAACTTTGAGTGAAACAAATGACCAAAAGACAACCGAAGGGACCGGAAAAATCATGCTGTACATCTAATGAAATTAGTGGTAAACACTTTGTGGCTACAGCCAACCAAGAATCGAGAATCCCTAGTATTCCAACACATCACTAACCAAGACAATACCCTTACGGACTGAGGCCGATTTCCCCATTGATATCAATCACGCGCACATCTGCATCAGGGATAAGAGTATTGGTAGTGCGTAAGAATCTAACGCCGATGCTCGAGATTTTGATGTTGGGCGTCGCCATGCCCTTTTCCCAGGTCTCATAGATGGCATTCGTTCTTTCTGATCCACCCGGAAGTTCTTGGTATCCAGCTGCAAATTGATGCCAAATGCCATCATAGAGCATGATGTTAATCCCAATATGCTCGACGTAACTAGCCTCATCGCAAAGCCTGAATAACTCCTAATGGAACAGAAGGAATGGCTTCTGGATCCTCCAGTATGCATAAACATCGAGACTTGAGCTGGTACAGCGATAAAACGACCTGCCAGGCGGAAGAAAAGATACCGGTCGCTTTGACCCATATAAGAGGTCCCCGTTCATCATGTGGGGGTTTTTCCTTCGGATTGATGATATCAAGCGATAGGCATTCGATCGGTGGGGTTATACTCCTGTTCATGTGTTTATAGGCTCAGCTAGCCTACTTTATCCAAGACATAACCAGGGAGTTTAGTTCAAAGGACTCGGCGCTTATTCAATGGGGAATGGCTAAAGCATGATTCACCCGTGTAAGCGGATGTAGACGTGCATAAGCATTGTTAGAAGTCAGAGATATATTTCATGAATATATGTGCTGAATGACCTAGAACAAGCCTCCAATAGTTTCTAGTCGATAGAAATCCAAACTCGAGGGAATATGGCCGAGCGTTGGTTGAGTTGGAACCGCTTATATGGGGATGTGCACGTGATCCCGTCAGCCTGCTTCTCTTTTGCATCTCACCTTGCCAACTCTCGAGCGCCGTCGACATTCCTGTCCCTAAATCTCGTGATACTCATTATCCAAGCTCTTACATCCAACTCACAGCACCTTCCGACATCGGCAGAATACAAATCACCGCTTTGATCCAGCGCGCCTATCCTCATCCAAGCACCCCTCCAAGCTTTCCTATCCACCGCAACCATGCTTTTCTTCAGGTATGCTATGACGCGGAGCGCAAACTCAGTTTGTGTGGACAGGAACTAATGGGCTCGCTATTACAGCTTCTTCAAGACTCTGACCAACCAGACGGTCACAATTGAGCTCAAAAATGACATCCGCATTCGTGGAATCCTGAAATCGGTCGACCAATACCTAAACATCAAGCTCGATGATATCGAAGTGTTGGAGCTGGCCAAGTATCCTCACCTGTCTTCGGTGAAGAACATGTTCATCCGCGGCAGTGTGGTGCGGTACGTGATGTTGCCTCGGTCGGAGGTTGACGTGGGGTTGTTGGAGGATGCCACACGGCGAGGTGAGTTGCGCATCTTCCCCGACTGAGTTCTTGAGCTCAGTCTATGTTATTTCCTTTCTTAAAGGATATACGAAAGTTGCGGAAACTAGAAATCAATACTAATACCGTCATCATATAGAGGCTGCCAACCAGGCTGGCAAGGCTCGCTAAACGACTCTAGCCTCAATTTTACGACAAATCACGCATCGCGCTCTTCAATACCGTTGTTCCCACTTGGTGGTCTCCAGCAATGAAAATGACTATATGGCCAAATGTATGGGGTTTCATGTGGCCCCGATTGATGACCGGGGAGACGAGTTGATGCAACGAATGATTCGAAACTCCCATACCCTCGAGTGCGTCCAAGATACCAAACGGACCATGGACTACCGCTCATGAATCTTGTTGATACGCCGCAAAAGCAATGTCGTCGGAGATTACCCGCCTATAGCTCATGCTGGCATCTAGGCTATGTTGTTCATGATACCTTGCTAGACTTTTTTTTTTTTTTTTTTTGCAATAATGAACAGCAATTTGTTTTGGCCATTTGACTATATCACAATGCTCTAAACATACCAAAATCGAATGTAGTCCCCGCTAGGAGTCAAGTAATAATGAGCACGTGACTTCGTGTCGCGATCCAGTTTCTTCGCGCCTCTCGATCCGATTGACCTGACATACATTTCTCTGGCGACGGTGCATATATTATGGACATATTGTACATTTGACCATACTTTTTGTGTTTCATCCGATATCAAACTACTTTGGGCCAAGTGCGAACTTTCTTAGACCCTCGCCACAACTCGATTCTCGCACACGGTGCAACGGACTCCCACCTCTCCGCTGAACCACAATGGCCGGATCTTACGCGAAGAAAGGGGCCACGCCTTCCAAGGGATCTTCTGGCACAAGACAATCCTCCGTAAAGCGCAATTCGAGCATCTTGAGTTTCTTCCAGAAGACCGACACGCCGCCGGGTGCCACTTCTCGCCAGGCTCGGATCACCCAATTTGTAACAGCAACTTCACGCTCACCGAGCAGCGGCCGGGGTGCTTCAACAATCCGGGGGAATAGTGCAAGAAATGATCCTTCTGGTGGGCTTTTTTTAGAGGATAAAAAGGGACTGGCAAAGATTGAACAAGCAGCGGTGACGAGTGAAAGAGAGCGATCGACCACGCCTGACTTTTGGGGTGAAGATAAAGAGTTCTTGAAAGCGGATGACAAGCGATATAATGAGAGCGACACGGCAGTCAAGCGTCGGAAAGTCGACTCACCGGATACTCCAGTGAACGAGACACAGCAATCAGACGAATCGAAGACTACAAAAGCAACCGCACCTGCATCAGCAACTACAAAGCCCCAGAAGAGGAGCGGACCATTTATCGATGAGTCCGACAGCGAGGAGGATATGGAAGCCTATCGGGAGCTCCAAGAAACTACAACTGTCACGACGACTGTGACGAACGAAGTATTGCAACCGGATAAAATAGTGGCTACACAACGCACTTCCGAACCTATACCCCCGCCACTGGTAAGAGCCGCCACGAGTAATGCCGATAATGATGAATTCGCGAATTTTGACGATATAGAAGAAGAAGACGGGCTTATAGGCGAAGAATTTCGAAATTGGCCTTGGGAGGGCGAGGAACAAGAGCAGATCGACCTTGAGGTAGATCCTGACAAAGATCTAAAGGACTGTTCTGGTGTAGAAGATATTGAGGGGGAAGTGAGCACATGCCCTATCTGTCAAATGGTGCTAAAGGATCTTGAAGAATGGGTAGGTGCTCATTACTGCGTTTTGGGCCTACTGAAATGCTAATTCCCAGCAAAGGAAATTGGAGTGCATGTCAACGGCTGCCTTGATGGCCAAGCAAACCCTATCCCGGCTCCACCGGCCCCTAAGCCTAGGGCGAAGCCTACTTCCAACCCAGGCGACATCGACAAAGGGATGACACGCGCAGAACGCGCTGCCATTGCCCGGCCTGCGCAAAGTGATCCCTACTCGCAGAAGAAAGCCATTGGTGGTTCCGCATTCTCGAAAATGATGGCTGGAAATGCAGAAGATACTGCTTGGGCTGCTGCAGCCGCAAACGAAGTGTCTTCTCGCGGCAAACAAGCCTATCAACGGACTTGTCCATTTTACAAAATTCTTTCGGGGTTTTCCATATGCGTTGATGCCTTCCGCTACGGAGCCGTCGAAGGATGTAACGCCTACTTCCTCAGTCATTTTCACAGCGATCACTACATAGGACTCAACAAGTCTTGGTGCCATGGGCCCATTTACTGCAGTCGACCCACTGCCAATCTTGTCCGACAGCAGCTCCGCGTTGATCCCAAGTGGATAGTTGACCTCGAGTTCGAATCTACTACTGAAGTACCGGAGACAGGCGGAGTACGGGTCACCATGATACATGCAAATCATTGCCCGGGTAGCTCACTTTTTCTTTTCGAACAAACCTCTGGGAATGGGCCCAATGCGCATAATCAGCGGGTGCTGCATTGTGGTGACTTCCGTGCATCTCCTGCTCAGGTGCAACATCCGCTCCTGCGCCCTAATGTGACCAACCCGGTCACTGGTAAGTCGAGACAACAACACATCGACAAATGTTACCTCGACACTACATACCTAAACCCAAAATATGGCTTTCCTGCGCAGGAAGATGTGATCACAGCGTGTTCAGAGCTATGTGTACGCCTGAATCAGGAGGCTGGTGTCGGACATGATACAGGGAAGAGTAGCACAGATGGTTTGATGAGCAAATTCCTCTCCGCTGCCACGGGGAACAACAAAGCACCGGACAAAGGCTCGCAGGTTGGAGGTCGACTACTCGTAGTGATTGGCACTTACAGCATTGGCAAAGAACGGATATGCATGGGAATCGCCCGAGCACTTGGATCCAAGATATTCGCGACTCCACCAAAGCAACGAATATGCGCCTGCTTGGAAGACCCCGAGCTGTCCGCGATGCTGACCAGCAATCCTCACGAAGCACAAGTACATATGCAAACCCTCTTTGAGATTCGCGCCGACACACTGGCAGACTACCTTGACGGCTTCAAACCACACTTCTCCCGTGTTGTCGGTTTCCGTCCGACCGGTTGGACCTACCGCCCACCAGCCGGGCGACTAGTGCAAAATCCACCAGTCTCCACTGTACTACACGGCGAACACTGGAAGTCACCATTCACCAGCCAAGACCTCACCCCGCAGCGCGGCAGCACGCGAGAAAGTGCCTGCTTTGGCGTGCCCTACAGTGAACACAGTTCGTTCCGCGAGTTGACCATGTTCTGCTGCGCTTTGCGTATCGGGCGGGTCATCCCGACGGTAAATGTTGGCAGCCAGAAGAGCCGGGATCAGATGAAGGTGTGGATAGAGCGGTGGGATGCCGAAAAGAAGAAGAACGGGTTGTTCCCTGTAACTGGCGATCGCTGGTGATTAACGGCTCGCACATATGACTTATGGATAACTTGGTTATACGACGATTTATCGCATTGGAATTTACATGGCGACAGCGTAGATTTGTATCTAATTTCGGGTGTGCACGGCTACATTCTTCTCGCTCTCGCTCTGGTCCTCTTTCTTGCATCTTTAGTGGTTTCAGACTCTATCGACTACTCCACCAAACGAAAGCCTAGGTCTTGTAGATCGTTTCCTCGGATTTGGGTATATATCGCAGCAGTTGGATCTATATTCTCGCTAATGCACTGTTCAGGGGACCGTTTTTCAAAGAACCCTAATTCCCCTGAAAGTGGACTACTATTAGACTATCTCGACAGCATATATACTCTATATTCACAGTCCCAATTTTGAAAATCACTCGGTTTCTTGCTTCCATCTGAGTTATTATCCTCCAATACCAACCAAGAGCCTGTTATGATCAACCTCGGTAGAAACCCGTGATCATTGAGTTCTCATTTTTAGGGCTCGGGCCAAGTGGATCAGAATGACTGAGAGATCGTGAATGATCATTCGTTCCAATTTAGATTCGGATCGACAGTATGCAGCGAGCACGGCAAACTTATACATCTTCACCCCCTTCAGACTGAGGTATCAGATCAAATGTAGACGATGATTGATGCCTCTAATGCTGGATTATGTCAATTGTTAAGGACTTGATACCTCAACGTCCAAGACGCTTTCAGTGCTCAGCACCGGAGAACAACCTTTGATGGGCCTGCGCTATCGATCTATGCATTAGTACGGTTCCACTCTAACTTTAGAATCACAGCCTTTTGACAAATCACTTGGGGCCGACTTTTTCGAAATGGACTTGCCGCATTTTTGATATGTTCTTTTGTCGCAAGTGTAGCTTTCTGAGGGAAATTCTATATAATGGAGACACTCCCCTTTGCGTTCATTGAACGAGTGCAGAGATACACCTAAAATTCATTCACGATGCGTACTTCAACAATCGGACTTTGGACTTTGACGGCTGGTGCAGCCGCTGCGAAGACCTGTTACAATGTAACAGTGGAGGTCCCTGTCACTGCTCGCAACGGCGTGTTCGATAACATCAGCACGCCCCAGACAAACTTTGACGCGACTTCCTTCGTCCTCTCAGCGACCAAACAGGGTAGAAATCTATCAGAAACAGCCTTGTCGGGCTATGCTACCGTGTCGGGCCACTACAATATCTCGACCCAATACTGCATGCCGAAGAATACCGGGAACTCGGCCTACACGCTTCAGATCCTCACACATGGGATGGGCTTTGACAAATCGTGAGTTCGAGAGATAAATTGATTTCTCTATATGGGGTCTAATATGGAAATATAGATATTGGGATCTACCATACAACAACTATACATATTCCTATGTAGATTACGTCTTGTCTCGAGGATATCATACACTCTCCTATGACCGACTGGGCCTTGGCAACTCCTCACATGGCGACGCAAAGAACGAGATCCAGGCATTCTTGGAGGTCGAGGCCCTTGCCCAGTTGACCCGCATGGTGCGCAACGGTGCGATATCTAATATCAAGACTCCCACCAAGATCGTCCATGTCGGGCATTCATTCGGCTCTGCTCAGACGGTTGCTCTGTCCGCGATGTACCCAGAGCTTTCCGATGCGCTCGTGCTCACTGGGTATTCGACAAGCGCAGACTATATGCCTATGTTTCTCAGCGGCGCCAACTTCCAGCAAGCCCGTCTCAACGGCAAGAACTCGGACTACACAGCTGGGTACTTGAAGAGTGCGGACATCGGCAGCAATGTATATCTCTTCTTCTACCCGCCCCATTTCGACACCGGTCTTCTGAAGTTTGCAGAAGAGAACAAGCAGCCCATGACCATCGGTGAACTCCTGACTATCACTGGTCTACCGGCCCAGAGCAATTTTACAGGCCCTGTTTATGTCATTGACGGTGCGAACGATGTGCCATTCTGTGGAGGCGACTGTTTGCACACGGGTGGGAAACCGGCTTCTATTCCTGCTGCTGCCAAGATGATCTTCCCCTCGGCCAGTGCTTTCTCTGCCTATGTCCATCCAAACACTGGCCATGCTATTAATCTGCACCATAATGCCACCGGGGCTTATAAACAGATCAATGACTTCTTGGGGGCGCACGGATTGATGAGCATGAGTCATCGCCACGATCATGCCCGTCATCATTAATGAAGATGGGAAGTGAGGAGCCATTTTAATTCATGTATATCCATGCATCTACATTTTCAACGTTAATATGTACATACAACATGCCAAGGCACATTCTCACCGAGTTCTGCAAGTGATACCGATACCCCGATTCGGATTTGTGCCCGATCTGACGTAAGCTGATGCCCGACCTCCAAGGCTGACTAGAACGGATGACACATACTATTGCCTTATAAATCTGGCGTCCGTGGCGCCTCGTGTCATCCCCCCCGCACTCTATTTCAACAAATCAAGCACCAAGGATTTACGCCATACAGAGAATGGAGTCACCACATCGTCAATATGCGGCCGTTGATTTGTCTGGAACCCCCATGTCAATAACCGAAATCGGGAGCTTCGGAGGCTTGAGACGGCACTCTCCACGGATCTTCGCCGCCAGTGTCTGAACTCCACACTACCGAAATTGCTTCCCGTTGCTTTCCTTACCCTCGGGGATGATTCGATGATCTCACGTCCTCTTTTCATAAATAGGTTATATACGCGTGCTTGGTGATGGATTTGGCTTGATTCTTCTTGTTTGACCTTACATTCTGCATTCAGATCGGCATTATCCTGTCTGCATTGGGCCGGTACCTTTTTTCTCCGTGTTGTTTTGTCCAACACTCCTATACAGCACTTCACTATGTTTGTGACACTTCAGAGTGTTCCTTTTATTCTTCTCGGCCTCGCCGTAGCCTATTACTTGGTGCCGTACTTGCAGAAGTCGCACCTGCGCGACATTCCCTCTGCCGGGTTTGCCGCGTTCACCAACGTTTGGCTGCTGCTGCAGGCCCGTCAGGGAAAGAAGTACTTGACGATTGATGAGGCTCATAAGAAGTATGGAAAGCTTGTTCGCATCTCACCTACCCAAGTCTCCATTGCCGACGACGAAGCTATCCTGAGCGTCTATGGACACGGCAATGGCTTCTTGAAAGCGTACGTCAATATTGCAGCCCAGGAAAACTGCACCCAAACTGACGATATCCTAGGGACTTCTACGATGCCTTCGTCTCTATCCGCCGTGGCTTGTTCAACACCCGTGACCGTGCTGAGCACTCCCGCAAACGCAAGACCGTTTCCCACACTTTCAGTGCCAAGTCCATTGGCCAATTCGAGCAATATATCCATGGCAATGTCGAGGAGTTTGTGAAGCAATGGAACCGTCTGTCCGACCTCCAGGGAGACCCCAAGACCGGATATGTTAGCTTGGATGCCCTCAACTGGTTCAACTACCTGGCCTTCGATATCATCGGCGACTTGGCTTTCGGTGCTCCCTTCGGCATGCTCGAGAAGGGACAGGATATTGCTGAGATGCGTCTGGACCCTAAGGACCCTCCCAAGTATGTCGCCGCTGTCGAAGTTCTGAACCGTCGTGGCGAGGTATCTGCCACCCTTGGCTGCATGCCGTCCCTCATCCCCTTCGCCAAGTACATCCCGGACCGCTTCTTCTACGAAGGTCTGCAAGCTGTCCAGCACCTTGCTGGTATCGCCATCGCCCGTGTCAACGAGCGTCTGAAGCCCGAGGTTATGGCCAACAACACCCGTGTGGATTTGCTCGCCCGCCTTATGGAGGGCAAGGACGAAAACGGTAACCAGCTTGAACGCGCCGAACTGACCGCCGAGGCCCTGACTCAACTGATTGCTGGCTCCGACACCACCTCCAACACCACCTGTGCCATCCTCTACTGGTGTATGATCACCCCACACGTTATCCCCAAGCTGCGCAAGACCCTGGACGACGCCCTCCCTAAGGACATTGAAGTTCCCACGCACGCTATGGTCAAGGAAATCCCCTAGTAAGCCCACACCCCATCAACGCACACAATTAACCCAAACTGACAAACGCCCAGCCTCCAATGGGTGATCTGGGAAACGATGCGCATCCACAGCACATCCTCAATGGGACTTCCTCGCGAGATCCCCGCCGGCTTCGGGCCCATCGTAATCTGCGGACACACCTTCCAAGCCGGTGACGTGCTCTCAGTACCCAGCTACACGATCCACCGCTCCAAGGAAATCTGGGGCGCCGACGCCGAAGAATTCGTCCCCGAGCGCTGGAATCCGGAGCGTCTCACCGCACGCCAAAAGGCCGCCTTTATCCCATTCAGCCACGGACCTCGCGCCTGTGTCGGCCGCAACGTCGCCGAGATGGAACTTCTCGTTATCTGTGCTACTGTGTTCCGGCTCTTCGAGTTTGAGATGCACCAGGATGGCCCTATGCAGACGCGTGAGGGATTCCTGCGCAAGCCGCTTGGTTTGCAGGTTGGTATGCGTCGTCGTCGGGTTTGAGTTGAAATAAAATATGCATGTTGAGGATTAAAATAGTTTGGATTTAGGGTGGAATGGAATGAAGTCTGGATGATATTTGGATTACCATCAAGAATGGCTGAGGGTATGTGCTGATGACCAAGGTCGCCTTTCTTGGTTCATCGGTTTCGATTTGCATTTGAGTCTTGGTGGTCGTCAGTCCGATAAGCGTGTACACATGTGTCATATTTTTATATATCTTGCATTTGAAGCTATCTTTGGATTTTGAAATTACTGCTTGCGATAAAGGAAGTAAGGAAAGTGAAGAGATAGAAATAAGTTCCTTCGCTGTATTATTAGGCTCCTGTCGAGCCACGTAATGAACTCGAAATATTAGATACAGAAAGTTTGAGGAAAACATAAATCAATGTTATTACTGTGATATCGTGAATATTCGTGTCTGATCTGAACTAAACGGATATCCGAAGAATTGCAACCATAATTGGCTCCCAAGGGAACCAAAGTAACATGGAATAGGTCCGATTGTCTACCACTTGGTGGGACCAAAGGTCTCTCCTTCAGCGAGCGGGACCCGAATGGCTGTATCAGTGACATCCATGGTGTCGGCGGCAATATTGGTTCCCCACCAGTCAGGGAAGTTGGTATCGGTCAAGTTGAGGGTCAAGAAGATGAGAATGGTGCACAGAGCGAGGCCGACATCCAGGCCAGCGGACAGGACGTAGTTGTAGTGCATCCACCACCCGCGCCAGCGGTCACGGATATACTTATTGAAGACGTATCCGACGATACCCCAGGTGAGATAGTTCAGAGGGGTAGCGGGGGGAATTAGACCAGCACCGCCGAAGATGATAGGCGCACTGAGATACTTGATAGGGCTCTTAGGGAAGTAACGGGCGCCGACGTAGATTATGACGGGGAGGATGGCGCCGGCGAGGAAGAAGAACATCAAGGGCGAGTATAGCTCGCCGATCGAGAACATGCGGGCCGGTCCGATGACACCCCAGATAACGGAGGCATTGAAGAACACACGACCGTTAGGGCAGGTGAAGTGGTTACGCTGTGCCTGGTCGCAAACGTTCTCAATTGCGCCCAGTGCCCAGTTCATGGTGGCGATTTGCACCAGCGATGACCACAGACAAGCGACCATCTGGGCCATAAAAGTCACGCGGGGAGGAATCTTCATGTAGTGACCTAATGGAAGAGGACTGTTGGTATAATGTATCTAGATAGCCAGCGACGGGACTTACCGATTTTCAAATCCTGTGAAAAGTACATTCCCTGGTACATGCTGATATAACCGTAAGTTTTGAACAGCATCATGGCCATAGGTTTACCAGGCTGCATGTAACCGATGATGAACTCGGTGATGACATTGAGGCCGATGTCGATGTTAGTGGCAGCCTTGACGATGCCAATAGGAACAAACCAAACGGCGGAAATGAGCAGAGAAATGATGAAGGCCCACCAGCTCATGTGTGTAGGATAGCCCAGTACAACACCAAAGCCAATTGCAGTCATGGCCACAAACACACCCAAGTACCACCAGATGGGAACTGTAGCGTAGCGATTCATGAGACGACCGTGGACATCTTCCTCCTCCTTTCCGACGCGACGGAATCGAGCCCAAATATCCGCACCGTTGAAGAGACCAGTCTGAACCAGCACAGCGATAATACTGGCAAAGGATAGCCCGTAGGACAGCATGAATGTCGTCGACAGGAAGAGAGGGGAATAGTTCGAGTATTTCACACTGTCAAATGTGAATTCTGGAGTAAGAATCTTGGTGACATTGTACACATTCGCAGTGTTGTCGTAACTTCTGGAGTCACTCATGGGCAGGTACTGAGCGTAGAAGAGATTGGAGTAGTGAATGGCCGGGGTGACGATCCAGAACCAGAGAAACATGCCGATCATGGTATTGGAGATGGCATACCAAGGAGCAATCAGGGGACTGAAGTTGAATCCAGAGACCTGAGTCCAGTCAAATGTCATTGGGATAAGCGAGAGGCCGGTCGCTCCACCGAAGAGCTGGTTGATGACCACGTTCTGGGGCTTGATCCAGGTGACCCAGGCAAAGATACTCAGGAATGGTGCGAGGTATCCTGGGAACCAGTACCAACAGAAAGAGCCAATCATAGTGTACAGGAACAGCTTATATTTGCCGATCCTCCAGCCAGCGACCTTGCTGGGATCCGGCAGGGCGACATCGTGTAGTGCAGTGAAGAGGGAGGTGTTAATCAGGGTCGAGGGCCAGATCATGGCGGCGGGCTGCACCAGGAAGCGGGTGAAGAAGCCGGCCATGCCGAAGCCCAACATCTGAGTCGAGATACACATAAGGATCTCGAAGCCCCAGCCGAAACGTTGTCCATAAAAGGCACGCTGAGCCAAGAGGACATCCGTCGCGTAGGCGGCGCCACCACCGAAAGTGGCGTTTGCCATGATCACCACAATTGTATGTTCTTTCTTGGTGAAAGTACCGGGGTTGAGTTCGGTTTGATAGCCAAAGATACGGACGGTGTAATTGGGCATCCACCATTCCCATGCCTTTCCCACGGGGTAGGCGACAACCTGCGCAATGTATGAGGGAATGACAATGTAAGGCTGGCGCATGGAGAACAGCATGTTGAGGGCCGAGCCGATGGTCGCAAATAGAAGACCAATGACCCAGGCGCGAATAGTGTTGACTGATCCACCCTCATCGACGTTGGAGACAGCGGACCGAACCTCGGGGTACGGGGAGTTCTCGAGGAGTTCCTGAGCGATGACCTCTTGGGTATGCTTGTCGGATGTATGTAATGCCTCATCGAGTTCCTCAACGACATCCTCGGGCATGTTAGGATCCCAGTGATGGTGGTCCTTGAGATCACGCAGCTTCTTGAGTTTATCATCAGGCGCAGTCTCGTCGACCATCGCGCCGGTGGTGACGGCGATAGACTCGTCCTTCTCCATGGTGAAGCGTATGGAGTACCGATGTCAACTTCACAGGGAGACGAGAGGAATGAGAAAAAGGAAAGCAACAACAGGGAATTTCGAATATGATTTAAAGCTGATCGAAGACTGAGACCGTCGGAAGTCCGTCTTATCGCCCAAAGAGGATATCTCAGGCTTATCCTGGAGTGGATGTAACCCACGAACCGAGATGAGACCGAGCGACGACCTAGGGAATTGATTCGACGAGAAGAAAGAAGTGGGGGGAAGAGAGACAGGGGTGTAGAGAAGTGAGAGATGGTTAGACGAGAGCCACGAGACTTGAGTGGCTGGAGGCAGGTGCTTTGAGGCGGAAAGTGGCAATGTGCATATAACAAGACAACGACCAATATCATCCCACGTTGTGATTTGGCCTTGTTTTGGCCCGGTAGCCCACAGACCTCTCATGTTTACTCTTTATGCATAATCCGGAGAACATCCATCGTATCTGAGCATCTAGATACTTGGTGGCGTTCCTTGGGTTACCTTCGACTACATGGGACTATTCACTCCAGCCCAGTTCGCGTTCGAGGGGATTTCACAGAGGAATATAGGAAACATAAAATACCTGAGGTGTATTAGTAGGGGGTGAAGCATACAGCATAGTCACTTTTCCAAGTAATTCTAGACAGCGTAGGCTGTCTATACCATGTACATCCTACTTCCAAGACATAGAAGCAATCCCCTGAGAGCTTGTTAGTGATAAGCCAGCGCACGGAGGAAAAAACCTTAGAAGGTCAACCTGCCGTTATGAACTTAGCGTGGACGCTAAATTAGCAGCTAAAATGAGTGGCCAACCAACCGATGTGTCTGATTTCAGCCAGGTTGGCCCATCTCCGGGGCTAATCGGTTTTGGTGAAAGGCCATATTCCCAATAGATACAAAGATGGTTGTAGCCCCTGCAATACAAATAACCGGCAATAGCCTCTTATCTTGGGCATTAGTCGAATTTAGGCCATGGCCCCGGAGCTAATAATGGAGTTGTGAGATTGTCCGATCCCATCTTAGGGCTGTTCCCGGACTCCCTCGGACTCCCTAATATGATTAGCGGGTGACAAGAATTGCCAACTCAGGTAGGGCAAGACAAGCACTGTGGAACAATGTGTGGGGAGACTTTTCTAGTGGGCTTCTATGGCTGGGATGATTGACTGGATACCACCCGAATGAGGTGGCTTCGAATCTATCATGTCTCAAACCGGAGGCCCCGCGGACTTGCAGGGGTGTTTGAGGAGGGCGCTTACAATCGATACTCCTCATTGGCCCGAGATATATGCCAAGAAATATGCCAAGTGATGGGGGTACATCGCGTGATAGGAATAATCACTGCCATCTAACGATTGAATTGATATTATGTTATGGGAAAGAAAACATGAACGGAACGATCGAGGGCTCTGTGCGGAGTATCCGTACTCCGTGCCCGTGCTCCGTAAACTAACATGGGTTTCGCCTCGACTTGACCGGGGTAGTTGCACAAAGCCGAACATATTGACCAATGGAAATAATTCCTATGACAAAGAGAGAGAGAAGCAAAAGCTGGGGGAAGGCTTGGAGATAAGGAGCCGAGGCTTAAGCGGGGTTACAATGTATTGCCGACCGCCTTTAATATAAACCGGCAATTCAATCTCACTTAACGAGGCATGTTCAGGGGTAGTTGCCTGCTCTGTACATAGCCACCTAGTACGCAGTGGTTATTCCAAGGTTGCTTGCCATTTAACATAAGTGCAATGTCAAGGTAAAATTATCCATGCACTCTTTTGTGGATATTCCATATCTAATTCACCGGAAATCCCCCGAATCGAGCTTAAGGCCGATCGCAGGCAATTAATCTCTATCAATCAAGTGGAGTGCTTAAAAGGCACCTGCAGAATTCATAGCCCCGGGCTGGGAGGCCACGCGTACATCGTGATCTACCAAGCATTGCTTCCATGGTTGCTTGTTCTAGTGGCGTAGACTTGGTGAGATCTTTGTTTTGACATCCCGAGGTGGGGTCTGCGGTATCTGGGGGTGTTAAGCCGAAGACACTTGCACATACAAGGGTAATGGCCCGAGATCGGCAATTATGGGGTTGTAATAGATACCGAGGCCTGATATCAGCTCCATATGTGCGGCAGGAAAGGCGTGATCCGCGATTGGAGGAAAATGTAAAGGTAACATGGGTCCTTAATAGATTCGAAGTCAACTTATGCTCTCACGGTAAGTTGGTTGCTAACAATGAATCCGGAGGAAATGAGAAAATTTCATCACTCAGCCACTCAAAGTTGGTAAAGTAATCCTCGTTGATCTCGAACTCTCCTTGCAAATGACCCAAGTTCTGAGTAATTCCCCCAGCGGGCTCCCGAGCGGGATCTGTTCCCGTCATAGCACGCCCTGCCTCAATGCCTGGAAGCATGTTGGTTCGGGAAGGACCGTCAACAGACTCCAACGCTTGCATCTTCATGCGCGCATTAGGGTCATATTCATCACGCCACCACCATACTGCATCCAAGATCTGACTGAGGATCAAGCGACTTCGAATTCGAAGTACGGTATATTCCGAGCCATCGGATTTGCGGAATGCCTTGCTGCTATTCCAGAGTTGAGTCAGGAGAGTGATCGTTTTAGCAGCTATATCGCTTCTGTCGGTGGATATTTGCTTAGCCAAATTGATGGCGGCGAAGAAAGACGCCTGGGCACGGCTCGTATCGAGTCCGCTAGAGGCATATTCACTTTTGAGAATTCGCAACAGTGATATCGAGGCCAGGAGCAGACCGAAGCTTATTTGAATAGGCGCCATGAAGAGAGCTCCCATACGATCCGCAAAGGCTTGGACATAGTCTATCAAGTTGCAAGCGGTGGCGATAAGACGTGGAAGACATCCACTAGAGACGAGGGTTTGATTTTTGTAGAAATGGAAAATGTGGATTGACATACGACAAAGGAGAATGTGATACCTCTCGTCATCTGCAATAAATAAACAAGCGTTAGTGGATGGACTATTGCCAGGGGTATATGTGAGAAACAAACCGACGGCTTGCAGTGCAATATCGTCTACCTCTCCCTCATACTTCCGCAGCAGAATGTCTAAAGCCAGCTCCTGGTCCAGAGACATGGCACGAACTCCATTCTCCATAACTGCCTCGCTGCATCTCCCAACGACATCCTGGCACTTGAGTTTCTGAACCAGATCCGGGGCAATCTTATCAAATAGTACCTGGCGTTGGATGGTATCCTGTGCCAAACTGAACAGATTTTGCGGAGACTGCCCTTTGATCACACAAGATCTGCCACGAATCAGCACGATGATTTCGGTTGCTCGCAATTTGCAAGAAAGAAACCCACCGTTGGTACACCAGCACACAATGAGCCCAGAGCTCTGAGCGCCGGACCATATCCAACTCCGATGGGGCCGGAATCTTCGCCCGGGAAAATTCATGGCTCGACATCGGGATATGGAACCCATTTTGCATCGCTACATGCAAAAGCATGCCGCTGAGAGGAAATGTCACATCTGGGCGATTCTCCTTGGGAAACGGCCATGTCAGCAGGAGCAATAGTCCCTGTATGATGTGCCACGGCGCGCACGTCGACATGACCGACAGAAATGCCATTTCCGTGACTTCCTGGGCCAGCGCAGTCTGCAAAGTCGGGTTTCGGGAATATGATCGACTCGCTACGCCGATGACGGCCCAGAACAGGAATGGAGACTGCGCGTAGTACGCATTCGGCTTGGTCTGCGCATCGAGGATCGGGAGGAAAGAGGCATAATGATGGAAGAATCTGCAAGATATTAGCACCTTGTGGACCGCAAGGTTTGGGGGACATCTACAATTGATAAAGGTCATCAATCTCTGCGCCTGTAACGGTAAGGCTTTTCAGTGAACGGGGCTTCGTCGGATCATCCCCTCCCATCATCACACCCGATGTGGAGCTCGCTGGTGCAAGAGGATATTGGGGATAGGGTAGCGGCAAACCCTGCGAATCGTCCACTTGACCATCTGACTTCAGCACGGCCGGGACGCCTAATTCCGTTGTCGCTGTGGGCAACGCAATCGGCACGGAATCGGAGTTCAACTGCTGTGAGCTCTGTAGTTGTTGGCGCCACCGCTTATTCTCGTGTTCTAATGCCATGTATCGGCTTGGAGAACTATAAGAAGTGGATTCCCTCCGTCTTACTCGGGTTCGGGCTCTTACCGACGCTTGTGCTCTCTTGTGAAGCTGTCATCTATGGTGCATTCGAGGTTGCGGTCTCGGCATCGGGAACACGCTTTAGTCTCATCCCGCCAGACATCACACTTGGCCTACTGGAGTTAATACATTATAAAAGAATAAAAGGGGAAGTCAGCCGTACCTTTTGCTGGCGGCACATAGTACACGCCTTCTTTCCTTTTTTGGGTAATCTGTGTATGGTTACCTTAGCATGATTTTTCAGAACAACCTTCGAATAGATGCTCATACACCTCCATTTTTGAGTCCTGGGCGAACACGGTCTCTTATCGGGCTTGTAGGTCACAAATCAAGCGAAAGCTGTGATCAAACACCCTGTTTATCCTCTTCATTTGATTTTTTTTTCATCATAGGATAGGGGAAAACAGAGTGGTAGCGCTCAATCCCGGTAACGGGGTTCTGGCAGGTTTGTGATTGGTCTGACGCGGAGGGTTGAGGGGCATGGGTCATGTGATGCTTACCTGAAAAGATAGAAATAACTAACAGTCGTTCATATTTAGACTAAATACCAATGGTACTGTGCCCTGAAATCGACTGAACGATCCTAACTAGTATATAAGAATGGATGTATCCCGTAGAAATCCCTTGTAAATGTACCATATATTTCATACTAAAACGGGATGATCTAATCACAAAGATACCGTACATTTCCAGCATTTCTATAAGCCTAAACTAGGGGTATCAACGTGAGGTCTTAGGCGGGCCCACATGACCTGATTTCTGCTTACGTAGTTACTCCGATAGGATCATATTGCCTGATTTATCAGGCCTGAAGTTATGAAGCGTGTTTATCCGTGGAACCATTCATAGAAGGGGACCACAACTCATCTCACTTCTGAGTGAGTATACAAAACATGTCTATAAATACTAGGTGAGCTGCATAGATGAACAGACTTAAACAATCTCTTTCCTAGGGTGTACTCTACAGACATATATATCCTATTTTAACACCACACATACCGTACCAAAATATTATACACTCAACGCAAACCTCCTTTGAACAGTGTCTAACGCACTCGGCAGAAATTCCGTAATTTTTTCCCTGTTATATCTCAAACACCGGTTAGCTTGTACCTGTACCTGCCTAGCTAGGAAAATATAAACTAACTCTATAAACTCTTCATGTCGCAGCTGCCGTATCGGCCTTCTTAGATGATCAAATAGCTTCTTGTAGAGATAAAAGACCAACTGAACACTTAGACCATTAGTTTTTGAGATGCAGCTTATGAAGAAAATCCTGGTTCACCGAACATACCGTTTGGATCTCTTGGCATACGTTGGTGCATGTTCGGCGAGACAAGGGACACAAGAATAAGGTATGCAATTTTCTGATATTAAATATTTTAGTTTTTGCTAGTCCAAAACCCTGTTTAGTCTCCCATGGTGTCCAATCCTGAGTTCGTCTTCCCTGCTAGATCTTCGCTGATTAGTGGGTAATGGTTAGCGGACCTATCGTCTAGGCAGCGAAAGTGAAAAAAGTTTCGATCGACTGCGAACATCCAATGTTTCCTTCCTCTTGCACATCTAGCCTCGACGCGGTATCGAAATCCAAAAACGCGAAGACAATAGTCTTAAACGCCAAGCGTCGATCCACTGTCTCACCTGAGACAGAAAACGTACGCACGATTTGGAAGGGCCTAGTGTAACATCTGATTTAAATGAAAGGGCCCTCCGTCACTTTGGTCATCATTTTTTAATACACGATTTTCATAAGGCCGTCAATCACCAGAGTGCACATTTCCTCAAAATGGATCGACTTCCGAATGAACTTCTTCTAGCTATTGGGAAGCACGCCCAGGAAGATGGTTGCGCTCAGTCTACCTTGCATTCGCTAAGCCTTACCTGTCGACGATTTCATGATCTATTCTCGCCTTTGATGTATTCATACATATCTTCGGACAATTTTACAGAGTCATTCATCGGCTTAATCATGCGTATGTGGAGACAACCGGAGCTCGCCAGACAAGTCCATCGACTCGACCTATGCTGGTCACAATGTGACCAGCATGATCCATTAGAAATGAACGACGAGATGCAAAGCTTCATCAAGCATGCGCTGGAAGACATCTTCACCACGGAAGAGCAAGAGCAAAAGGAATTGTGGACAGAGCATCTTCATGGGGAGGAGGGAATATGCGGAGAAGCATGGTTGGGCCTATTTCTTGTCCGGCTAACCAACCTCCGAATTCTTGAGTTCCAGCATGAACATTCCGACCTCGTATCCGAAATCCTGCTCAAGGCGGCGAAACGCCAGCAGCCATTTCACCACGAGCCGCCGTTTCCTCACTTAAAAGAGGTCCGAGCCTGTGTTGCCTGGGGGGCTTCGTGGATTGATTCGGGCTTTGTGGAGCCTTTCTTTTATTTCCCTCAAGTCCGCAAGATCTACGGAACCGCAATAGGCGAGAAAAAAGATGAAGATATGGACCTCAAAAGTTACCAAGACGTGTGCCCTGTCCAGGATATTACTGTGGAAGAGGGTTACTGGTGTCGCGGTATGCTGGACTGGCTCGCAGTGTGTACACATCTTGAGCACATTTCCATCAGAGTCGAGATACAGGCAGACGAATATGACCTCGATGAGGAGAAGCAGTTCGATGCCTCGAAATTCCGCTTGGCTCTTCTTCCATTTACAACAACTCTCAAGACCCTACGCATCGGCTATGGAGATGCATATAAAGATCAAGTGGTTGCTGAAAAGGATGTTGTTGAAAACCCTTTCGGATCTTTTAAAGACTTTAATGTCCTCGAAACACTTAAAGTCAGACATGATCATCTGATGAAATCTCCCGATAACTCCATACTTAACTGGGATATGAAGCCACTTACGGAAATCTTGCCCCATTGCCTCGTGAATCTGGAAATCACAGACATTATGTTTGATTACCACCTCGAGCTATCATCGCAGCTTTTGAAACTCTTGCGCGCCGTGAACTTTTCAGTGAATCTTAGAAAATTAAAGCTAGGCATTTGCCTCGCGGATGGAGAGGAGTTAGGTGATGTATTTGATGATCTCAAGCTTGAATGTCAAGTTGCCAATGTCTGCCTGAAGATTGAGATAGCCTGACTGGAAAGCATGACTGGAGATACGAAAGGTACCGTAGCCCGAAATAAGATAGCGTTCTCGGCTATAAACTGTTCGTCGCTTTATGTACGTAGCTCAAAGTGATGGTTTAACTGGGGAGTAAGAAAATATACGTCATCGCAATGTATCAATACGCGATCTAAAGCAAAAATAAAATAGAGGGTTAGACCAGCTGGCCTGCTGAACGGTTCCTGCCAGGCTACACCTGTGGCTGTCACTCATCAAGCAAAGAATTTACGCGGACACTTTCTTCGGTACCCACGTTAGTGTCAATGTTCTAAGTCAGATTTACTTGATGCACGTGGTATGTCTTCCAATTTTCTCGATCTGTTCTCAAATGAACTGACTGCCCTAATTTGGGGGTTTTAAAGTCTAGCCGAGTACTATCAGACAAGAGCCTATGACGTCAAATCTATTACTACCGCAGTTTCCTTGAGACCACGGGATTAGCTACATGCCTCTCCTTATTTTAAATATTCGGTCATAAGTATGGTTTGTAAGAGTTCTAATTTAGAAAATTGCGGCAATTTCTACATTGAGTATCAGATTGCATATTCCATGTCAAAATCAATGCACAATTCTTCTTACACGAGCCCAAAAACTACTACAGAATTTATGTCAATTCCAACAAATTGATCTCCGGGTCCGTCCCAATAAACGCCGGAATGATGCCCCATCGACCCTCACTCATGAGGTCTCATGCGGGACATGGTCTTGCAACAGTGACTATCGTATGGTTTACAGAGCTCCTGGGTAAACCCCTTGCTAACTGGAAATCTTAAACTGCCTTGAGCAATTTCGTAGACATCGGCCAAAGGTACATTGCCGTGACTTAGACTCGTAGCCATGTGTCTGACACCACCCAGAGCATGAAGCTTAATGGAGGCGTGCTACTCATGACAAGGGTCCATTGGGCTATCATGCCATGTCACGCAACGTGGGACTCTCCAGATCTCGTGGTTGGATATTCGGTTGCCGTCGTTCGGCCAGAGCGGTCGATGGTGACGCGGCATGGAAGTTGGCTCGTCCTGAGGATTCTTATTCGACGTCCTTTCTTTCCTTTTTGGGTTTGGTAGCGGTGGCACTGACAGGGGCAATCTGCAGCAGGACGTCCATGGAACGGCGCGAACGGCGCTCAGAAGCTGCCCTACCCCGTTGAGAAGGGGCCAACCACTAAAACATAACTAGTCAACGAGATTTAAGCAATATGTTCTGCCTTGGAGATCTCCAGATAATCATGGCTGCGTTGTACCAAGTGTGCATGGTCCTGCAGACATCGTGCCACGAGGTGATGATGATTTGGAATAATGTGCTAGGGGCCTGGCGACATGGCAAAATTGGGGTATCACGCATCCCCCCACAATTTCTGTTTGGTCGAAGCGTCGAATGTTCTATTCGAAGTCTGCATATACTCAACGCCCCCACCACTGACGAGGAAAGGCAAAGTTCGGTCGATTGATATGTCCTCACCGTGACATCACCGGCTCTAAAGTCGAAGTATATAGTACAACAACAAGCTGTGAGATCAAGCGAAATAGAAAAACAAATGTCATTTAGATACGCGCAGCCATGAATTTTGATATTCCTACCGTCGCCGAAATCCAGCTCGCTGCCGAGAGGGGACAGCGCATCACACAGGATGATGTTTCGGCCATCTCACAGGCTGAGAGCGCGTTGACTGGACGCGGACCTTCCCGAGGTGGACCAGCTGGTAAGCATAAACTCTATTGCGTCTTCAAGCAACGCACGACTGACCGATTATAGCAACGGCCCAGAGTCTTTGTATGCGACAGATGAATTTCGAAAATAAGGTCGCGGAGATATCGCGGAAGCCATCCAGCGCGATCTCGATAGAAGATGCAGAGGAGATTCAAGCCACAGAGGTCAGGGAATTCCCGTGAAAGTATTGAGTGTCAAATTAATTACTAACGCAAGGTCCCATAGGGACGTGCATTTAACCAACCACCTGGAGTTGGCTACATCTCTGCCCAGATTCGGTCGATTGCCGACAGTAATGATGCCTTGGGGCTCACAGCCGTCGCTGATGTGCCTGCATATATCACCAAAGATGATGCCCGTGACGCACAACATGCTGAGGCTAGTGTTTATGGTGGTCAGAATCCTCGGGGAGGAATGGCAGCTCAGATGCAGGTAAGTGTAGTTTAAACTTTGTGAATACGGTATCTGACAGGCGCATGCAGAGTGCAGCGGACAAGATCGACAATGCCCGACGAGGTAGTTATGGCAGCTATAACATTTGATACTGTCATGTAAAATAGCGATGCGCACAACCAACAGTTGTACATATATATTGTACAAACCAATGTAAACACATTGGTAAACCTACTTTAACTTATACTATGTACACAAATCAAGAAAGATCCCAAAGCTACATGACATCTGACTCGACAACGAACATTTCTGGGATATCGTCTACGTTATTTGAGGCCTGACCCAGTTCTCTGATGTTCATGAGAATTGGGAAAGTACAAAAGCGAGCTCACCGCGGAGGTATTAAACGAACTCTGTACAGATCCTCGGGAGTTTAGCTTCTTGCCCGGATTGCATAAACTGACAAATATGTACCGGTTTATACCAGGTCACCGGATCACGAACCTAGCTCCTTACTGCTGTCTAGCGTCTGGGTCGGTAGCGGTTGATCACAACGCAGATCGCAGAACAAATTGTAGACTCACAATATTCTCCACTTCAGCTCACTCACTAGCACATATGCTCCACTGTAAGCCGTGCTAATTGCTAGCAGACTTATCACCTGATATCTTCGCTTTAATGCGAATGATTGAACTGCTCAATTGTGGCGCCTAAGCGATTTTCGTTCTCGAGACAGCTTGAACACACATTGTGGCTTTCAGTTATACGAATCGGAGAGCGTCCGAATGCGAAGGAGACCGAGTCGGCACCGTCGGATAAGGCGGGTCGTATCTCCACCGTCAAGGTGATTTGTGGAGCTCGATCAGCATTATCGAGTGAGACTTGATATGAGTGGCACGCTAAGTTGAGTCTTTGTGGAGGGGTAAATTTCCCAAAGCCTTGCATAGAGCTCTGGCGGGGCACAATAATTTGTCATTGCCTTGCAGCTTTTGGGCTGACAGGGGCCAAAAAAGAGAACTAGCCGATTTGAAATCCCGAACGACCTTTCTATTTGGAATTCGAATTGCCCAAACTGGTTGAATCGGTCAAACTTGGTGGATTTTGTGGAAAAAGCTCAATCAAAGCACAGCGTAGCTATGACGTAACTTGGTAGGTACCGGGTACCTGTTTCACCAGCATTAGCAAAGGAAAAAGCAGGTATTCGTGACTTGACATATCAATGACCATGACCAGTTCAACTTTCTTCCAATGTTGGGGGGAATTATCCCTTAAATACCGTTCCACCCATCTCCGGAGGTCCTCAATCACAAGTACCTTGGAAGAATCAATCCATCAATTCATACACAATGCCTCTCTCCGGACACTGCCTTTGCAAAGCCGTCACGTACACCGTGGACATTGACGCTCCTTTGGTCACTGCCTATGATCACTGCGATGACTGCCAACGCCAGAGTGGCTCGACCTATTGTTAGTTGCGTAAATACCCACGGAGAAACACAATTGCTGACTTTGTATAGCACTCGTAGCTGTTGTCCCCAAGGACAAGCTGACTATCAAGGGTCCCACCAAGAGCTGGGCTGGCAAAGGTTCCTCCGGCCACGCTGTCCACCGCATCTTCTGCTCTGAGTGTGGTTCCCCGATCGCTCACGATCCTGATGCCGCTCCCGATATCATTGCCATCAAGGCCGGCACTTTGGATACTGAGATCAAGAAGAACTTGAAGCCCGTAAGTGTCACAAGTTAGGGCTAGATTTAACTTTCACCAGAGTGTGACTGACCCCTCGCTCAATGTAGGACACCGAGATCTGGACGGTCAGCAAGCTTCCTTTCTGCCAGGAATCCCTTGCCCACCCATTCAAGCACATGCCGGAGTAAATGCGGGACGTTGTGGCTGTCTAAAGAAAAGAAAACATCTAATGGGTGCTTATAACGAGTGATAATGATGAATGCAAGGTTATAGTTTCCAGAATAGTTAAACATATCCCTGACACAGCCCGACCATGTAGAGTTCAATGCCAGTAGTACTCCGTACCGGGTGTATCTTTGTCGGCAAGCTTCATACGTTGCCTTACGTGATGTCTTCTCTGACAGGGCCAGCAATCAGCGACGTTGACTCGTACAAGGAAACAGAACAACCATTTGACCGAAACTTCCCCACGAAACTCCGACACCGAAATTCATTTTTACTTAGTATTCTGGTTCAAAATGTCGACTGGCATTCTATTCATCCGTGACTCACGCACTAACGCGAATTATGAGATCCCCATTAACCGAAACGCAGTACGGGCGACCGACCTTCAGCGTATCCGGGCACCTTCCCTGAACAGCAATCGCGCAGACCAAGTTGCCCATGGGTTGCGTGTTTATGATCCCGGATTGCAAAACACAGCCGTGACAGAATCACCTATCAGCTTCTCGTGAGAATCACACAAAGGCCCTTGAGATATCTGGCTGATTGGTGGTTAGTGATCATGAGCGCGGCCTACTTCTGTATCGAGGGTATACCCTAGACCAACTCTGGGGGTGTGACTTTGAAGAAATGTTTCACCTGCTGCTATGGGGAACATATCCTACAGCAAGTCAATTCGAAGAGTTGCGCCGGCAGCTGGCACAATATATGCAAGTGGTCCCTGATATTGTGCGCCAGACCATCGTTAATCTCCCGTATGATGATTCCTTGATCGTATCTCCACCATCTTATGTTTCTAACAAGCGCTTACATACACAGCAAGGAGACTAGCCCACTGCCGCTGGTTCTAGCAGGCCTTTCAGCCTACCTGGCCTGTACGCCCGATGTGATCCCAGCGACCACAAATCCGACGATTTACCAAAGAGACATCAAACGGGCCGACCAAATAATCCTACGAACTGTCGCTGCTTACGCTGTGGTCTTCGGGGCCGTGAGATCCCACCGACTAGGCATTCCCTGGAAGTCTCCATCGATCCACCAAACCTACTACGAGAATCTATTCGCCATGGCCGGTCTTGTAGACCCAAAGACAAACCGACCAGATCCCACTCGCGTGTCCTGTTTCCGCCGCTTTGGCAACCTGAATGCCGAGCATGGAATGGCCCTAACAGTCTTCTCAACAGTAGTTACTGCCTCATCTCTCACCGACCCAGTGTCCTGCCTAATAGCTACCGTGGCTGCCGCACACGGACCCCTACACTTCGGCGCAACAGAGTCAGCCCAACTCGCTCTCCGTAACATTGGAGAACCGAAGAATGTTCCAGCCTTCATTGAAGACATAAAATCTGGAAAGCAAAAGTTATTCGGATACGGCCATCGCACTTACAAGGGAATGGACCCGCGCGTGCGTCCCATCCAAAGTATCCTCAAGGATATGACCGATGTTAATCAACCGCTATTGAAAGTCGCTGAGGCGATCGAAGAGGCTGCTTCGAAAGATGAGTTTTTTAGTACGCGGGGCTTGTATCCCAATGCGGACTTTTACGGTAACTTCGTATTTACCGGAATGTAAGTTCACTCGCGACATGTGTACGATGACTGCAGGTTCCAACACGGTGATTTAGTGGTTTCGAGCCTGATATGATTCCGGCGGCAATGCTTGCTCACCGCATTATTGGTATCATGGCACATTGGAGAGAGTACATGGGTAAGGAACCAGTTCACTGAAGGCGTGGTATCTTGGCTAACGGGCTCTAGTCAATCGTGGCAAGCTGTTTCGACCTATTCATCTGTATACAGGTCATGCGGAGCCAACTTCGGGCCCCAGGCCTAAGATCTAAGAGTTCGAACATGTAACGAGAGAGTGATTATTCCGATATCATTGGCTGCTTTTTCTTGTGAAGACTGGTGAAAAATATCGGTTTATCAAATTTATCGAGAAATAAGATCCTTTTCCACCGTAAGAGCGCATTGAATGCATATATATTTTCCTTCACCGAAATGCTGTGATATTGGGTTCACGGTTGATTTAACGGCAAAAGGACCCGGGTATTTATTCGCCATTACATCCAGAAGGAATCCTGTGAAATTTTTGTTTGGCATTCTACCTTGAACCAACATGAACGATCAAGATATTCATCAAGTGCAGCAGCAGAACGATGGGGTTGATGAAGAAACCCCCTTGCTGCGTGCCCCTTCTGGCACCGAGGCATACTCCGTCTTCACACCAACGCAGAAACGCCTCATTATTTTGACAGCAGCACTGGCTTCGAGCTTTTCGCCTTTATCGGCCAATATCTACTACCCGGCATTGAATTCCATTGCAAAGGACTTGGGAGTCAGTCCATCTCGAATTAATCTGACGATCACGACATACATGGTAGGTTATAAGTAACCAGAGTCTACAAACTACGTTCGAATAACTGACCTCTCTGAGTTTGAAGATATGCCAGGGCCTCTCTCCAATGTTAACAGGGTCATTTGCAGACCAAGCTGGCCGTCGACCTGCATACATCCTTTGCTTCGTGATATATTTATTTGGCAACATTGCTCTCGCTCTACAACACAGCTTCCCAGCACTCTTAGCTCTTCGTGCCGTTCAAAGTTGTGGCAGTAGTGGAACCGTGGCCCTTGCATCCGCTGTCGCGGCCGATATTATCACGTCCGCCGAGCGGGGTATGTACATGGGCTTTACTTCCCTGGGAAATATTCTTGCTCCTTCAATCGGGCCGATTCTTGGAGGTGTGTTGAGTAAGTATCTGGGCTGGGAAGCAATATTCTGGTTTCTCGCTATTGCAGCTGGTACTTTCTTCGTCCCGCTGCTGCTATTCTTCCCTGAAACGTGCCGAGGCATTGTCGGAAATGGCTCGAGCCCTGCAGTCGGATGGAATCGAACCATGTGGAGTTACTTTTGGACCACCTCCGAAATGACCCCACCTGCATTAAGTGTGCCGAGGAGGCGCTTGAATGTCCCTAACCCATACTCAACCCTACGTCTGCTTTTCCACCGACCTGTGGGGCTGGTGCTTTTAGCAAATGGAGTTGTCTTCAGCAGCTATTACGCGGTCACGGCGGGAATTCCTGCGCTTTTCCACAGAATCTACGATCTAGATGATTTGGGTATTGGACTATGCTTTATTCCTGCAGGCTTAGGGTCATTACTCAGTGCAACTGTCAACGGAGTATTAGTTGACTGGAATTACCGGCGGTCTCGACGCAATGCCGGTCAGACGGTACACAAGAACCAGAAGCAGGACATCCTTGGATTTCCTATCGAACAAGCGAGATTGCAGATTGGTCTGCCAATGACGGTACGTTGCCCTGAGACATCCTTGGAGTTGGTTAGTTGACTTAATTCCTCCTTTCAGATACTTGCAGCTGTCTCAATAGTCGTGTACGGAGTACTCATACCGTTAAAGCCACCACTCATGGTTGCCCTTACTGTGGTCTTCGTAATTTGCTTTTGTATCACGGCGGCATATAACGTGATGAACATTCTGATCGTTGATTTGTACTACGAGACCCCTGCTACCGCGATGGCCGCTAACAACCTCGTGCGGTGTTTCCTGGGAGCTGGTGCTGCAGCCTTAGTTAACCCTCTGATCAAGCGAATTGGTGTCCAATGGACATATTGTTTTGTATCTGGCGCAATTGCGCTAGTCACGCCAATTTTAAGTGTTGTTTACATGAAAGGCTGGGAATGGCGCAAGAAACAAGCCGAAACTGATGCACAACGGCAAACTATACACGGGAGACTATAGTACTATTTGTGGAAAGCGGGTCTATAAATTGAATCACAAGGCCGAGTGGAATTGATTTAGTCATTGCATTCCCGATTGACATGTTGTCGAACTACTCTCCTCGGTTGATTCTAAAAAACACAATATGATCTCACCACTTGCACTCCTCTTTGGTGTTCTAACAGACATAGTCCAGATGTTCCCTTCGCCCCCTAGTCAGCAACTGCAAATACGGTATCCCGGGGGCCAATGGATCACTCCTGGCATGGACTTAGATATCCGAGGTATGCAAATGGCGAACGGCTTGAATCAAGTAATTTAACATCAGCCCAGAGGCCAGCATGATTCCCGAGATCAGCAGCAAGAACCTCGGATGCAACAAGAAATACATCACCCTCTTCATCGACCTCGACGCCATCCTACCAGGAACCCATATCCAATCAGTCATTCTACACTGGTACCAGCCAAACCTAATGATGGATTGTACAAAGCCGTCACCCCCTTCCATAATCGTTCCAGGAAAAGACCACGGGGACAGACATAACCCGGCAGCCTCGTACATAGCTCCTCGTGCACCACCAAACACGCATCATCGTTACGTCTATCTCCTTTTCGCGCAGCCCCCAGCCTATCAATTTCCGGATTGCTTTGCACATGTGTTCCCTAAGACTATTAGCGCACGTGCCGGATTCGATATCAGGAAGTTTGTTCAGGCAGCAGGGTTGAGCCCTCCCATTGCTATGAACTATTTCATTGGCAGACATGAACCTGCCGAGGGAGAGACAACCACCATGCCTGACAGTGCGACAACGACCTCGTTCCGTTCCGTGGATTGTCCCACGAGCACAGCCGGATTGGTGGCATGAGATAGTGCATGGGGACATGGAAACTGAGATTATTTATTCAAGGAGACTTGAGAATATGATCCACGTTTCGAAGGTGCTATTTTTGGAACTCTCCATTATCTGGAAACATAAACATTGTAAGATACTGTCGGCACAGCGGTCTAACCCAATCTTTGCTTGCACCCTGGATGCCCACTGCCTGAATAGTACCGCCTTCCTTTTGTATTCAACTGCATATGATACATAGAGCAAGACAGCAGCAGGTACCTACAGCTTGTATGTAAACTCCTAACAAAATTTAGTCACTTCTGTCATCTCTTGTATCAACTATCTATTTCATCACCAACTGCTTTATTGTTGACTGCTTCATCAACTGCTCATTCATCAAGGAGCTAATTCCTATAGAAATCAGGTAGTATATACGATTTTTCTAATCAAAATGCATGTTTTTTTACTATGTAAACCAGAAGTAGGCAGAATACATGGCAGAAAAAATAAAGTGTGGCCGGAACATTCTGAGTGGTACTCGATCAGGAAGGCGGTACTGAAATTCAAGGCAGGGGGGTCTGAGCAACAATTCCCCATGAAATCATATAGCTAGGGCTAATTCACCAGGGTTAATCAAGTCACGCCATATAATTAAATTGGTAATAGTACAGGATTAAAAACAAGCCCCGAGGCACACTTTTCACTTCCCTATGGTGTTTTCCTCTCTCGCCCCTCCTATTCCCAGTAACGACTATGCTCTCACATCTGTTTCGCAGGCAGGGCTGTCGGTACGCTTGCTGTCCGCGTTGCAAGGTCCCCTTTTGAATATATAAATAGATTATCTGAAGATAATTCATGTCCCCTATAATAAAAGGTTCGTTTATAACTTGATTATACCTACCATTACGATTCCTGGTACCACGATGCCTGCCATCAACCTAGCTGCCGCCACCATTGACGGTGGGTGGATGGATTGATGGCAGGCATGGTGGTATCTGGAATGGTAATAGTAGCTATAATGAGGTGAAAGATGAAGCTTTTACTATAGGGAACATATATTGTCTGCGAAAATTGAAATGAGATCGGACAACCAAATTATTGGAGAACAATTGGCAACGTACTTCGTATAGTATATCAGAAAATTAGATGTGGATGGTTGTAATAAAATGTTCATATCAGAAATAAGAAATGCGTGTCAAGGCCGCAATAACGCACCAATTGTTGTGCCTATATAAGAATCGCAAGCAACTGGCTTATCAGGTGAGCATATGCTCCGAGAACGCCGTAGAAATAAGTGTCAACAGACAGATCGATTGATAGATGCCGCTGTTATGGGAAAGCCCCTCGATCGACTAGCATATATTGTAGTTCGGCTTCATGCCTCTTGTTCAATGATGGCCGTGAATTTCCATCTGGAGTTGTTCGACGCAGCAACTAGAATAGGACGTTGTCCGAGAAAGGAAACAGCTGTTTTGTGTGCAACAACGGGTTTGATTCTAGTGTAAGGAAGCATCCTAGCTCCATGAAATGTGAATACCGTACGACGGCGTTACTAAAATCAATTAGCATCCAAAGAAATCCCCAAGTTCACGTCACCACTTCAATTGTTCACTGATGGATGGTGAGGTAAAGTTGGTGATCCTTGAACAGTCAACACCCCCACAGACTACAAGCGTGGTACTCGCACACAGGTCCCAAGGGGGGTAGGACAAGGTTATTTGTCATTGGTAAAGTTCGATCCATGTAACTTCTTGTGCTTTCGGCAATTGCTGTAAACGGAGGTCATTGTGGTGTGGGTAAACAGCCTTTCGTGATGAATGCGGGAGTGCAATCAAACGTGGTCCTGTGTTGCTGACAGCATTCAATATCAACTAGGAAAGAGGTGGGTGAACTCATCATGAGATGAATTATAAATACCCCAAGTTGGCCCAAGACCAGGGAGAATCATACTTGTTGATTGAGGAGTCCGAGCGGACAAACCTTTCAACATCTGTTCCACAATTTACACATGGCTGAGACCTCTACCAAGAGGTCTCTCCAGTCCAACGGTCAACTACTTCGCAACCAAAAGATGCGCACAACCTGTAACGCCTGCCAGCAAGCGAAGATACGATGTAGCCACACCTACCCATGTGACCGTTGCGAGAGTCATGGGTATCAATGTGTCTATTCAATCTCGCAGCCGTTGGGCCGGCCGGCCAAGAGAAAGATGATTCGGCCGGCAGCAGCAGGGACAGGCATCAAGATGCGTAGAAAGGAGGTGGAGGGAGTTGACCGTCCGACGAGGCTAGCCCCAGAAGAGAGGGCGCAAAGGGCGCGCAGGGTCCCGAGTCGGATCCCGAGTCCAACTACATCATCCGGCTCGGGTCCTAGCTCAAGGGAAGAGTCGTACAAGAGCGACCCTAGCACCGGCACTGAAGTTACACCACCAAAGGGAAACTTTCAGTGGTCGAGTTTCACAAATCTGCTCTCGGATGTTGCAGGTGAGCACATACCTAGTCCATAGTATATATAGATGTCGATAGATGACCGTTGGGACGCGCAGGAAACCACAAGATTGGACAAGGGATCCAGGACCACGAGGCCGAAAACCGCGCGGATCCAGGATTTTCCGATACCAGCCCGGATAGCTCGTTTGAACAAAATGACGGATTCGAAAGTTCTGGGGGTCCCCGTTTTTCTGGGCGTGTTGACTATTCCACACAGTGTTATACTTCCCACATCGGTTTGATGGTCGATGAACCCCCCATTGAAGGGTTCCTCCACACCGCTGCGCCGGACATCCAGTCTGGGTCACTCTTTCAAGGTGGTGCAATTTACCCGTTCAGCCTCGCACCGAACGCAATTCAGGTCTCCGGAACAGTACGGAATCCGGCTAGAATCATGGACTTGCCCTCCAGTGAAATCTGGCACGAACCGGTAGATACTGATTCCAGTCAATCTCTCCCACTGGAAGATATTGATCTTGAGGCACTGCCGGAAGACGCTTCTTCCCTTCACTGCAATTGCTATGCCCAGGCATTTAGTGAAGTCATGCAATCGGAGGAGGTGAATGGGCCGAATAAAATATTGCTCCACCTGGAAAGGGTGCAGCAACAGGGAGTGGTCATCCTTCAATGTCAAGTATGTTTTGCTTCAAACGCCAGGGCTAATATTCTCACCTTATTAGTCATGGCGATTGAGAAAGCGGCACGGGCGTTGAAGGTGAGGGCCAAATTGGCCACCACCTCGGTACAAGGGGGGGTTTGTTCTGTGTGGGGAGAAGAGGACATTAGCCAAATGCGCCGCTGTCTGTCTCATCTGTCAATTATTGTCCGTTTCATCCATCAAGATCTCCACTGGGCCTCGCCTTCAAAATGGCACCTGGTGATGGCAAATGAGACAGATCGTCGGCTGCAGTCGATTATTCGAATTTTTGAGTGATCGCTGGTTGAAAATGTGTGTATATTAAGACGTGGAATGGAACCCGAGAGCTCGTGAGCATTCTAAATTTCCGGTGGTCACTCAGTAGTAGCAATTGTTAGATGAGTGATGATGATTGAGTTGGTTTGTAAAGAAATTCGCATGCTGGAAATTGCCGACAAAAGTCGAAACCAAAAGGGACTGTTACTCGCATTGCAACGATCAAAGGGGTATATAAATATACACAATCGTTGAGAAATCACCCAGCTGGTAGATATTATGAACATAAAAACCTCCGGCAAATTATTGGATTGGCATGACTGCATTTACCAATGAGCAGGTCAGAATAGACGACACGAAACTCCCCGGATAGGTTGAGTTGCACCGGTAAAGGTCAGTGTGTCAGCTGGCTCGCACAGAATTTGAAGAGTTTCAAGACTGACCATTTTAGAAGCTCTTCGATTGGGACATTTGGGACATCATCAGGGGAACATCGCAAACAGGTGTCTGGGATGGATAATATAAAGTGCTCTGACGTGAGCTATGACACACGTTATTGTGAACTAGCCTAGGGTTCTTGGACTACAACTGGTGACCATTGCACAAATTAGTTGGAAATGCACAACAGAATTGAAAACAATCATGACCGAAAAATAAATTGTTATTAGGGAATTAGTTCCATAACGATACTTACATGAAGAACCCTAGTAAATGTAAGGGAATGAGATACACACTCACTGCCGAAGTACCTTGGACTCCTTCGTCAATCCCGCTCCTGATGTCCCTTTCACACTAGTTGTGTTTGTAAAAGAAGTGGTATTGATGATGATTTAGTTGGGCCAGGGCTTTTCAAAGGTGCCAATCCACTGTCCCCATCCAATGACCTTGCTCATCATGGCATGCTTGATATCTTTCTTTGTCACCTTCTCGGGAGCCGTGAACTTGAGAGACTCATCGAGCGCGATGATGGTGAAGATGTAACGATGTTTTCCATGGCCGAGCGGTGCACCAGCGCCGACAAACGGCAATCCAAGCAAGTTTGGCACAAAGCGCCAACCAGCAACGGTCAGGCGGGAGATCTTGGCGTGATCATCCGGGTGGACATCAGCCGCTTCAGCTTTCGTGGTCGAGGGTGGAATAGCCCAAAGGAGACCGTGGTGAAAGACAAGGAATGGGATTGGTGGATCGAGGTCTTCACAGAGGAGTACATACTCCTTGACTTCCTCGCGACAGCTTGGAGCTGTCCAGCGCAGTTCAGGAAGACCACCCTTGCCATCAGCGGCCTTGCAAGTACAGTGGAGAGGTAGTTTAGAGCCCGAGGGGCCGGCTTCGGGTGCTTCGAGGGTCATGTTGGGCTCGGGAAGGTCTTTGAAGGCCGGGCATTGAATGATTTGGCCTGAATCATGGCCACGAATTGGGTACAGTAGCCGGCCAATGATGAATTCGAGATAATGTAGAATCGCCATAGCACATGGATTTGATAGAACTGCAGATATGAAGTCTTTTTGTGTGAAGATGAAGGAAGGACAAAAGTCTTGATGTTGAGTTTCATGGAAGAGTAGGGGCAGCCCGATTGGGAAGTTACCCTATACCGGCCCGGAATCGGCAAGTGCGACTGTCGTCCCTCGACTTCCCTTTTCTGTGAACTTGTGATTTGCCTCTCTCCCGATCCTTAAATCCGTTGAGACAGTCATATCTTACTCTTTGGAAGCCTTGTAATAATTCAAAGTACCCGAGCGAGGCCAAAGCACGTCTTTAGTCTTAATTACTTGTGCAAGTGATACAGGACGACGGCAAAACACAGCGGTTGAGTGGTTCCAGTTACGACACAACAACGCTCGCATACCCTGTGAACTCCCCGGTCTCCTTCGCGATAATTGGAATCTCATCTTCAGCCAAGGAGGCAAAGGTGTCCGTCTCCAAGGGTGTCCAGCCCAATTTCCGAAGTCGATTCGCCCTAATTCGTGCATTTGATCCCAGTACCATCCCAGAATATTCCCCGAACAAATCATCCCAGTTTTCCTTCGGAATGGGCTTTGGCGTAGATTTAGTAATGCACCCTGTCTTCCTGAGTGTATGGCCAATCGCAGCGGCGCATTCACCCCAAGACAACTCTTGACCGTTCTCACAAAAGAAGTACGGATTCAGCGCAATCTCAGCAATGGGTGCACTCTCTATCCAATGAAGAAGAATCATATATCCTCTGGCAAGGTCTCTGACATGAATCTGGCTCCAAACTGCGAGACCTTTCCCGATCTGACCCGCATAGCCATGTTTGATAGAATACCGGATGAGCGTCGGCAATTGAATCGACAGGCGGTGTTCCCTACTAGTCATGCCGTAGATAAGGGGCGGAATCATGATGGCTATTTTGGCGTAGGAGGCTAATTCTTGGGCTGCTCCGACGATGACTAGATTGATTAGGCGATGCGGTGCAGAATCGGGGAGGGCGTGGATTTCGTCGGGTTGCTCATCGTCAAAGACGATATCACTTCTATACTCTCCTTGGGCGTTATCGGAAAGCAAAGTTGCTCCACTGTTGTGGATGTATATTGTTTGCAGCCCTTGCGCCGCTCGTTGTCTGATGCCATCGATTATTGCTTGGACAGATGACAAGTGATCTGCAGTCGCGATGTAGAAGACAATGTCATTAACTGCGACCTGATCCTTGATCACTGATGTGTCGTCCAGATTGCCCACGACGGTTTTGACGCCTAAATTGGCGTAATCTGCCACGGCTGATTCGTGACGGACAAGTGTTGTTACGTTGTAGTTCGATATGAGAAGAAAGTCAATGATTTCTCCGCCTACAAAGCCGGGACCAAGGAGGAACACCGAAGCAGGCATGATGACGGGTGACTGGTTGAAATAATCGTGAAATTCGTTGTGCACTACTCTGTTGCCTGGTTAAATATATGTAGTATATGTGACTGCATGTTGACGTCGCCGAACTTAGTAATATTGCGCCTCAGTCCTACCTAGAGAGGATATCGATTCAGATCGCAGAGATATCGGAAATATATCATGAGAGGACAGGCTCAAAGGCCTTCTGAGATATATATATTCGATTCGGGATTCGGATGAACTCATCGCCATTCAGCCCGTTCTATGGGCAGGTTATCTTTTATTCCGAGGATCATGCGCTATATTGTGTTTCATCGTTTTATGGCTCTTCTTTGTATGTTTATAGGGCAGTGTACGGAGTATCTACCATATACTTTGTTATAGAAAATGAAGACATTCCCAAAGAGGCGTATATCCTGCCGATCTGATGACATCATCAACAATGTTGCTCGTTGGGGCTCTTCCGCCCGCATCCGCGCGTACCTGGGCTTGTAAATTTGTGGATTCCTGGGGGAGAATTTACACAACCTTCTCCATGCTATCCTATATATCTGCTGCCTTTCGGCCCCCGTCGCCAGAGGAAGGCGTACAGCAGCGACCACCACGGTATGCCGGTGAAGATACCACCCCAACGAGCCGCCGGGAGATCCTAGGATGGTACTCGTACGGGATTGCGGCGGAGGTGTTCGCGGTCTGTGGCGTAGGTTCGTGAAGACATATCTGCAAACCTAAAATAATCAATTACTTATCGATCGCCACCAGGATCTTTCCTACCGCTCACCTTGGAACAATTAGCCCGCGAGCGCGGCACCCTGCAAGTGAGCCGTCTTCCATGCGTCGGACCATCCACAGGGAACAGCACAAATAGTGCTGAGCATGGCCAATGTGTGGTGCCGATCTTTGGCGCCGAGGTCAATACAGCTAGCTTCGCCATGTACACCTTCTCGCTAGCGGTACTCATACAGGCGCTGACACTGATATCGTTCAGCGCGCTGGCGGATTACGGTATGGTTGCAGAACGCCGGACTGAGAATGTTTGGTGCGAAAGAGGGACATGAGTTAACGTCAAATTTGTCCAATTGGATGTATAGAGAACAACCGCAAGATATTACTTATGGTATTCGGATTCGCCGGTGCGCTCGCCAGCATGTTGTTCATATTCATTGCGCCGCCTATCTTCATTATCGGATCGATATTGGTCGTCATCGGTGTGACCTGCCTCGGTTCATCCTTTGTTGTGCTGAACTCTTATCTCCCTGTGCTTGTCGCCAACGACCCATCTCTGCAAGAGGGAAAGGCGGATGACAGCGCGGAAATGTCGAGCTTCGATCGAGACGGAGGTAACTCGGAATGGAACGCCTGGGGCAGCGATGATGCCGACAACGATAGTTTAGACGGACTTCAGCCACAAGAGCAGCCACGGAGCTCACTAGAAGGTGGACTAGGGGCCAAGGCCCCGCCGTCGTCCTCCCCGGAGCTGCAGCTTTCCACCAAAATCTCCTCCACAGGCATTGGTCTTGGATATTGTGCGGCGGTTTTTGTGCAAATCATCAGTATCATCCTGCTGATCACATTATCCAAGACCTCCCTTGTGAAAGTGTCTGGCACTCTTCCCATGCGCTTCGTATTGCTCCTGGTCGGCATCTGGTGGGGCGGGTTCACCTTGGTCACTCGTAATTTGCTCAAGACACGACCGGGGCCTCCCTTGGATTCAGTCGCCACCAAAGGCACAGCAAGATGGCGAGCCTGGCTACGACTGATCGGTTTTGCCTGGAAATCACTATGGGAGACCGTGAAAATAGTCATCAAACTGCGCGAAGTCCTCATGTTCCTCGTAGCATGGTTCCTGATCTCCGATGCAATGGCCACTGTCTCTGCAACGGCGATCCTCTTCGCGCGGACGGAACTCAAACTGAGCACACCGCTGATCGGACTTCTCTCCATCACTGCGACGGTGTCCGGCATGACGGGCGCATTCCTATGGCCACATGTATCTCGGTACTTCGGCCTACGGCCGAATCAAACCATCATCCTATGCATTGGCATGTTTGAGATGATACCACTCTATGGGTTGCTTGCTTACATCCCCTTCATAAAAAAATGGGGTGTGTTCGGGCTACAACAGCCGTGGGAGATATTCCCGCTGGCCATCGTCCACGGAGTCGTGTCGGGAGGACTGGCATCATACTGCCGATCGTTCTTCGGACTCATGATTCCACCCGGTAGCGAGGCTGCGTTCTACGCTCTTTACGCTGCTACGGACAAGGGCAGCTCATTCATTGGGCCGGCTATTGTGGGCGTTCTTGTTGATGCGACCGGCCAAATCCGAAGTGGATTTTTCTTCATGGCGCTTCTGATCCTTCTGCCTATCCCCCTTGTGTGGATGGTTAATGCGGACAAGGGTCGGCGTGAAGGTTTGGCTATGGCTGAAACCCTGGGCAAGTCACATGGTGGGCCCGCCGAGTACGCCCAGGAAGCCGAAGGGCTTCTTGCTCGTGAGTAGACTAGACTGTATACTAGAACATATCGTGAGATATTTATGACATAGATTATGAATATATATGAAGTTGGGAATGGACGGGAGACTTGGAATGATGGGTTTCAAACCCTTCAACAAAAACTCGATTTGGCGAGCAATGCAACGGTATTTTGAAAATTCTAGCGAGTGTCTCAATTCCAGGGTCCAAAATAGATCAAAGACACGGCAGGGTCTTTTTAAGTCAAGCCTTTTGATCGCAGTGGGGATACACTATGTGGAGAAGGGAGTTTGATGTCCAATGAAACATTTCAATTGGAAAAAGAAGCCCTAGAAGCTCAGCTCGCCACCAATCGTGAAACGCGAAATCGTCTATTTTGGCCGCTAAGTGGGCTGATATCAATAACACCAGCCCTTGGTTAGTTGCAGCCTAGAAATAGAGAACCGCGGTGTCTGGATTGAACTCAGAGCTGTTACACTTAGAAGACGGATTGAAAATGAATGTAACATGGCGCCGTGAAGGCAGAAATATAAAGATTCACGTTCTCTGTACGAAAACATGGCAAACACTCAGCGTTCTTTTGTACTCTCCTTCATTACAGTCATCATGATCACCAGTGTTGTATTCGCGTGTCTATTTCTACTCGCTGGTGCACATCCAGGGAAGCGAGGGCCATTCATTGAGTCCGTCACAGACTGCTCACAGCTACCGTTGTACAACAACGAGACAAAGATAGCCGGGCCTTGGACACTCAAAGTTGACAGCTGCTACAATGGAACTGCGACTCGAGGGTTATGCAGCATCGAAGGCTTTGAGACTGGCAGCGATATCATACGTTTACGAGAAGACAGACCCAACACGATCGAGCATGGATTTGTAAGTTGCTACCCTTGCATGGACTTGTTCCATACATGAAAACATAACCGACGAAGGGGAACAAATAACCAACAAAGATTTAGATCACAATCGTAAGCGACAACAACAACCTCAAAACCCAGCTCCGCTGCAACGGTGTCCTGAACAAAATCGAAGCATACGTCCTTTCCGGTCCCGGTGCCGGCGCCTTGGAATGGCACGCCGTGGGGATTGACCACCACCCCAGTACAGGACGACTCGTCTGGGGCAAACCAAACGCTGAGCCTGTACAGGTATACAGACACTACCGTCGTGGGATACCAGTCGAAGGCGTCTTTCTCGGATCGAAAAATCAGACGAATTGGAGTGTGCACTCAGCTGGGAGGGATGTGAGCATCACGGATATGAAGCATTATTGGGTTATGCGATTGATGATTCCAGAGACGAGGATTCGGAACAATGAGTTTAGGACGTTGATTCGGATTGATGGGAGTTGAGTTGGGTATTCGTTGACTTATTGCATCGGTGTTGCTGTTGGGTTTTTTGTTATTTCCTGTTATTATACCCCCGTATATGCATACTAGTGGTTTCGCTGCGTCGCGCTGAAATCGCTGGCACAGTGCCAAGAGGTTGGAGTTTGAGGACGAGTCAGAAGGGCTAGTTATCGTGGTAAAGGCCGAAAGAGCCGACAAAGAGATCGTTTCTTCCAGGCAGCTGTCGATCTGTTGTAGAGAGTGATTGAGTCGGCGAGATCAAGGTTCCACCATCTTTGTCCGCTTCTGAGCCTGAGATTCTAATGTGTGATGGTGGCGGTAAGGAAAATCATGTCGTGTGCGACATAGATCAGTGAAATGCCGCGTATTTCGAACACGAGCACATACCTTGGCATCTCGAGGTTGAGGGAATGGTTACCCATCGTACCTTCCTAACATATCAGATCTGTGATCGCCTGCCTGAATTATCCTCAACCAAACCTATTTGTTCACTTTCATCATTCACTGTGCATCAATTGCACTCCATACAGCTATCGAATTCAGCTTGTTTACACACCTTGTCAGAAAATCTGCCGTAAGACTACACATCTACACCGGTATTACCCGTGGAAGCCCACTTGGTTTGGATCACCACACTGGTCTGATTGGCTAGAGGAGTTAACCATACTCATGAGTCGCCTACTTGGGAAGATTGAAGACGGAAGATTGAACGTAAAATGTCATAAAGAAATATAGGCGCGAAGGATGACCGGAAGTTTCAAGTTGATCCAACCCAGAGCAACTACCCCATTCCAACAGGGAGCTCGCCAACATCTACGGCCCAAAACACCGTTCAGGGTTCGTTATATTATTGTTCCAATTGGAAAATAGGCTTGATTAAGGGTCGGATTTACTACGGCATTCCTCCCTAAAATGTATGTGCGGCCGTTTTCCCCGTTACAGGAAGGGAATAGCTTCATTTTCTACATTACGAGGGAGTTAGCGCTAAGTGGTCTCCAATCAGATCGCCTTCCCAAACCTCGGTTCCCCAGGAAAGACCACTGGCGGCTGAATTGAATCCCAGAATTTGCCCCTGTCGATATTCTTCCTGCCGATAGGTGTGAATTTCACGCCCTCATGTGCGACAATCCAGAGTTGGTCTAGACGCAGTGACAGGAATATTGCACGACTCAGAAATGTCTCTCCGTACTCTATCCATCACAACAATTAGCCTGAATGCCAGGTGGGCTGACCGCAGTCTGGTGATCCGGCGCTGAATTACCTTTCCTTTCTCCACAACCTCAGATACACGCTAATGCAAATATGGATCGTCCTGGCAGCTGAGATGTCGCGAATTGTATATAGATGATAGTCCCCCCTGGTATGAGACTTGATGGGATCCTGTGAGACAGCACAGCTGGTTAACATCAACCGCTATCTGTGTCCAATTGCCCATCATGGCATCTGCTGTTGATACTGTACTTGCGGTGGAAAAGACCGCCGCCAATCATGTAGAAGACACACTGGGCCATGGTGCCATCACCGAGGCCAAGCAAGCTACCGAAGATGAGCACACGCAGACTCTGATGCAGGCCTTGCGCGAGAACCGTAAGGCTGTGATGTGGTCTGTCTTGATATCCATGTCTATTATCATGGAGGGATACGACACCATCCTGATGGGCAACTTCTTCGCCTACCCCACGTTCAATCAAAAGTATGGACAAGATTATGGCGGTACTATCGGATGGCAGGTATCTGCACCTTGGCAGACGGGCCTTAACATGGCCAGTACGGTTGGATGTATCTTCGGTGAGTTCCCCTGTCGACTACCACCTCAGGACGAACACTGACATGATCACAGGCGGTATATTGAACGGATACTGTGCGTCCAAGTACGGTTACCGAATTGTAATGTTCGTCGCCCTTGCATTCCTCAATGCCTTGATCTTCATGACGTTCTTCGCCAACTCTGCGGCAGTCCTCTTGACCGGTCAGATCCTTTGCGGACTCTCATGGGGAGTGTTCGCCACCATTGGGCCGGCCTACGCATCTGAAGTATGCCCCACCGTGCTGCGCGGCTACCTCACTATCTACGTCAACTTGTGCTGGGCCATCGGCCAGCTCATCGCATCCGGAGTCCTCTACGGACTCGTCGAACGAAAGGACCAATGGGGCTACCGCATTCCCTTCGGCCTACAATGGATTTGGCCGCTTCCTTTGATGGTGGTTTGTTGGCTCGCACCCGAGAGTCCCTGGTGGCTCGTCCGGCACGATCGTCTAGAAGACGCAAAGCGCAACATCCGCCGACTGGGCGGCAGCAAGACCGAAGAGCAGATCAACGGTCAACTGGCGATGATGGTGCACACGATCAAGCTCGAATCCGAGATTGTAGCTGGCACCACCTACTACGACTGCTTCAAAGGAGTTGATCTGCGCCGCACCGAGATCTGCTGCATGGCCTTCGTCGGGCAGATTCTGTCCGGTAGTACATTCGCCTATTCACCTACCTATTTCTTCACTCAAGCTGGCCTGCCAGTAACTCGCTCGTTCCAACTGGGCGTCGGGTGCACAGCCATTGCCTTTGTTGGGACCTGTTTCTCCTGGTGGCTGATCACTGGCTTCGGCCGCCGCACGCTGTACGTCTGGGGCCAGGGAATCCTTTGTGCAACACTCTTCCTGATCGGTATCCTGGACGTGGCATCATCCGCGAACGGCATTATGTGGGCGCAAGCCGGACTCTGCTTCTTCTGGCTATTAACCTATTCCCTGACTGTCGGCCCGATCGCATACGCCATTGTATCAGAGACATCATCTGTGCGCCTGCGCCCGTTGACAGTCTGCCTCGCGCGCACAGCATACCAGATCATCAACGTGGTGTCGCAGGTGCTAGAGCCATACTTCATGAACCCGACCGCCTGGAACGCTTCTGGCAAGACCGGGTTCTTCTGGGGTGCCACGGCACTCGTTGCATTCATCTGGGCATTCTTCCGCCTTCCTGAGGCTAAAGGTCGCACTTATGCGGAACTGGATATTCTGTTTGCTACCAAGGTCAAGGCAAACAAGTTCGCCTCCGTTGTTGTCGATCCCTATGCGGTTCGGCCTTCTGAGTCGCAGGAGGGTCTTGTGCGTGAGAAGACACAAGAGCCGAAGCAGTGAGACTACTAAACAATGGGATAAAGCCTAGGCAATTAGGTATGATGCGAGTCAACTTAGCATGTTCATTAAGTAGTGAATTTAATAAGCAGTGGACTTCTAAGGTTATATACAGAATAGTACAACAAGAGTCCGGCCTTGTTATGGTGTAGGGAACTCGCTACGATCGATGTATACGGATTGGACTGGCAGGGATTCTTCGCCTTGACCTCCTATGCGGGGAAATATTTCCTACACAAGGGTCTGGAAGTGGCCGGGGGATTACTTTTGTTTCTTAGTGAATGGCTCGCAGTTCTAATTCGCTGCACCTTGTCGTCTCCGTCATGACTTGATGGCCTTTGACGGCTTTGTCGACAGCCTTTCTTTTATACTTTTATACTATCGTATTACTCTATTACTCCCGTGGATTGCCAGAGTACCGTTGTACTTCGGAATCTTCAAGTTGACAATGCTACTCCGCCTTGGCATCTCATAGCTTCGATATGCTCTGACGAGCGATAATCTCGAAAGACCCCTCTAGAATTATTTGGAATTGGTTCGTCAAACTCCGGTGTCATTGCCAATCTCAAAAACTCAATGATATCAAACAAGTTGATACTTCGGGCTGCTCCCGGCTTACCAGATCGGCTCATGATGTCACTGCCCCGCCAAATTTCTCCACCAACATTGTCATAATCGAAGCCCTTCGATGATATTATTGGATATGCCAAGTTGGAAAAAGCAAGCCACATAACCTGATGAAGCCGGGCACAGGAGGTACCTGCTCGGCTGCCCAGGTAGGGCTCTCTCATGTCAGAGCGAGAGCCATGAAGTCATTAGAGGGATGTAGACATATATAAGCCCAGCTTGATATCCGTCGAGAATAAGCTATAACAACTCAAAACCTATTCTCATTTATACCCTCAAAAACCTAAACCCTCTACCAGAGCATATCTCTCTCAACCTCCAAACCGAAACCCTATACCTACCAATATGCCTATCCCTGTCCCCAAAGCCAACCACATCCTTGACCTCCTTAGCCTCAAGGGCAAGGTCGTCGTTGTAACGGGAGCCTCCGGGGCTCGAGGCATGGGCATTGAAGCCGCCCGTGGCTGCGCCGAGCTGGGTGCCGACCTAGCTATCACATACTCCTCCCGCCGGGAGGGCGGCGAAAAGAACGCCCAGGAACTCGCAGCAGATTACGGCGTCAAGGTCAAGCTGTACCAGTGCGACGTGGGCAACTGGGAGAGCGTGGAAGGCCTTGTGAAAGAGGTGATCAAAGATTTCGGCAAGATCGACTCCTTCATTGCGAATGCCGGGCGTACAGCCGACAGCGGCATCCTAGACGGATCAGTGGAGGACTGGAACAAGGTCATCAACACCGATTTGAACGGCGCCTTCCACTGCGCCAAGGCTGTGGGCGCACACTTCAAGGAGCGCGGAACTGGCAGCTTGGTCCTTACTGCCTCCATGTCGGGCCACATTGTCAACTACCCCCAGGAACAGACCTCATACAACGTTGCCAAGGCCGCCGAGATTCACCTTGCCCGGTCGCTGGCCAATGAATGGCGCGACTTTGCCCGCGTCAACAGCATCTCGCCTGGTTACATCGACACCGGGTTGTCTGATTTCGTTCCCCAGGATATTCAGAACCTTTGGCTCTCTATGATCCCCATGGGTCGCAATGGTGATGCGAAGGAGCTGAAGGCGGCTTATGCTTACCTGGCTAGCGATGCCAGCAGCTACATGACGGGCAACGATTTGCGCATTGACGGTGGATACACTGTGCGGTAAAAACATTTTTTGTACTTTTTAAACGAATTCAAACGACGACATAGTTCATGAGATCAATTCCAGAGTTATTCCAAAAGCGGTGTCCTGTTCGACGTATGACCTCATAAATCCAAGGCTGTTTGACAGGTTTGGCATGTTTGCAAGCAGTTTGTCTTGATTGCAATACCATCAAACAACGCATTCCAAATAGAGTTGAAGTCACGTCTTACGCAGGACCTGCAATACTAGACGTGATCGGAGCCTCCTCGACAAAGATGCCAGACCAAAACCAATCCTCGGCAGCTGCATCCAAGCCCCCATTGTCGAGCCTCAATTCGCCGACATGCCAATCCGCGGAATTTGTCGAAGTCGACGCGCTGACAGCCGACACAACCTGCGTGAGGTCATCGGACCCATCTGACGCCCACAGCCCCACAGTCTTCGCGTCAAAATCGATATCGTACGCGAAGTTGTACCACTGCCCTGCTTTCAGGTCGGTTTCCCAGTGCGACACCCCACCGACGTACCAACGAAGCGCGTTGTCTTCGCCCGAAGCGCCGCTCAGGGTGCCGTATTTGAGCTCAGTGAAATGACTCTTCGGAAAATCGTCAGCTGTTGGTTTCTTCTATACCGTGGAACTGGGAGTGATACCTCGAAGAACGCGATCTGATGCTCGAAGCTCGCATTTGGTGCATTCGTGTCCTCTGTCTTCAGCGAGAAATGGTAGAACAGATGCCCGCTCCCAAGATCCGCCTTTGTCTGAGGAATGATCTCGGATCGTTCCATAGTTTGTCCATTCCAGAACGACGTGCCATCCTGACTGCTATTAGCTTCTCGTCCTTCAGACTAGATAAAATGACCTACGATTGTGATCCGGATGCCCTGTTCATCACTGGTATCGGCCGGGTTCTTGTGATCAGGCGAGAGACCCAGATACTGGTCCGTGGATGCTGTCCCGTGAATATACCACTGCCAAGCGCCGACTTGGTTAGACCATGACCCTTTGCTTGTCAGTACCAATCGACAGCAACTCGCGAAACTCACTCACATTCGTCAAAGTCGGCAACCGTCGCCGACGCGTTGAATAACCCGCTCCACAGGACTTCGCCCGCTTCGGCTACTCCAGAGAGGGCGACGAGCCATGCAATAAAACACATTTGGTCGATGTTCGTGAGTTTGTGTTATACTCGGCGAATTCGAGGTGCGATCGCGACCGTATTGTTTCCAAGCACGAATGACTCCCTTTCAAACGCTGTTATATACCTGTACCGCCAGACAAGACCCGCCAAATATAACACGGAGACCACGGAGATCATGAAACCGGGCTTGTTTGAATCACTAATGCGGGATCTGGTGAGATTCCTTCGGATGTCACTTTGGCCACTTTCAAACGCCCTCTAACCTGGTAATTTTTCTTCCTTTTCTTCACGTTATTCATATCCCATATTGGCGCAATTGATATCTTGCATGTGATCGACAAGGCGTCTCTCCAAATAAGTCACGGAAATAAGGATTCTTGTGTCTAATGACGAAACTCTGCAGCATAGCCTGAAACGGCGCCAAGTATGAGCGAAACACCGGTCGCATCATCGGATCGATACGTCAATCTACCGGTTGTTTCACTATAGATGAAAGATAAAAAATAATCAACCAAAATAATGCATCATTTGATAAGTCTATAATGACCGGTCGCAAGGGACACGGTCGGGAATTCTATTTACATATCCCGCTAAACAAGCAGCACCCTCATTTCATATATTCGTGAATAGTTTACACTTTGGGCTTCTCGCCCGTGGCCTCATCACCGCTTCCAACATCCTTGGCGTCGAGATCCAACCCATGAGGATCGGCAACGTGCATTCGGGGAAGCGAGCGAGCAATGCGAGGCGGATCGAATATACTGCGCGACTGCAAGAAGATCTCATCGATTTCCTCGAGGCTGCGGCCGCTAGTCTCCGGGAAGAAGAAATACACAGTCGGCACGATGGCGGCGTTCAGCACAGCGAAGATAATATAGTACTGGTAGTCGATGGTAGCGAAGCCGACGGGCGTGACCTCAGCGAGGAGGAAGTTAAAAGTCCAGACGGCGGCCGCGGAGACGGCGCTGATAGATGCTCGACACTGGAGGGGAGCGACCTCTGTGGCGTACAGGAAGGTCAAGCCGGAGTATCCGACTGTGAAGATGAATTCGAAGACGAAAAGGAACACGACGGCGCAGACCAAGCTGCCGGTGTTATCTTGGACGGAAGTGGTGCCAGCCAGGATGGCCATAGAGATTGACATCCCGACAGCACTCCACAGCATGAGCACGCGGCGACCGAGACGGTCGATGGTAAAATAGGCCAGCAGGCCGCCCAGCGGCTGTGTTAGGCACATGGATGCGGCCAGGACACGCGACTGGATGGGAGAGAGCTTGAGATATTGTTCGAAAATGGTCGTGGCGTAGAAAGTGATTAGATTGATTCCGCACATCTGCTGAAACATTTGACCCATACAGGCGAGAACGGTGCGATGGAAGAGTCGCTGCTCGCCCATCTTCAGCATATCCTTCCACGAACCGGTTCCGGAAATAGCTAGGGAGGTCTCAATATCGCGAATATCGAGAGTGATCTGTTCCGAATGAGGGTCGACGTCGTCCAGCGCCGCCAAAATCTCGCGCGCCTCCTCGCTGCGACCTCTTTTGATCAGCCATCGGGGCGATTCGGGGAAGAGCATCACAAAGCTCATGACCATTAGTGATAGCAGGACCTGGAAGACCAAGGGGAATCGCCAGGAAACCGAGTTGGTCTTAACGAAGTAAAAGCCGAAGTCGACCCAGAGAGAGAAGGCGATACCGGCACCGATGAAGATGCCGTCAGTTACTACGTGAGCACCACGCTTGCTGGGCTTTGAGATCTCGGACTGCCAGACGGGTACTGTAGCCACGTAACCGCCAGTTCCATATCCGAGGACGAGTCGTGCAACGATAAATTGTGCAAGTGAAAAGGACGTTGCCATCAAGACAGCGCCAATTATCGAAATGAAGGAGGTGAACAGGATGACCTTCCGGCGGCCGAGCCTGTCACCGAATTGAATGCATGATAGTGAACCAAAAATTCCACCAACGGTATATAGTGCGACTACCGTGCCTGCAAGTATACAGCATGAGAAACGGGCCAAGTGGTGTGCCAAGGGCCTGGGACCGATCTGTGCCCCAGGTATAGTGATGAAGCTTACCTTGAATAGTCGAGTTATACTTCTCTTGTGCGGCGGTTGCAGTGAGAGTGTTCATCTGCGGAAAGGTCTCGGCGAAGGATTCCAGGGTCAACAGACCTCCCATCACACCTTGGTTGTATCCATAAGTCACGAAGGCCGGACACACGACCAACCACATGATAGCCCTATTCAGCGAAGGGCCACGGAGGCCAAAATATGGCGCCATGGTGCAATATTGGTATCGGATAGAGACGAATTGAAGATCTAGGGTTTGGAGGTCAAGCCACACCGATTTCCCCGCCAAATCGATACGAGGTTGGATATAAAGATCATATATACACTCATCTGAGTACTGGACGGCGAACGCCGCCCACCGGACGATCGTGATATTGGTGGAACCGAGCAGTGCGTGGGGCGGCGCAGACCGGATCGATGAAGCGCAGCTCCCATTGGCGAGAGTGTGGAACCGAAGACCAAGTCTTCGAGAAGAGTGGAGTAGAAATGCTCGAGAGCCATGAAGCGGGAGGATAATATTAGCTAAAAGTCTTGGTTTCCCCAGGTTCCCCCTCACGAGATGTGGTGATGGACGATTCAAGCTGCATGGGTTGCGCCATTGAGCTTAGCTGAAACTCTGCGGCGCTGGTGAAAAGCTGGGGTAAGGTTTCCACTACCGGATTGGCTCGACCGTGTAGCATCAAGGTCGCTCTTTCGTATGCGACAGTTTTCTCCACATCGGACATGGCCGATGGAGATTTTAGCGACTATTTATGCCTCGGGCCGCGATAACACTAACTGCTTGTCATACATATTTGTCGTTTTTGTTGCAACTTCTAGCCGAGACGGATGTTCGGAGTAACGGCTCGTTAACTTTGGTCATACAAATTGCATAATAACGACAAAGGGCCTGATAACTCCTCCGGTCTAGAGCTGCGAATACTAAGATGTTGCGATGTTCACTTGATAATATTATGTCAGTCTATATCAACATCCTATATTGACCAGTCACAGATATCACGATATAAGACCTATGTCCGATGAAACTCCGCTCGATCGGCCCTGAATATCTCACAGCTCTACCTTCATTCTTCCTTCATGGTAAACCTACTCCATGAGCGTATTTTCGGCCCATATATGAAAAACGCAATGGGCACAGGGAACAACGCGACGGTCAGACAACCTAGCAAAGTCATCGCCCAGTCGACGCCCAAGTTATGAAACTACATGTTGTATTGCGGTTAGCCGAATTGCGCCGCTAATAGAGGGACATGACATACCAATGGTGGTGCGAACATCGGAAATCCAGCCCCCAGCCATGACCGAAAGAAGGAGTTTGCTGCCATTGCAGAGTTTGTATACATCGGATACACATCGACGATATAAGTCAGCCCCTGGCGAGTATCGTAAGTATTTGTAAAATGTTATTCATCTTCCAATAGGGATAATAATACCTGCAGGAAGATCAATAATACCCCCGACCCCAAGAATGCCCCAGATATAACTTGTGGAACCCAAATTATGTGAGGATCTGACGTCCAGCCAAACCAAAACATCCCCACGGGCAACAAAATACCTCCAATAATCATAGGAATCAACCGCTCCTCTGGCTGAACTCGGCCATTGCGGAGTATGAACGTTCGATACCGCGTCAATGAAAATGCAATGATAATCAAACAACCGCAAAAGACACCACAAATGAAAGCAACGAACGGCAACGCTCCAATGCCATCATTCCACCCACGCTGTTCTTGGAAGGAGACCGGATAGGCCACAAAACAAGTGTACAGAAAGCCATATATGAAACCCATGTACAAGGTAATAAGCAGAAGAATGGGTTCCTGCACAAGCATCTGGAACGGGCGCAGGAGATATTGTACTGCAATATCTTGATAACTGACTACCTTTTCTTCTGCCTTCGCATGAAGAGCCCAGTTCTTGGATTTGGTGCGAAGTCGCTTAGCGCGTTGTGTGAGTAAAGTTTGCTCGAACGTCTCGGGGACAACCAGGATCCCGATGCTGGAGATAGCAAATGCCCAGATAGCTGTAATGTACTCTGTCCAGCGCCAGCCCAGGTATGAAATTGTTATGAATCCACCGACGATTGGCCCTGCTACCGGGCCGATGAAGGCTGCCGCAGCGAAGACGGCCATTGCAATCCCTCGCTCCACGGGCTCGAACATATCGGCCAAAATGCCATTTACCTAAGGAGGAGGAAGTCAGTGAGCGAAAGTAAATGCGCAGCTTGGAAATAATGAAATAAACTCACAATGGCAAGAGGTGCACTGGCAAAGGTTCCGCCCAGAAAGCGACATATGAAGATAGTGTGCAAGTTCTCGGCTACGGCTACGGGAATCTGGAAGATTGCGAAGCCGAACATGCCCAGAAACAACGGTAGCTTCCGGCCGTACAGTTCAGAAAGGGGGCCAAAGATGATAGGGCCAAAGGCGAAGCCCAGAACGAACAAACTGACAGCCAACAACGTGACTTCCATGGAGACGCCGAACTTTGTCGCTGTCTGTCTCGTTGCTGTTGTGAAGATCGAAGAGCCAAAAGTAACGCAGAGTGTCATCATTCCTAGCACCATAGTGATCACCCACTTCCTCCACGTGGGGAAGTTCTTGGGCTTCTCCTAAAATTGTATTAGAGGAACCTTGTATACTCGGAGGGGAATCGGACAACATGCTGGATCATTTGTGCCGTTCCAGTCCACTATCAGGTTGTCTTTCTCATTTGGAGATCTCTCGGGCTTGATTTTCGAAGAGCCCCCATTGCTTTCCAACCCATCGGCCACGTCGTATGTGTCGCCATCGTCGAACACGGTCTGCAAGCTAGTTGATTCACGCTCTGATTGATTGCTGTGCGAGGACAGTAAGGTTTGGGTTTCCTTGCTGGGCATCACAAATAATCTGACTCGCGTATTCAACGGAGGATGATAATTGAGGGCAGTGGTTCGTTGCTGATATTAGCAACCAGGGTGAGCACTGGGTAGAAGCTCACTATGAGCCCGTTCATATATGCAAGCACACCAGTTTCGTAGAAATCGATCATTCGAACTCATCTGTGTCTTTTTTTTACATTCTAAAACAACAGATGATTTTTGATCTTGCAAAACGTCATGGCACCCATCCATCCATCGACGCTAGGCTGAGTCATGCATGATGTAGGTAGGTAACGACATCGTTGCGTATTTTCGAATGGAAGTTCGACAAGCTCAGTACATATTCAGGCGGTTCAATATTGCGTCAGTCCTTTGTTCGGAAAATGGATGTTTGGAGGTGGATATATATCATTCGAATACACGAACAACACATGATTTAAATGTAAGTAACACGCAGGCCGAGAATAACACTGATCTTGATATTAATGATTCAAATTCACTAAAAAGAAAGCCAAATTATACCTGTAAAAAATTGCAGACATTCATGAACATCAGGACATCAGGGTTCATCCACTTCTGGCAGCACATGAAAAGCTGGCACCACTGGAATCATCGTGCATTGCCTTACCGGAAACCCAAAGGCCCATGCCGCACTTCATGAATATTAGTAGTCTGAAAAATGTCTGAGCATTGTGAAATTTGACATACCAAGCAAGCACCAATCCCGATAACCACCAGGTTGACAACAGTCAGAACCATTTTTTTCCAGGACGCCCCATACTGGCCTCGATTCAGGAACAGCCAGAATATACCACTCAGACCATCTTTAATCTAGGTTAGCATTATCAACAGTTTGTGTACCGAATATCACTCACAGGTAAACCAGCTAGCAAAAAGGGAAGTCTAATAAATGAATCCATGTCAGTAGGTGTCACATGCAATCCCCGACTACTTACGATCAGACTCAGCAAAGTATTGAAAACAGGAATTGCCTCTGAAATAATCCAGGCTATCACCCATAACACAAGACTGATCGCAACCCAGGACCCGATCGAGAGGAATGTGCGCTGCTTCATGTGATTTGTGTTTCGGAAAAGACGGACGTAAACGTATTTTGATGCGACGTGCCCGTTGATAACACCGGCTATAACAATCTATAATATCACATTAGGATGCTGCATAAATCAAACATGGGCTGGAGGCTCGCACCGTAGGAATGGCAATTCCATATGCAATCTTTGCTGTTATTGGCTTTGTCGAGCTCAGGGCGGGTGACTGCACATCCTTCCCACCGTAGATATATATAACAACAGCAGCTATCACATACATACTCGTATCGGTTATTTGGAGCATGTAGAGGGTCTTAGGATAGTCCGTTGGAGTCTCCATCTCTGAAATAAAGCCGAAGAAAGCCACGTGCCCAGCTAGATAAAGATTAGTTTCAAGGTCAGGGTAGCTGATTAGTACTCACCATAAGCAAATACAATATTCGTCACTGCTAAGAATGCCTTTGACAGGCTGACTGTTGTAGTCGCATCTACTTTGCCATCACCGGGGCGCTGGATAGCAATAGCGATCATAGTAATCAGGAGTGCGGCAATGATGCTTGCGAAGGCTGTGAGAGTTAGAAAGGGGCTGGTTCTGAAAAGATTTGGATATACATACAAGCAAACGAGAACCACGAAACCTTGCGAAGAGTTCGAGGCAAGGCAAAAACGAAGGAGACAACTAAGCCAACGATCCCAAATACAATCGAGCAAGTCCCATGGTCTGTGACTGTATCCAACATAACACTGAAAGTCAAGATATGACTGCCCATGACAAATATGAGAAAAAGCAGTTGCGCCGTTCCCAAGAACTCCCTACCAAAGCGAGCTAGACCAAGAGGATGGAACATCACCTCGCCAGCATCTCCCATACTATGTACTTGCGGGTATCTGAGTTTGAATTGGCCGATGACATATCCAGTGTACGTTGCGACTATACCGAGTCCGACAATAAGAATGATCGCACTGGAAAGCAGTCAGCGGATTCCTATTCTGTGCATCAGAGGTAGTAGAAACGTACGGCACCAGACCTAGGACTGCGACAGCCGACGGAAGAGACAGAATACCGAGGGAGACGGTCTCCGCGATCATGATCATGCCGCATTGCCACCATTGTAACGTCCGATACTTAATTTCGGCATCATGTTCATCCCCAAATGGGTCTGCGAGGTGAGAGATCACATCCCCCGATCGGTTCTCCTCTTCTTTCTCTGCAGCATAACTCCTGTTGTCGACGTCATTTGAGAGAGGATAATGGCGATAATCTGCCATCGCACCGGCTGGGGTCGCTGTTCAGAGCTTTTAGCGATCGCGATCACTGTCAGCGATCAGGAGAAAAGATAAAAGTCCAGTGCCTGGATGTGAGAAAACAGAATGATAAGTTCGGAGACTGTAGATCGATGATGTCATAACCTGGAATGAACTTGTTCGCGGGGTGAGATAAAGATCTATAACTGGACTGAGTGGCCAGAGCAATGGCGTGCACTAGAAAACGCCGAATCTAGCGCAATTGATCCACGCAAACGCTTGGTTTAGCTTGATTCCGCCACCTAATATCCCGATATGGAGATTCTGACCTTACTGATCGATTTAGTGGTATAATCTCGTGTTAACGAGACCATGATTCGCTCCTGCTATCACCAGGATACTGGAACGGTGCCCTTATCAAGTTCCACATGGGGTATTGTCCGATTATATCCGAGTTAGACTCATCGCACCTAAAGTGGATATATCTGGCTGTTACCCCGTATTGGAATGGGTGCTGATCCCACTCTACGCGCTAAACCGTTACAGCCTGATCCCATATTCATTCAGACCAACTTAGCCGGCAGATATTGAGCATAATGCGATGTGACTGTGTCCTATCAGGTGAATGCATTAAGTGTATAGTAACTCGGGCCTCCCGTTGAGGGCGTCATCGTCTCTCCAAAAGCTCCACATCTTCGCGATCCACCGATATGTCAATCCTCTTCATGATGCGATTTTTCGCTGGAGAATTACTCACCCGCGACGAAGGATATGTTGAGTTCGATCGGTTGGAGTTAGGTGTGAGCTTCTGGTTGGTTCGTGACTTAGACGCGTCGTCGGTATAGGCTAGTCCATTCTCGTCGACGTAGGCTGCGATAAATGGTTTCATTAACGGCGCTGTGAGTACAAGAACGCTAAGTGCCGCGTGGAGCTCTGCAACAACGGTCGCGAAGGTTCCTTCGAGTGTGGGATCTGATGAATTGACTTGATGACGAATGTAATGGAGGTGGATGGCGCTGATAGGGATAAGGCTGCAAGTATGCCCATTGTTAGTATGTAGAAACTGGTAGAGTGAGAGCTTAAACATACAATACTCGACAACTGAGCACCAGAATTACAACGACTTTGTTGTTGATCGTCGTATGCAGTCGCACGATTGCCCGGATGGGATATAGCAACAGCACAATTTCAAAAATGATATCCAAAGCTGTGACGGCTTGCCAGTGAGGGAACTAGACAGCTAGTAGTTAGTAGAGATATAGTACTAACTGTATTGTGACCTACCAAGGCGGAACATTGGTTATTGATATCATGCCATGGATGTCGATCACAGCGGACTGCCAGCAAAACTATAGTAACAGGGGCACAGAGTAGAGTAACCGAGAGAAGAGCATAGCTCATCCATAGCGAGCTACGTAGAGTAATCGTCCGGTAAAAAAGCGCCGTTGACGCTTTTGATGAGGATAATATTGCAATGTAGAGGATATCTGCACTGTATCCAACCTAGAAGGACATTGTGTCAAAAATGATACAGCATCCTGGTCATAGACACCTACCTTCTCGATCGAGTTCCAATCTTGATCAGCGATGAGCGACTTTGACTTTCCCCAGCCGAAATATATCTCCACAAAAACCACAGATACCTGTGCCAAGGCAAGAATCTAGATTCGTCAGTCTTCTAAAAGGGTCCGCATTAGTTGAGACGGAAAGACTTACCACAGTCGCTGCGAAAGTCAAATCATCCAACTGACGGACTCTTCTACTGTATGCAGAATAAACACGAATTCCTAGAGATCCAAGGACCAGAAATAGTGAAAAGGACGCGATGACTGTAATCACTCCATTATGGTTTATTTCCGTATCCGCTGTCAGCGGGGGTGTCAAGCCAGGCGGCACTGGGGAGAGAGTTGCCATGGCCAAAAGAAAGAAACATGTCCTGATCTGTTCCTAGGGACTCGATGAAGGATATATTCAGCTTGATCCAAACTGACTGGCTGACTCAGGGGATTTACACTGTGATGCAGGGCATACTAATCACGAATCGCAGATCTCCATCCACTCCAGCCTGTATCAAAACTGAGATTTGACCTGAGTGCATTGGCTGATCCACCGGGACATGCGCTGTGACTGTACTGTTGGTTTCAAGTTGCGTATTATTAGCTTGATTCGAGATTTGGGGAATACGTGGTTTCCTTTCTGGGAGATATCATAATCCCTGGTGGTCAACAGACGCTACCGAATTCCAACAGATTCAAACTAATTGTGCCTATTGGTGGGATCATATATCGGGGGTAATTTTTAGATATGGATGCATTCAGTGAACGGGGTCAATGTATTTATTTAACATGCCATTTTGCAGATCATCCGGGCGCTTAATATTCCCACAGGCACATGATTAAGGTTATTCTCAGGCCTAATACTGTTTGAGTATCCAGTCGAATATGTAAATGCAAAAGGTTCTATGAACTTCGAGTTGGTGATCAAGCATGTGTCTGGTGGGCTATGGCCACTCGGAGTGTTTAATTTCACTGTTACATTATATTGTGCCGAATACAACAAAGTAAGATAATGGAGTAACTCATACTAGAAATATTTGCAACACAATACGGAGTACATGTGTAGCTCACTCTCGTTTGCCGTAATTGCAATCGCAACGGACAGGGAAAGACGTAGCCTGCGCGCAGGACGCTAAAAATAAAGACTTGCCACAGTGGGACTCTCGCAGTTCTCGATTTTGGTCTTTGCGCCATGTCATTTATTTGAGGCGCCTTTGTTTGGTATTGCCCAGATATATGCCTAGTGGCAGCGTCTGACATGGCCAACCAAGCTCGGAACGACTTCCAAATCCCATTTCTTCGTACAACCTAGCCCGGAATTCAACCCTTCCTGCATCGACGCGGGAAGATACAGATAGAAGCCGGAATGGAGCATTAAATTAAGGCTGGCAGCTGAACAAACCAGCGAGTGGCGTTCTGATAGCTTCGTTACCGAATTCCGTCCAGACAACGATTTATGCCGGCATCCGGGGAATGGGGTTGGATTCGATTCATCTTATTCTTGGCGAGAGTACGGAGTATGCGGGCAATAAATTGCAGAAAACCCGGTACAGTCATTGACAGGGATGATGAACTAGTCCACTCCAGCGAAAAATGGTCCTACCCGACCAAATATGCGTCGAAACGCGCTGTGGCACTTCAGGGCAGTGCCAACGTTCACAAAATGTTATGCCGATTCCGGTCCGGCTGTTCCTGAAGGCCTTGCCATGTGGCCTGGTGTGAATTATTATCGGTAGATTTCATCGTCCATCGAGGGGTATGTAACAATGGTGGGGAGGGAGAACTTCGGCTTCAAAGTCGACTCGTTGTATCACTCCTGGGGATGCCTGCAGCGGAACAGCCGAGATTGCCTTCGGTTGGCAAAGCCAAGTGTCTCGTATTTTTGTACCTCCAATCCTGAAATGTTAGTTTGTGTCGTTGACTAATATCTAACCTTGGAGTTGGCTCTTCTGTTAGTCAAATATTGATATGTCAACGTGGGTTCGGACTTGTCCAATTTGTCAAAATGCCACCGCAAAGCCCACAATCACACAATCGAATCTCTTCTTTTGACAGAGTTCACACGATGGAAGAACATCCCACGAAAGATTTACCAGAGATGGAGGGCAGTCCACAGGATCAGGATGATATGACGCGTATGGGGAAGATCCAGGAATTGAAGGTCTTCTTTCTTTCTCTGTGACACAATCAGGACACTGTTACTGACATGTTTGAAGCGCAACTTTCGACCCCTTGCAGCGTTGAGCTTTTCAGCGGTTCTTCAAGCTACCTGGGAGTTTATACTCATGTGAGCCGCAGTCTCTTGGGCCATCTTATCAGCTGCTAATCGCCTCATCCTTAGCTCAAACACCCAAGGTCTCGAAAATGGCGGACTGGCTGGTGTATTCTGGTCTTACATGTGGACATTCGTTGGGTTTGGCTTTATCATTGTTTCGCTAGCCGAGATGGCTTCGATGTGAGTTATTATGTGCCTCATTTTCTGAGATTTCTCACTTTTCCTTTCTCCAACAGGGCACCCACATCGGGAGGCCAATATCATTGGGTATCAGAGTTTTCCTCGCCTCGTTACCAGAAGTTTCTGAGTTACACCACTGGTGAGATCGCTCGTCTATTCATCTTTGACGATTGCTAATGGGTGTGATTAAGGATGGATGTCCGTACTAGCCTGGCAGGCAGGAGCAGCATCCGGCTCGTTTCTAACTGGAACTATCATCCAAGGTCTCATAACCCTCCGTGATCCGAGCTACGTGCCCCAAAATTGGCATGGAACCTTGTTTGTGTTCGCCATGATAGCTGTCATTTACTTTTTCAATGTCTACGCGGCAAGCTGGATGCCACGAATCCAGAACATCCTTCTCGTGCTACATCTGTTATGCTGGGTCATCATTGTGGTTGTTTTGTTCACCATGGCTCCTCAAAACTCGGCCAAAACCGTGTTCACATCGTTCCACAATGGTGGCAACTGGTCTAGTATGGGGATCAGCTTGATGATCGGTCAAATTACAGCCATCTACGGCTCTCTGAGTGTGTACAAACCGTATCATTCTTTCGCGGTACAAGGCTAACATGGACACATTTATAGGCTCCGACGCCACCGCACATATGTCCGAAGAAGTTAAGGATGCAGGTCGATACGTACCAATCGCAATCGTATGGGGATACTTCGGCAACGGAATACTAGCACTGATAGTAATCGTTGGATTTCTTCTTGCTATCCCCTCAGTACCCGATGCTATCAACGACAGCACCGGCTTCCCCTTCCTCTACGTGTTCCACCAATTCCTCTCAATCTCCGGTGTCAACGGCCTCACATCAATAATCCTAATACCAGTCATCTTCAGTAACATCCTATTCAATGCATCAACTGCACGTCAAACATATGCATTCGCACGAGATCGCGGCCTCCCCTTCGCAGACTGGCTCTCTCGAGTTGACCTTCATCGGCGAATCCCAGTGCGAGCGATCGCGCTCTCATGCATGATCAGTGTCTTACTGTCGGTAATCAACATAGGCTCGGAGGTTGCATTCAACGCGATCATCTCTCTCAACGTTGCTGCACTGATGTACACATACGCGGTATCCATAAGTTGCGTGATTTACCGGAAGATTGCTTGTCCTGAAACGCTACCTCCTCGACGTTGGAGTCTTGGTCGTTTCGGTCTTGCGATAAATATCATTGGGCTGCTCTATGTTATTTTCGCACTCTTTTGGTCGTTCTGGCCTCCGAGCCCTTTGCCTTCGGCTCGAGACTTTAATTGGAGTGTGGTTATTTTCGTTAGTGTGTTCATCGGCAGTCTTTTGATGTACCTGTTTCAGGGCAGAAGACACTATGTCGGGCCTGCGATGACGGTCCAGCGGAGCTATTGACATTGAGATTCGTTTTGGTTCTTATGTACCTGGCTAGGCTATTACGAGATGATAACGACCATGAAATGAATATATGAATTTTGACTTGGACGCTGGGAGATGGAGTAGACTATGGAGAATATCCCAAGGCATACATGTATATCTTATTGGTTTTTAATTATAGATATCAAGGGCGACACCATCCCCTAGATTGGAATACTCTAGATCTATTGACGGGGTTTCAAGACAGTAGACAAAAAATCCAAATTTCATAGTCGTTGAACATGGTTGCAGAAAACTGAGATAGTATAATCAGTATCCTCTATTTCGAAATAACCAATTAGTATTCTAAATACATCAATATGAGTCCACAATCTATGCAAAACCGCGATCTTCCATCAGCCTTGCAACTCATTCGGTATCCTCCTCGCTCTTTCCCTTCCAGGCCAACCATGCAGCAACAATCAATGACTTCAGGATGGCTGCGGTCCACAAGGCCCCCATCATTCCCACAGAGCTATGAGCCCAGAGACCCCCCAAGACCACCCCCAACAACAAGCACAAGATTGCACCAATCCGGCGGTTCTCCTCAGTATGACCGACCACCTTTCCCGAGAGGAAATCAGGGTGCGAGAACAAATCGCAATAAGTACTAGTGAGGACAACACTAGTCAAGCCCGTGAAGTTCAAAACACGGCTCGTCACCGCTTGTCCACTACTTTGGAATGCGATGAGCGCAATCGGGACGAGGACCAACCAAGTCAAGGGCGCATCTCGAGATGCCGGATGAATTGTAACGATCAACGCGGCGATGCACACACACACGGTTTGAGCGAGGAACGAGGCACAGAGCACCCATCTCCGTCTCGCTGGGAAAACACGGTGGAAGGTGGCGAAGCACAGCGAGCCTAGACAGAACGCCGCAATGGAAACTCCGGACTTGATCCAGCGATCATCCTTGGCGCCGATAAGGCCCAGGCCGAAATATACAGTGTTGCCGGTTTGCATGCTCACAAAGGAGCCCCATATGAGTACCGCTGAGCTGTCGAGCAGGCCGGTGATAATATAACAGAATAGAAGGACTAGGTCGCCATGCGCAGTATCAAGGTCACTGCCTAAGCATTTAGATGCTAGAGATAGTAGAGAGGGTTTGGAGCGTCTGTGGTTGCCCAACAGGGCGTCTGTTTCAGACATTGGTGTAATGGTCGTCGGATTGAAGTGGAGAGAAGTTGTTTTTTTCGGTTTCTGTGGAGCCCTTGGCGTAGGAACTCAAAATTGATCACCGTAAAGAATGAGACGTCATCCCTACCTATTTGGAGAATCCAAGTGCACTAAAATAGAATCGGCCAATTTGTTGGGGTGAACAATTGGAGACAGGATATGCGATCGGAATATGCGCAATGTCGTGACGTCGATGCGGAGAACAACATTTCCGGAGTTTACACTTGATCTTCTGGGAATTTCTTCTCTTCCTCTGTCTAATTAATTAATTTTAAAGCCCACCATGCAAATTACACGCTTCTTGTTAAACCTGGCATATCTTCAGGCTGTATGGGCTATCCCTGCACCTGATCACAGCCTGCAGAAGCTACTGCAGGTCCCAGCCGGCCATTCCGCAGCATTATTCGGTCAACAGCCTATTGGAAAAAACCCACCTTTCTCCCCAGGACATCGCGACCCATATGATCACAAGGTTGACTCTGTTGGCGATGACCGACATCCACTGCCGTTCCGCAATGGAGATGGTACTACGGTCATGGGACCGCGGAATCGGGATCGCGAGCGCCAGAACCCCGATCTTGTCCGTCCGCCGAGTACCGACCATGGCAATATGCCTAATATGCGATGGAGTTTTGCAGACTCACATATTCGCATCGAGGTATGGTCATTCTAATATGTCACGTACGTCATTAACCTAAACGTGTACGTATAGGAAGGCGGATGGACGCGACAAACAACTATCCACGAGCTACCCACTAGCCGTGAACTCGCCGGTGTGAACATGCGTCTGGATCAAGGGGTAATCCGCGAACTGCATTGGCACACGGAAGCTGAATGGGCGTATGTGCTTGCTGGAAAAGTACGAGTCACAGCCCTAGACTTAGAAGGCGGTACTTTTATGGACGACTTGGAGGAAGGAGATCTGTGGTATTTCCCCGCTGGACATCCGCATTCGCTCCAGGGTCTGGGCGAAAATGGGACAGAATTCCTGTTGATCTTTGACGATGGCAACTTCTCCGAAGAGTCCACCTTCATCTTGACTGATTGGTTGGGTATGAATCTGTCCATGTCTCAAAATATATAGTTTACAAATACTGACCCATTTCCCTAGCTCACACTCCCAAAGCAGTTCTAGGAGAGAACTTCCGGATGTCACCGGAGCAATTTGACAACATCCCGAAATCCGAGAAGTACATATTCCAAGGCTCAAACCCGGGAAGCATTGACGAGGAGAAACCACGCACCTTCAAGAAGTCAAAGATTAACTTCACACATCATATGCTCGCCCAAGAACCCATTAAAACCAGCGGCGGTCGTGTCCGTATTACCGACTCCACGAACTTCCCGGTTTCCAAAACAGTAGCAGCCGCCCATCTAGAGATTGCACCGGGCGCACTACGCGAGATGCACTGGCACCCCAACGCCGACGAATGGACATATTACAAGAAAGGTCGTGCGCGAGTTACGATATTTGCCGCAGAAGGAAACGCCAGAACGTTCAACTACATGGCCGGTGATGTCGGCATCGTGCCTCGGAATATGGGACACTTCGTTGAGAACCTGAGTGACGATGAACCGCTGGAGGTTTTGGAAATTTTCCGGGCAGATCGATTCCAGGATTTCTCACTGTTCCAATGGCTTGGTAGCTCACCTCGCAGAATGATTGCCGAGAATATATTCCCTGGCGATGCTAAGGCGGCAGAGGAATTTTTGAAAAAGATTGAAGATGCTGAAAAGGATCCCATTAAGGATACTATCTGATTGCAATTTACATAGCTTATTAGCGGGATTCAGGATTTACAGATACACAAGGACATCTGGGATATTTGAATACATGGCACGACAGTGTAATGATAATGTTACGGACGGATGATAAGAAGGTTGCTTCATATTTGCTTTGAAATTCACAGTATATGACATTTCGTGCTGGATGCCGACAGGAAGAATCCAAAAGAAATCTCTCTCTCTATCGCACACACTATCACTGCGTTCGAAGCCATGGGCAATATAAGGTAGTGCCACTATGTAGAGTCGCACTAAAGAGGAATAAGGGAGCCCTAGAATATTTGCTGAACACTTATTTGTAGTCATATTCGAATTGAAATCCTAGAATAAGGGCGACTTAAATATCTCATAGATATGGTTTGATATGCTTCATTCGGAATTATACCGTACGCAGGATTGCCACCTGGGCATTAGGTAATAGTTCATGGATAAGCCCTCGTGACTGTTAATTAACTCCTGACTTGGATCATACACTATACGATGGCGATGGTACAATTCTTGAATACACAAATTGATATCTTTATGGACAAAGACGCGCATGAATTCCAAAACATAATAGACCATTCTGAACAAAAACAAATCAAGACATATCACGAAAAGATCAAAAACACGAAAGACATGATTGAAATCAACGCAGTCCACAAAACAGTACATCATATGAGGCTCGGCTCTCCTCGTCTTCGCTCTCCTAATTTTCGCTCTCCTCTTCCTTGCCCTCCTGTTCAGCTCGCAAGGCAATTGCTAACAAAATCGGCCCCAACACACGCATATGACCCCCCTCTGTAGTATCCCACGGTCCATACTGGGAGTAACATCTCTTTAGGGTTAGTCCGATCAGCTTCCTCTTAGCGTGTCGCCTCCCAGTTACACTCTTCCAAATTTCTACAACTCTACAAGCCATCATTACCACAACACTACCAAAGATGTCTTCAAAGCCAACTTCTCGGGAATCAAAAGTCCATCTCGCCCACCGTCTGGCTCTAGTCAAGCTCCATGCTGACATCGAAGCTCTTGAGGTTCATGAATTCGACGCGTCGCAACTCGCCAAGTTGAACATCAAGCGCGAGCATATGAGTCTTAGGGAAGACTCGGACCTCAAGCCCCGTTACTTCGCGGCGATATCTAACATCCCACAACCTACCGATGAAGTGATCGATGAAGCGGTCGATGTGGAAGGCCTTTTTGAAGACACAATCTCTAGATCATATCACTTCGAAAGAGTGTGGCGACATTATGGTCTAGAGGTACGATGGGAGTGTAATGACCGCGTATGGCGTTCAAAGCCGTAAGTGTCATCCATTACTATTCTGAGATATATTATCATATCAGCCCATTGTTTCTAACGCTATTCTACTCCCTAGTGTTTGCAAGTACCATGCTTTCAAGTCGTTGTACAAGTGTGACAAGCCCTAGTTTGGCGTTTCGTGGATCATGGACATCCCCGGGGCAGCAGCCCCACATATTAAAGTAATCGCACACAGCGGCTTACTGGTGGATGATAGCAAGCTCTGCCGTGGCGAGCTATTGATTATCCTCCGCCTAATGATCTGCCAGTTCAGGATGATGCGGTTACTCCACCATAAAGTGGCACCGGTAAGTCTATACCCCCTCCTTTCACTTTCTTACTTTCATAGATTACTAACTAGGTACTCTACAGGTTTTGGTCGCCTCGTTCATGGGCGAGCATGCACGTATGCTGGAGTCCTATTTTGATGGTGAAAGCCTTATTCTACGCTCTTCTGATCTTTATCACCTGTCTGAGAGGAAAACTACGGCAGAGGTTTTTGAAGCATTTGCGATGTGGTTTGCCGGTAATCCAGCGGGAGAAACCGAGTAGGTTACGGACCTTCTTTCTATCGGCAAGGTGGTGTTGGGTTATGAATTGGCTTTTGGTCAAACTAGGTTAGGTTTCGGTTTCGGTCTCGGTTTCGGTTTTGTTGGAGTTGGATTGGTGCGTTGTTGATTTATGTGACATTCTTCTATGTTTTCGCAGAGCAAATTGAAATTGTCAAATGGATCGCGTGCGCCCATCTAATGTAATACCTGACAGCCTTTTGCATTCGAAAAACTGCTCTACCATTCATAAATCCCAAAAAGCACAGTGTACCAGCAATGCAAGCACTGGAAGAAAATACTTGATTGAATCTAATCGAAAGTCCGAAGGAGGGTGCGGAGAACGTATGGTCGACATCCATCAGTCCAAGGCAAAATCAAGGTGATGCATCCTTCTGTTGTAGCCAAACACCGGCTAGACCCGTCTCATTCGGAAGCTTCCTCATGTAGAGCAAGGGCCTCCAGGATTTTCTTTCCCTCCTCGGCATCATCATCTTCCCAAGGCTTGAGCCCGTAGCTTTGCATGAAGCGTGTCCAGCCGCCGTAGGATTTGACAATTGCCCGCTCAGCGGGCGTAAGAGGCGGTTCTGTTCCAGTTAAAGTCAGCTATAGATAACAATTTGTGTTGGAATGCAGAAGGGGGGGTATATACGAAGTGCGTCACTGGATGGCATCTTGGTGGTAGATGAGGGTAAATAGATGAGAGTCTTGACTTTGCTTGTAGGGTCCACGCAGAGAGTGCCTAGTCCAAGTGTAGATGTTAGCTATTAGAAGCGTGTAAAGATAGAAATAAAACTCACGATGAAATTGGCCTCGTTGGGATGTATCAGATGGGGAAATGGTGATGGGAAAGTCTAAATAACGTAATCCACTACCGAGCTGGCCACACCACCGAGCTGGCCACCAAAACCAACCTCTGAATTTTAAATCAATATATCTCAACCAAAACGCCATAAATTAATAAAACTATCTATCTAGGTCTATCTGGACATGCATTTCTTTTATGCCCGAGATTTCCACATGCTCCGCACCTATTTAACGCTCTCGTTCAGGGTAATAAAGGTGGCGAAGGCCTTCTTGGCTGAGGAGGGGGAGGTAGTTTAATTGCTTCCTCTGGCTGTACAATTAATGTCGATGCTTCTAAAACCGAGAGGCCCTCGGTAGAAGGTATCTGCTTTCTAGATCGAGTGCGCTTTTGCTTCTGCTTCTCGTTTGCAGCCCGTAAATTGCTTACTTCTTTCTTGAGAAAAGCAGCCGATTGTATTGTAACTTAATAGGCTTTTAAAACCTGGTTTATCGCAGAATTAAGCGGGCTCGGAGGGCTTCGAGACCTTGTACAAAGCAATGCTTTAATTGAGGAAGCTTGCTTTAGCAATTGTTTATAGTTCGAAGGTGTTTTTAGCTCCTACTCGCTCTCTTAGCTCAAAAGGGGGGTCGGAGTTCGAAGGCGAATATTAAGCTTTAAAATCACTCGATCAGGTTTAAAAGGTACTAAACCAGCTGCTCCGAAGCTATTTTTAATAGTATCCTCTTTAAAGGCCTCGATTTAGGCGGATAGGTAAGCTTCGAGGAAATCAAGTTTATCGATATAATTTATCCTACTCTGTATTTTCGTTTTAACTATCTGACTGTATAAGCGTTTTAATACTGTAAAACAACCGATATTAAGTAGCTGTAAAAGGTAAGATAAGTACGGAGGTATATAGATTAGAATAATATTATTTTTTTCATAAATTTTGTTAAACTTTAGGGTTAAATGACTTCTGTGGCCGTTAAGTATTAGAAGTCGATATCTCCCCTTTGTCTATAAAGAAGTTAACGGAATAAAGAGCTTTTTAAGCTATCGAAGTCTAATTTTATTAGAGGTCCATCTGTTTAGACTAACTTTAAATTGCTAATCGTTAGGGAGGCTGTTAAACTAAGATTTAATAAAGACTTTACCTTTAAAAATCATATATAGAGGGAATATCTATCCTAAAGTATTTATATACTTAATTACAGTCACCTACTCGCGATTTCTAGGTTATAAAAGCGATCGGTAACTATAATATTCAGCCCTTATAATAACCCTCGCGGTTACAGTTAATCCTATTGCAAAACCAGTCTTATTAAAGTTATAAATATCGTCGGGATCAATACCATATTAAAGGATAGTTTTTTAAATAAGATAAAACCACTCCCTAATAGTTTTCGGGTCTTCGTACTTTACGTGTTTATAGTTATAGTATCTTGAGAATCGGCTTAAGAGTTCGGGATACCTTTTTACAAACTTTATAACCTAATTCTCGCCGACTGAAAGAACCGGGGTTATTCCGTACAATTCGAGTAAAAGATTCGCCATTTCTCGAATAGTAGAGGGCCGAGGGGCTGATCCGCGAGAATCCATAGATATTATCCATTTTATAAGCGATTCCTCTTCGATTTCGATCAATTTATGTGAGTTAGGCCGAGAAATCGCGCGGTTTTGTACGCCCCGGAGGCGCGTGGTAAGGGTCGATCTCAGTACTGCGAAGATGCGTGCTGCTTCCCGAATAGAACTAATTTCTCGGTTCTTAATAGCCTGGATAGCTAATAAGATCCTACCCTCTTGTTCGGTTGAATTTCTAGGGTTTTGGGAGCGTTTAGGTGGCATGGTAGATGGTTAAATTCATTAAGTGCTAATTCATGGACGCGTTTTGGGTGGGGTGGCCAGCTCGGTGGTGTGGCCAGCTCGGTAGTGGATTACGTTATAGCGCTCAAAGCTGCTTGCCTGAATTTGACGCATGAATGCCTTATTTCTGGCGGGCAGAAAATAAAGATACCCGAATTACAGTTACAAACAGCCTATCGTGCACTCTAGAGCATAGTTAGTTATTCCCGCCCGGTTTCCAATACGTAGTACACGATACAGCCTGAAAGCGGTCTGAAACCAGGCAAAGATAAACGCTCAAACAAAGCATTCAGGCATTTGACCCCGAGAACGAACCAACTAAGTTTTGGAAGGTGCAGTTTGCTACGCCCTTAACAACCTTAGCAACAGAGTCTTGATCGTATGTTGTAGTGCCATCCATTTGTCTAATGATGAACAGCCTCAAAAGCTCACGGAGAAATAGGCTCCCTAGCCGACAGCCCATCGGTTCATCGCATGGTACCACTTCGCTTGCCATCTTCAGCCCATAACCCCGTGGTGAGATAGAATCTGCAGATTGTATCAATCTCAGCTCCTTGAGAAGTTAATTCAATTCCTTCCGTCGTGCATCCTGCGAGGTGTAGATATGATTACAGCTGGAAAAGGAACGGGTCGGCCCCGGGGGAAGTGGAGTCCCGCACAGGCTTGGCGTCCAATATGAGATCACGTCTTAGACGCTAAAATGGTATCGTAAGGGCGAAAGGGTAATGATATAAATGTACGGAGTAGTTGGGTAATATACCAAGAGTTGCATCTCTTATTAGGTTACCTAATGACATATCTCAGGTATCCTTCTTGGGCACCCTGACAAGCCGATGCGCCAGGGCACCATTATCCAGTTTGAGAACCGTTTGCTCCCACTTGAATCCCTGGATTCGAGGCAGAAGCTTGATCCAGACATAATAGTAGACTCCACACAGACCGACACTGTTTTAATTCTTTGACGTCAGTGATCTATACCGACAGGGACAACCTGGAATAGGAACAACTTACATTCCAAGAGCAACCGCACAATATGTTGCATACCAGAAGCTCACATCGCCTCCATTCGCCCCAGTACTGGGCGGGTACCATGGCATTACGACCATGTACAGATTCGAAAGAATTGCAAATGCCACTGAAACGTGCCAGGCGTTGTATTCAGGTTTTGGCAGGTTGAGGCGTGCACGACGAGCTCGAATGATCACCAGGCCTATTGTGAGTAGCAGACCAAAGATTGTCGTGGCGTAGACTCCGAGATCCACCACTATTCCCCAAAATTAGCAAACTGTCTTTCAATTTCTGGAGAAATGATCAACTAGAAGGTCAGATAATAGAAAAGGGCGTACCGAAATTGAAGGCATCACCAGCAGGCGGTGCTAGGATCATCAACACGGTGAATGCCCATTTCACAAAGTATGGACCGAGCGGTGTTCCAAACGGTCTCGTCGACGTCCAAAAAGAAGTGAATGGCAAAACACCTTGTCTATATCCAAACAACTCATTAGGTTCCCTTCCAAAAGTAAATTCTGTTTCATCACTGACCTTCCACACTCCCTCAGCATGCGAGACTGTCCAAGAAGCACGGCAAGCAGGTTTCCAAAAGCGCTCACACAGATAAGGAAATTCAAAGCGGATGCCGCACCACCAGTTCCGAATACCTTCTCGAAAAAGACACCAGCCGCGACGACCTTCGATTCTAGAATTTCTTCCTTGCTTGCAGCACTAAAGTAGGCAATGTTGGCCAGCACGTACAGAATTGCCGTCACCCCCAGCGAGAGCGGCGCACTCCACTTCAAGGTTTTGGTAGGATTCTAGTGCTTGTTAGCAAACAAGTGGTCATGATCATGTGAAGTACATACCTTGACTTCATTGACGACATTGAACGCATTCTCATAGCCTGCAAAAGAGAACCAGACCTTGGTCAATGCATTGGTTGCTCCGTAGGCTGTCGCGGCATTACTGCCCTCAAAGGCAGACCTAAAATTTGCTTTTGGATCTTTCACTGAGGTATGACCTCCGAGAACCACCAAGCCAGTTATCGCAATGCTAAGTGCCAGTTAGCTTTACCGGTTGAGTTGAGTATATTGTGGATCAACACTTACAATACCAATGTCAGCAGTTTGACTAGCCCGATTGCATTTGCCAGTCGCAAAGACCATCTGGTGTGAAATGCCAGAACTATGGCGACTTCATCAGCACATGTGATACAGATAAAAGGAGTACCACTCACCCAGTACTGCAACAGTATAGCAAGCCACAGCGACTCCCTTCAATTTCCATGGGGTGAAGTCCGAATTCGCAAGTTTGAAGAGATACTGGGCCAGTACTAGACAAAGTCAGTACACGTCACTCCACCATTCACCCGCGATGTAATCATACCAACGGCATTGCTGCTGCTAAACGAGAAAAGCACCGTCTGCATCGCAAACACAGTAGGGAAAAAGTACTTGGGTCGGGGATACGCTTGTTCCAAGTAGACAACCTCCGAGCCGGACCGACTGGGGAAAGACGATGCGAATTCCATGTAGACCGATAGCGAGCTAGAGGCCATCAAATACCCAATAACCCAATAAAACAACGTGAGACCAACCGAGCCGGCGCCTTTGAGGACGGTCGACGCTATTCTATGTGAGTATATCAAATAATCCAGAGAAAGTTGGGTTGTACGCACGCGTTGAGAAGACTCCCGTTCCGATCATCTTACTCAAATTCAGGAAAACCACTGTAACCCAACCGACCGAATACCCCAGCGGGGAATTAACCTCAACGGGCGCTCCCGAGGCCTCCTGGTATGTGGCCTTGGGGGTGTTCCCACCGACCTCGGTGGTATACTGTAGGCTATCACTGTCGCTGGTCTCATATTGAGGGACCGACTCGGTATATTCCCGTACGGGAGATGGAAGACCCATTTCGGAAGGCAGAAGGGAAGGCTGGAGAGAATTCTTTGATCTTACGTGGACACATGGCGCGACTTCGCATGTACATATACTACTGTACAACTCGGACCCCTACAATAACTGGGGCGCGGTCAGGGGTGCGGCAGGCGTCATCAGAAACTACTATAATGATGTGATAAGACGGAATATGCCAATGGAATTTTAGCTCTTGTGGCGTTCATGTTAGATTCTAGCTTCGTCAAGTATTGCCTTGATACGCGGTCTAATCCTTGTTCAAGCCGTGCATGATAAACTCCAGCAGGCATGGGGATATACCATCACCAGGTCATAAACAAAGCCAAGGATTAATTTGCGACCAGTTAGAGAGTCGAGTTGAACTCTATCCGCGGCCAAGAAATTGTGTGTTCATTGCGAGGTGGCATGTACTATGGCGCAATACTTTGCAACAGACCTCGAGAATGAGGTGATAAGAAAATCAATGAGGGGCGGTGGAACTCATTGTCAGCTCCAATGAGTAAAACACAAAACGACATGGGTATATCGAAGATGGAGCAGGGGAATTTGAGGCGATGAAGATCAAGTCGATTAAAAAGTCGACCTTGGAAAAAGGCACCACAACAGAGTCCCGGACAAGATCTACGAAAATATAATCGACTTTCAATTGGTGGAAACGTCTAAACACATGATGGACACAGCTAGTGTTGTCCTCATTTTCCGGGGACTTTAGATGTTCTCCTGGTATCAAGTTTCCCATATGGGGCGACTTCCCCATGAAGTGGGTGTAGCACTCATCTCAAAGTCGATTCTTGCCGCCTTCACAATCTGACTGTGCTTCAGGATCGGGGTATTGATACTCTTCCCATCAATTTTCAGACTAACAATATACGGCTTCGTGGACGCCTCCGGGGCACTAATTTCAAGCCTCCTCTCTTTCCCATTGGCAACTTCTCCGCCAGTGCTCGCTCCACTAGGAAGACGAATGGACACTTGCTCAAATAATGGTGTACCGACGATATACTCATCACTAGCGGGGTTGACGGGATAAAACCCCAATGCGGAGAAGACATACCAAGCACTCATCTGTCCCAAGTCTTCATTTCCGCCCAAGCCCCCGCTGGTCGCGTTGTAGTTCTCCCAAGCAATGCTCCTGACTATCTCAGCTGCTTGGTTGGGATAACCAAGAGCTGAATACAAATATGGTACGTGGTGGCTTGGTTCGTTCGTGTGGTCATTGTGACCACCCTGGAAATGCGCATCCAACTTATCGCGGAAGGCTTGACGGCCACCAAAAATCTCAGCCAGTCCTTTCACGTCATGCATCACATCAAACGTGTAGACCCAGTCATCGCCTTCGGTCCATCCAAAAGTGCTATTAGCCCAAGTCTCGTTTGCGTTGCGCGCTTGCATAAATTGAGTCTCTTTATTCCAAAGATAGGCATAATTTCCACTTCGTTTCTTGAGGGCTTGCACGGTGGCGTTGTCCTCTCCCGCATAGGAAGCAACAATGGAACAGGCGTAATCATTAAATGCGTAGTCTAATGTGCGGCTACCGGCTTCAGACCAGCCATCATTAGACACCCAGCCCTGTTTCATGTATGATGTGAGTCCAGCGCGGGCCTCATATGATGTGGCCGGCTCACGGTCATAGTACAGAGTATCAGTATCGTTGTCAGGCGGAGTATATGCATCCTTTTTGACCGCTTCCCAAGCTTTGGCAATATTGAAGCCCCTAAACCCTCGCTCCAGAGCGTTGGCAAGCACGACATCTGCATTCGTTGCGATCATGATATTCGTCTCGACCAAGTTGGCCCACATCGGCAGCCAACCGGACCAATCGAAGATGCGTAACAAGGATCGCATCATGCTATTGACGCGCTCCGGCGCAAATATAGTTAAGAGAGAGTGTTCGGCTCTGTATGTATCCCAGATTGACCAGGACTGATAGTATGAGTCGTTCTCGATGTGGACACTATCGGTATATCCCGAGTAAAAAACGCGGGAAGCATCTTCGTGCTTCGATGTTGGCTCTGAGAAGTCGCTTGGATATTGGAGAGCATGGAACAGGCCGGTATACCAGATAGTGCGAGGGTCGTGGTCCGCATCGGTCTTGTTGATGCCCTTGATGGATACCCTACCCAACTTCTCAAGCCAGGCTGATTTGACTTTTTCAACGGTATCCTCGAAGGTGTGCTCATCTGGAGTCTGTATCACGAGATTCCTCCTTGCTTGTGCAATGCTTATATACGAAACTCCGGTGCGCACTTCGACACGCGATGTCGAGTTAGCAAATTTCACATATGCACCCGTGAAATTCCCGTGTCGCTGAGCCTCATCCTTTATAAGTAACCCTCCATCTGCCACGCCAAATTCAATAAATGGCTCAGAAAAGCGAGCTACAAAATATCCTTTGAATGACGCTGCTTTGTCTGGTCCGAGGAGGTAATCCTGACGCTCAGTGTTATAGCCGTAGACCTCCCGACTGTTCGCATCAATATGGATTTCGCCTGTCCAGTTCCGACGCGAAGCTTGAATATATACCCACGGCTGGCATTTTTCATCTTGATTGGTAGGACTGTGTTGGAAGTCAAATCGAAGATGACCAACATGGGAATCTGCGGACATGGCAATCTGGAATCGTCAGAAAGCATTCATGGCGATCCCAAAAAAAGTGGAAATACCTGAATCGACTGCCTATACTGATTACCATCTCTACTAGGCAGGACATACTCAATTTGTCTTTTTCGCGTCCGCCCATTGGCACCCTCCTTGACCTCATCCGGCACGGAACCCGCACCACCGGGAACAGGCCCATCACCTACAGCCTCAGCCGTCGCATTCCAACCATGACCCAAGAGCTGAGCAGCATCAACAAGTACCTCATAGACGTACGGCGTACTCCTCTCATCCTTTTTTCGGAACTGCAATCCCCTGTTCTGAAACAACGGCTGCACTTCACCGATCCCCGGTGTCAACACAACCTGACCCGCCTCACCCATCCAGATAGCCGGCTGATGTGTGGCTTGGAATCCATGAATGAGGCGGTCGCTATCGCCGTAGGGTACTTGCGAGATGAAGTTCTCGCGAGTCTGCGGTGTCCAGCGGGTCATTCCGAAAGGCGGGCTGATGGAGGGGATCATGCCGCCATTGCCATTCGGTGTTGTTCCGTAGGTTCCGATGAGAGGGTTGACAAATTCGAGGACACCAGCATCCTTGTGATAGGTTGTGTCTGTCTTTGGCTGGGAGTTTGCACCTCCTACAAGTCCCGCTAGGAGGACAGGGAGCATGCCGAGCATGGTGATGTAGAACGTTGGTGGGAGGCAAATGTCCGTACATTACATGGATCCCACTTTGACGATCTGAGGAGTTGATGATCCCAATCTCCTGAATGCGGGGTTCACTGGAAGCTGGTAGCAACATTCCTCACTTTGTTTCAGGAACCAATCCAGCCACTTTGTTGACAGCGATATCCCTGGCTATTCATAAAATGGTCCTCTGTAACCCCCTTTATATATACCCAGGTCTCATTAATATAACATCGACATCGAACATTCAAAAAGGCATTATTATTCACGTCCTGCGTCATCCGTAACCTGGGGAACCATGGATATGAGTGGGGCGCGGGCCGAGACCACAAAAGCAGAGCCCCACTCGCTTTTCGCTCCAACAACTCTGTGTCTTCCACATACACTCTCGGCTGATGACTATTCAACATTCCCGAGCATGGAGCTTGTACAAAGCAGGCTTGTTCATGCCTTGGCACATTTGAGGCGTAGTCTCGGTACTTCAACCTCAGTACACAACGACGCATCTAGCCTGTTGCGTAGGGCGCAGCTCAGTACCATCCGAAGGGGACATGAGTCCGCCAGGTGCTGGAGAAGGAGGCTCTGTGTGGAATATCTCCCAGTGAGTTTCAAGTCCCAAAGACACCTTTGACCCTTTCCAACTAGTCCCCATTAACTAGGTGGCTATCCACGATGGGAACGAGTTATATACAGAGTCATCAATGAGCTACCTCTGTGACAGATTCTTGCGCAGCTTATATGTCCCAGTGTCGAACGTACCTGAACACTCCCGAATATTTCTTCCATGAGATTGGCAGGCACCCACGCTATCACTGATGCGAATGACATCGTTCCGGACATTTCTTTGGGGATTTTGTCAAGACCGAAACGCTTGTTTGGTCGGGGAAATGAAGAGAAATGAAGATTTCATGGACGGTTCCTAATGCGTCTTTGAGACTCAATTGTCCCAAGACCTCATTGGGATGCTCTTACATATCTCTTGCTTTTATTGTTGAGAAACTCGGCTAAATATTCTCTCGATCAACTTCCCGGCTATCCACAACATACTTTGCTGCAGAGACGGACGGTGACACTGTTTAATTATAAAATTGCAGTGGAAGTTTAACTTTACACGGCAATTCCTACCTATCACGAATCGCCAAGAGTAGAGTGAAGTTCGCTTCGCTTGAGTTGAGTCAATATCAGGTGGGTACTCAATACAGCCTTCCAGACCAACTGGCATGTGTCTAACCGCTCTAGCTCAATATTAAAGTCATTATTGTCACTGTGCGAGAGCAACACCCGGTATCCTGATCGAATGAGGCCTCTAGCACTCCACAATTGTCACCTGACGAAATTCGTGCAGCGTAATTTACCACTAGACCATAACAAAAACCAAGGTTCTTGTTTAGGACCTAGAGGGGCCATATCCCATTCTTGACATCACCCACTGCATGGCCTATCACTCAGCTACTCATCATTCCCTATCCTACCACCGCTATGCAGCACCAGCATGGACACACTGGAAGCAACTTGTCTATCTCCAGCATTCAGTCAAGTGCGTCGGCCATTCATCATACCACCCACTCGTGCGGTCACTACGAATATCACCCATTACCGTGAGACCCCTTCCCTTCAGCACCTTTTCCCAAGCAGATCGGATCCCACAGGTAACCACGACCACACGTACATGACTCGCATCGCGAATCAAGTAGAAGAGATCAATAATATCAATGTGCATGTGTATCATTGATGAAACAGTCTGGCAACAGGCCTCAAACTCCACATCATCAAGAGCCTCTTCATACAGCAGTGTTGCCTGGCGAAATGCAGTGTACGAATATCCTAGTGGACTACTGAACAAAGCTTTTAAGGGGTTGCGCTTAGCTGAAGCACTGCGGACCTGCTCCCAGAAAAGAACTCCGCTATCTTCCGACGCCAACGTCTTGTCTGCATCCATCATGATGACAGTTTCCGCCGTGGAGGAGGAAGCGAGTATGTCTTCCATTCTTTGGTTGGCGAGATACATGTTGTAGTCCTCCGTATGCATCCGAAAATCCTCAACAATGGAACCGAGCTTGTTGGCGGATACTAGTGGCGACACTAGCGTGAACAGGATATCGTGGCATCTGCAAAGTTGACAGAGGTGGCTTTGCTCGATTTCCTGCCACCTGGCCAGATGAGAGGTTGACACAGTCTGGCGGCACCGTTTAACATCATTCGAACGATACTCCGCGATGAGCTCAGCTGGGGAGTTTAGGTATAGGATATGAGTATACGTAGTCAGATCGCTCGGTGTACAAACTGACTGGCCATGCTCATCTTCCTCGGCCCAGAACATGAAATGCCCAGCCACTATAGCACTTTTCCCGGTGTTGGAACATTCCTGCTTGACTCTGGCTATAGCACGCTCGCGGGCATCATTTTTACCCTCTTTGGTCAAAATCTGGAATGCTTCAAGACCCCCAGGAGTCACCGCTGCGATAACATTGCTGCCATCATAGAACGCAAATTTGTCATTGTCGAGTACCGTTTTGAGTTCTTCCAGTAGGAAAGACTTTCCAGACCCAGGGAGGCCATACAAACTAATAATTACCGGCTTAAAACTGGTAGGCTGAGCTTGAGGAGATGGATGGGAACGGTCATCACAGTTCACTTCTTCGTGGGGTTCCATCGTGGATACGGAACTTGTGAAGGTGAGCGGTCAAGGAAGATTGAACTTTATCGTAGATGGGAAAATGTGGTACTTAAAAGGGAAGGTCAGACCTGATCCAGTAAGCTTTAATGATAAAGACCTTTTCTGAGGTGAATTAAAGCTGAGCCTGTTATCGAGGGGCAAAGAGAAACGGAGAAAGTGAATTGACTCGTAACGTATGTCACATAATCTAAGCAGCAAACATACAGCTACGCTATGGACTATTCCGGAATCATGACTTGTGATTCATGGAAGCAGTGGCCAAATACGAAGCTGACGGCTCACCCGCTGGAACTCCGTGTGGTCAATGTCATGGCGGGTAGCGACTTCTATGAGTTTGTGATCCTTGCTTGGGTTCACGACCTCATGCACAAGATTCCAGTGCCGGGCATTGCAGAAGAGGGCGGCTGCTTCGAAGAAGGACCATCGTGACGTGTACTTTGCAACCATGTACATGTAGATCGGGCTGAGATGGAGGCTGTACAAGCAAGAAGGATTCCGTGTTGGAAACCCGTCGTATTGGGCCCGGGTTATTGAGAAAAGGACATCTGATGTCTCACTAAGCTTTTGCCAACTTGTCTCTGCGTGTCGACGCTCGCATAGCTCTTCTCGGAGACGGTCTCGATGCCGCGAGCCGGGGGACTGCCGTCGAAGACTCAACATCGTGAACCACCATCTCAATGTTCTGCGTCCTAGACAACTCATTCTGTCTGTGGGATTAGCGGTTGAGATTGAATGAATGGTGAATGGATAAAGAGCAGCGAATAATATATTGCCTATTCAGAAACATTTAGCTTGTCAAACGTGACTTCCTCACAACCTCACTATATATAACCCAACTCAGATGGCAGGTGCAACCCTCTCGTATTAATTTTCAGTTAAATCATCTCCCATATGGATTAAAGAACATAGCGAATTCAATGTATGCTAATTGTAATGAATATCATTTCAATATGTTGATAGACTGAAGACGTAAAGGTGAAACCCTTCAGCCTAAAAGGCCAAGCCACTAAAAATAGCCCAAGGGAGATCAGCCACAAAACAAAACAAGTGGCTGCTGGCATGCGCGGCCCTATGGACGCGCGGATGATCTCTCGAATATTAGCTGACCATTAAATATTCTGCACTTACGCTTCCTCCGTCATTTCAACATCTGCATCTCTTTCTTTCTCATTTACGGAGCCTGTTTTTCGCCCACCATGCCAGCCCTATATGCAGCGCTAGCCCAAAGCGCGGTGGAAACGGCCCCGCACCAACTGGCCCGGCGTGGCTTAAGTGTCAACCATACCCAAGCCGTCACCTTGGGGATAATGGCAGTGTATGTGGTGGTCATCGCACTACTATGGAATCTACCATATGTCCGCTGGGTACTATGGCCGTTCAAGGTAAATACTCCCAGCCCCATATTGATATTGACGGACTGTGACTAACCTACTGCACAGATGCTGGTGATTGCCTTCCATGAATTCGGCCATGCGATTACTGCCTGCTGTACTGGTGGAAAAGTCAAGTCTATCTCGCTGGATCCAAATGAAGGCGGCGTTACCCATATGCAAGGCGGTATGAGTGCCATCACTTTGCCTGCTGGGTACCTGGGGTCTTCGATTATCGGGGCTCTGTTGATCTTCGCTGGATTTGATATTGTCGCAAGCAAGGTTGCTAGTTTCGTCCTCGGTGTATGCTTTCTGCTTACCCTTTGGTGGGCGCGGAGAGACTGGTTGACTATCGTAACTATTCTTCTCGCGGTCGGATTGTTGGTGGCATGCTGGTTCATTGTCCACGGTGAAGCCTTGCGCTGGGTCGTGGTATGTTGTCCTATGATTCACCCGTCATGAACTTGAACTAACCTGCTTTTCTCTATAGCTGTTCATTGGTGTCATGTCTGCATTGTACAGTGTCTGGGATATTGTAAGTACCAGTTGCACTCAATTGACTTATGTGGCTAACAAGATGTGCTCCAGTGCGACGATCTCATCCTTCGCAAAGTAAACAGCTCCGATGCCAGCGTCTTTGCTAAGAGATACGGTGGATCTTCCCAGTGCTGGGGAGTCATCTGGTCTCTCATTTCTCTTGCTTTCATGGCTATTGGCATCATTGGTGGTATCGCAGCATTCCCTGAATCATTCAGCGAACAAGAGGCCAGTTCCAAGCACTTTATCCCGACTCGCTAGTGACACTCGCAAGATTCTCTGGGACATCACAGACTGAAAATAATGATTTTTATGAGGTTATGATATGATACTGCGTTAGGGGATATCCGCATAGGTTAGCAAATCCAAGTTTCGACTTTACTGATATACTGTGGCTTTGAACAAGAAAGTTTATCACGTTGATCTCTCAATCAGAGTAGGAAGAAGTGAGCTAGATACTTGGTCCAATTTACTAGGGCTTTATATAAGAGCCGTTCTAGGTGTATACGAGGGCGCGCACAGACTTTATTATCAGCCGGTCTCAGTTGAAGCTTTGGTCATGATACGTTATGTGTGGTTTATTGTCTAATGTACAAGTCTGTGAGTGATAAGTGCTGGCGATTTATCATGCATTCTCAGCCTCCAAAGCCTCCTCGTGCTGTAAAGCCATCTTGGCCATGACGTCCCGCGCCGCGACCTTAGCCTTCCGCTTCTCATTCATAGCGGCCTCATCTCCGTCCTCGTCTGGACCGCCAGTTCGCTTTCCATTGGGGGAGCCAGTATTCCGCTTGGTCTTTTTGTTGGGCGCTGGGTGAGCCTCAGGGGGAGCTTCAGTTGACTCTTGTGTGTTCTGCTGGTCCTCTTCACTATGTGCATGGCTGTTATTTGGACCAAGGGATTGCGCACGCAAGCTGCGACGAGACGTGCGACGTCGTACTGTGTTTTGTTGAACGTTTGACTCCACATTCCCCTGCGTGGTAGAAGGAGCGATACTGGGTGATTCGGTGAGATCGGGGATAGTGGGCTGGCTGATTGATTTCCTCGGCCTGCCAGGCGGTCTTTTCTGAGGAACAGTTTGCGGCTGCGGAGGGGCCGTTTGGGGGCTTTCCTCGAAAGGCACACCTAGGCGCGGACGTTTGGCTATAGTTTGCTGCAAGTTGGATTGGGGTTGAAGAGGGATGGAGATATTTTCAGGTTCTCGAGCAGACATCAGCCCCTCTAGGGACTCCAGTTGCTCTTCACCAGGTGGACCATTGATAATTGCTGGTTGGGGTTGGTCATTGAGAGGAATGCGAGAGCTCTTTATCAGCGGATCTGATAGAGACATTTCATCCACCATATCATCTTCCTCCGGGGAATCCGCGATTGTCTGGCTGCGATCGCCCGAGAATGCGTCAGGCCAATTGCGTTTCCGGCCCGCTTGGAGTAAGCCGGGGCTCCGGACTTCAGGAAGCGCAGCATTCATGTTCATGATCGACAATGACTCTTGCTGGTGTGGCAGGGTCACTCCCATATAGCGATTCTTCAGTTTCAGGGCCTCGATCTCCAGCTTGAGTTTCTCGATCTCGTCAGACTTGGATTTGAGCTCCTTGAGCACCATAGCAATCATGTCAAAGTCTTGCCCCTGAAGTATGGAACCTTCCGCCAAATTCCGTCCGGGTCGATTCAACTCAATTCGAAGGGCTGTAAATGAGTTTTTGAGATCAGACATTGTATCTTGGAGGTGGTTCACTGAGTTCGAAATCTGATCGATACTTCTACCCTGGTGGATCATTTGTTTTTGCATCGCTGGATCGACGGTAGTGGGATCGGTGGAGCCAGCTGGGACCACTGCATTTCCCTGGACAAGATCGGTGTTTCGGCGCGGAGGTTCTTTCGGGGGACAAATCAGTCGTTCGAGGGCCCCCTGTTTGAATACAGGCTGCACCGTTCGCATGGTAACAATCTCCCTAAAAGCAACTTTCGACATTTTCCACAAAATATTCATCCTAAAAGAAGATTAGCTATGAGAAGCCCCGGTCTTGATCGACAGCCACTTACCCGTTGTCAAGTGGACAAAGTACCCCCATCCTTTGCTGGCAGAGTTTACATGACACTTCTTGAATGACACGGCCACGCAGAAGGGTCATATCCGATGTATGAGGGATTTGCTTCCGCTCCGAAGAAACCGCGATGCGATGGAGGTCGACACTCAGCCATGCTGTCGGGATTGAGTAGGCATTAGATAGTTTGGCCCACTCATTCTCCAGTGCAGCCAGTGAGCTGGAACATCGAGCACACTGGCACAGAATGCCAGGCCGTGTGAGATGGGATAGGTCCATCATTGTGCCCAGTGTAAGCAGTGCCTAGTGTAAGCAATCAGAGTCTTGTAAGATTGTGCGGACTTGAACCAGTCAAGCGCATTGCCCGCAACCAAGCACATTGCTGAGTCAGCGGTCGAGGCCGACCGTTGGATGCACTAGGCCGAATTGGGGTATCGATAAGGACTGTGTAAGAACGGTGTCGTCATAGCCGCGGAGGCATGGAGCTACAGATTGTACACTTCTGATGGATGGAACGCAAGGTTCAGGTTGTATCAGCACCGGGCTTATGAATATAATTACCCTCCGACCACCGCTGCAACATGCTGTACAGATGAGGATGAGATCCATCCCGGTTCCACAATGTAGCGAGCTATCTGTCTCCGGATCACGTGGCGACTCCCCTCTTTCCCAATTCCCTCAACAGGTATCTGCGGTTACTGTCATAAAGCTCATCCATGAATCGCTTGTTACATCCGATCCGTTGCTCTTCCTCGGCGTTTCGATTGACAGCCCCGCACGGTCGAAAAATCTTTCCAATTGCTATGGCACAACTCTCAACGGATGCCCTGGCTCGTGCCTCGGCGGTCATTGGTAGCAGTGATAAGAAGACTACAGCCTGGCATGGGGCTGGAGCCGCTGAGTTCGACCTCCGAAGTATGACTAAATCGGAAAAGGATGACAGAATTGAAGCTGATTTTGGTCAGGCGATACAATGACGAAGCCTACAGCGTCGATGCTCGAAGCGATCTGCCAGACAACTCTTCTGGATGATGTCTTCAACGAGGATCCAGTCACCAACGAGCTGCAAAGCTACGTGGCTGATTTTACCAAACATGAAGACAGTCTATTGGTTCTTTCGGGTACCATGGGAAACCAGGTAGCCATTCGCTCGCATCTCGCGCAGCCACCTCATTCAGTATTGTGTGATCATCGATCACATATCATCTGTTATGAGGCTGGTGGTGTGAGTGCTTGGACTGGCGCCACCGTGAGCACTGTCATTCCTAAGAATGGGGTGCATTTGACTTTGGAAGACGTCAAAAAGCACGCAGTTCTCGGTGATAATATTCATTATTGCCCCACCAAGTTGATCAGTCTAGAGAATACTCTCGATGGGATGATCATGCCGCTGGCTGAGGCGAAGCGGATCGTGGAATGGGCTCATGCTCATGACATCAAGGTTCACTTGGACGGTGCTCGGCTGTGGGAAGCCGTCGCGGCCGGTGCTGGGAGCTTGCCTGAATATGCAAGCATCTTCGATAGCGTTAGTCTTTGCTTCTCGAAGGGGCTGGGGGCACCTATTGGAAGTATCATTGTCGGCTCCCGAGAGTTTATCAAGAAAGCGCGCTGGTTCCGCAAATCTATCGGCGGCGGCGCTCGACAGACTGGCGTGATTGCAGCTGCCGCCCGCGTTGCGCTCACCGAAACTTTTGGCACGGACCCCAACGGCCAGACCGGGAAGCTTGCAGCAACCCATACAAAGGCGAAACGGGTAGCCGATCTGTGGACCAGTCGCGGTGGCAAGCTAGAGTACCCCCTGCACACCAATATGGTTTGGTTGGATCTCGAAGCATCAGGAGTGGGGCCGAATGACTTGGCAGAGATTGGACAGCAGAAAGGGCTGAGATTGTTGGGTGGCCGCGTTGTGGTCCATTACCGTAAGTGGTTCCTTACCTGGGTAGTCTGCTTCAGGGCTGAGCATGCATGACTGAAAATCTGACCTGTCACAGAGGTATCGGACGAAGCGCTCGCACGGCTGGAGCAAGTGTTCGACACTGCGCTGAAGGGTGATTTCAAACGGAGTGAAGACACTAGCAAGCCGTATGGAAGTAAATAGTTCGACGTAAATAATAACGAATCTATAGCCATACTTCATAATGGTATCGTGTACACTGTATTTCATAGATCGAACTTGAGTGGTTAACCCCGCTCTCACATACTCGGCCAATCAACGGCTCTGTTGCCTGATGAGTAAGGGGTTACGCGCCTCAGGAACGCGTCGTTGCCTCAGGTACCGAGTCACGATTGTTGCGGCTCGTTCCTGGTCTTGTTCCTCGGACGACGACCTTCCCAGGAGTGCAATTTTGCTCTGTCCCGGCGTCCCCGTTTTTATCTATCTACTGTCCCAATTTTGCTACCCGCGGACAGATTGATCGGGGATATTTCAGGCTGTGTGCGTTCATTCTCGATCTCGAGTCGGGGCTAAACAAATGCCTCTTCAAGCTTCCAAAGGACGTTTGCTAACTTGTTAAAACTGGATTCCACAGACATACCTCCTGGCCCTCTCAAAATCGACGCTTAAAATCCCTAATTCGAGCATTTAATACGGAAACAGCATTCGGTAGCTTCTCATTAAACGGCATTTGACGGTCTGCGCCGGTCGACATCTGCAACCCCATAATCAAGATTCGTATTCTTATGACATGCAGACGAGGGCTTGAAGTCTCGCTTTTGTCTCATGTGCATCATTCATCATCTGTGTTGATCAACGCTAGCTTCGAGAAGAGCTGAAGAGTGACACCCCACTCTGCAAGGCACACGGTTCACTTATCGCTCATGCTCATCTGATTGCCTATTTCCACTCCTTGCGATCACCAAGCAAAACGTTCGTGGGCAATCTGTTGCTGAGGCGACACATACCCTGGTGATTGTATCATTGGTCCTGAAGCGTACATATCATTCATTGTCTTGTCCAACTTTTGCCCGGGTGTGCGGCTCCCCGGCCCTAGCATTCATTCCCCTCGAGGTATATACAAACCCTCTCCGAGCTTTCGTTGTTGGCGCAAAACCACTGACACATCATATATCCAGTCTACGACATTTTAATGACCTTTTTATGCACATTCCCCTTGCTGGCAGCGCAGCACATATACCCTACTCCATCGGATCCGTACCCGTAGCTCATTTCTGTGTTCATTCCCCTAGCACCTTCATTTACACTTGCATTCACCCTCATAATGGAAGCCACCCAGGAATCCACGCAGCCATGTGCTGATCCTCGCCGAATGGGAATGAATAACTCCGGCATCCAAGATCAAGACCTGGCCGACATTATCTGTATCCTTCATCCGAATTCGCATGCTGCCCATGATGCTGTCAGTGCCACTGGCGGAATATGTCCTCAACATATCCTCCAAAGGGACATACTAGGGCACGACTCCTCTCACACTGCATCATTAGATTTGGCGTTGAGGCTCTCGTCAAAAGTTCATAACCTGGGACTGGGATTTTGCTTCGGTCGCAATCGGTCTCGTTGTGATATTCTTCTGAGTGTCGATGATAATGCCAAACGAGTGTCAAATAACCATTTTCGCATATATCTTACCGAGGACGGCATTCTCATGCTGCAAGATACGTCGACAAATGGTACCATTGTGGACAATTGCCGCCTACGAAAATCTCAGAAGGATGGGAATAGTCGAATGCTCACGAATGGATCTGTCATTCAAGTTGTTACCGGCTGCCAAAACTCCGACGAGGTCCGGTTCGTGGTTCGAATCCCATTACGAGAAGGATTCGCAGTCCACTATCACCAGAACTTGTTTCGCTATTTCGAACGAGTTCATGCACATGCTCCGGCCCATAAAGAGCGACAGGGCCCAAGCCCGTCTGCTCTAGCGTGGTCATCCGCCAACGCTTATGGCATGCATTGGACCGGTGGTGCCATGTACAACGTGACTGGACAGATTGGAAAGGGCGCCTTTGCTACTGTGTACAAGATCGCAACCAAACAACATGGCGCCATCTATGCTGCGAAAGAACTCGACAAGCGTCGCTTCATGAAAAACGGTATCCTTGATCAGAAGGTCGACAATGAGATGAAGATTATGAGAGATCTCAGACATGTAAGCAATATGTTTAAGATTGCATGTTAACTATAGAACTAACGTGTTGCAGCCGAATATTGTTCAATACATCGATCATCACGAGCATGATCGATGGATCTACATCATCATGGAGTATGTTCCAGGCGGCGAGCTGTCGACATACCTGCACACGCAGGAGAGAATTCCCGAGGAAATGGTTAGAACGATCGCACGACAAGTGTTGCGAGCGCTTCACTATTTGCATAAACGCCACATCACCCATCGAGATATCAAACCGGACAACATCCTGATTGCCTCGTTGGACCCGCTCAGAATTAAGCTATCGGACTTTGGGCTGTCGAAAGTGGTGGAGCAGGAGACTTTCCTAAAAACTTTTTGTGGAACCCTTCTATACTGCGCGCCGGAAGTTTACCCAGATTATGATCAATACCGCCGTGGCGAGCTCCGAAAGAGGCGTCGCGTTGGAGACCCGTAAGTCACTTATTTCCTTTCGCTTGAGAAGCCTCTGCTGACGTTAAAAGACCCCCCAGAACATCCCCATACAGCCAATCCGTTGACATGTGGTCGCTAGGAGCAGTCCTTTTCCATATCCTCGCCGGCGTTCCCCCATTCTCAGGGCGTGCAGAAGATCGAGGTCTCCAGATGCTTCGCACCATCATGACAAGCGACGCTGATTTCGATGCATTACGCACGGCAGGCGTGTCTGAGGCTGGAATCGATTTCGTCGCCCAGCTTCTCAATCGCGATCCTTTCTCACGCCCGACAGAGAAGAAGTGTTTCCAGCACCCTTGGATCTCCGAGGTGCCTGATGTGGATGAGTATGAGGATGATGACGACTTGCTATATGATTATCAAGATCGGCTTTCAATCATTGGCGAGGATCCCGAGGACGAGCTAGACGCTTCACAGTTGTCTATCGCTGACGGTCCGGGCTACGTCCATGAAGCCGACGGCGAGGAGAGTAGCGGCAGCGAAGCAATCTCCAAACGCCCCCGTACCCAGTACATTCCGACTGATGTACACTATCCCAGCCTTCCAAATATTGAGAGCTTCCAAGATGGACAAGCGGTAGTGGACAATAGTGCCAAACGTTTGTTTGGCGAAATTACCCCCTCGGCTCTACGGAGCTCCCACGCACTCGGCAATATCCAGGCCTTCAACGCCAATAATTTTCACGTTGACTTTCTCTCTTCCGGTGAGTCGATGATGAGCGACGATCCCAACGAGTCGATCATTTCCCTCCCGGCGGTACCCTTCGGTGGCACTGCACCCAGTTTGATGGGTGCAGAGAAACTCGTTGGGCAACTCAACATGAATTCCTTGAACCCCACTCCGCAACTTAAGGGTGGCCCGGTTAACAGATCCTCCTTGCGGCAGACCCCTCCTGGACACACCAAGGGCGAGACACTATCTAGTAGCCCGAAAAAGGATTCTCTTCCGCCGACTTCGAGCCCTAAGGCAGAATCTGTCTCGAGTCCACAGGAGGCAACCCCCAAAGCGAAGTTCACACGTCGGATTGACCTCACTCTTGCAATCCCTGACACAGCCAGCGAGGCATCTAGCGATAATAGTGACCACAACAGCCACCGCGACACTACTCCCAACTACCCCTCTCGTCCCTCGAAATCAGAATACGACGTTGAGTTTGCTACTACCCTCGATGCGCAGACAGGCCAAGCTATCTTGGATCGGGTCTGTGTCGAGGAAGCAGACTCGTCAGAACCGATTGTTCATAGACCCAACTCACCCCCTATTCCTTCCACTCTCTATGACCCCGAGTTTGCCAAACCACCAAAACGATATGGCAAACTGAAGAGCCTTCCCGGTTCGATATTCGACTTGACAATCTACCTTGAGGATAGGCTCACCTCCTGGGGTCGCGGGCCGTCCGCGACCGTCAAGCATGCTGATTCCATGGACACTAGGATCCCCGCCTATGCACTAGAGGTCACATTTTGGACTCCAGGAATCGAGGCGAGGATCGCAACAGGTGAAAGCTGGCTCGATATCCCCGGGGTTATGGCTATTCTCTCCACCAAAGCGCGTCTTGGCATCTGGGTGAATGATACACTCCTGCGCCGCGGCTCTATGACCGAGGATGGTCCTGAGGCTTTACAATTCGGGAAACTCTACACCGGCGACATTATCACTGTGTACCAAAACAAAGACAGAACGAAGTTCCTCAAGCTCCAGTGCGAATTTACCCATGGTGAGAGCGCCCAGCCCCGGCCTGGACCTGAAGCCGGTTTCATGGTGCGACAAGCTCTCATGAGCAAGGCCGACAGGACGACGAATCGAATGCCGATTCAGTCCCAATGCAAGGATCGGAAGTAGATTGAGATTTGGTTTTATTAGTCTTTCCGCTTTGGTCATAGATAGTAATTGCGTGGTCCGCATGATATTAATTGTTTCTGTACTCCACAATGGTCTTTGTCCGCAAGCGGTCGAGTAGATGTAGGAATGTGGAGCCGATCTCCGCGCTCCGCAAATTGATCTCCGCTTGATTGAGTAGCTCGTAGGTTAAATTAGACTTAAACTGTATGTCAACTATACAGCAGGAGTCATTGACCCCTGGGAATAATTCGGTTTACGAGTATTGACACTAACGCGAGATCAAAACCCAATTTCCCAACTTCAACGCTGGGAAACACCGAAAGTCAGCCCGCACCTGCTCCAATGCCATGCAATCAGCACAGACATGCCGCATTCGGCCTCAAGTTCCTCGCATCTCGAATCCGGTGTATACTGTCCCCACGGTGAATTGTGTTGTGTATCTTAACTGCCAACTCTCTTCTTTCCTAATTTCATCCCACTCGTCCTGTCTGTCACTCTGACCTCACAACGAATTAACCCCCTTCGCTCGCAATTACGAAATTACTCTCCGGTCGATGGCCTCAAGATTTCACAGCGATCGATCTCTAGCACACAACTATTCGGCGCCGATCATTGCGATGACCTTATCGCGGTCGCCCTCTCCCCACGCGGGCGGGGGGTGGTCCAGCCCGGGACTCGTTCCGGGCAGCGGCAGCACATCGCCGAATAAACCATCGTCCGGTTCATTACTGCCAGGCACACCAGGCAGCGTTTCATGGGCTGAAGCCAAGGCAAAGAGCGAGGAGGTGTACCGGTATCCATCATTCTCAACACGCAATAGCGGCTTCTTCTCTCGACAACGACACAAGATCTTCGCTCGATTTCCTAGCTTGAGAAGACTTTCGTCGCAGGGATACGTCGACAAGGATGATTATGGTCGGGAATGGAATCGTCCGGGTAGTGGGCGTGGTCTGCTAGGCGCATTACGCATACCAGTGCGCCGGGGTCGGTTCCGGCTATTATTGGCGCTGTTCTTGGTGTGGATCGGCTATATGTTTTGCTGGGCGAGTAAGTGATTGCTAATTCCATATCATTTCGACGTGCCACTCTGACCGCATTATAGCTATTGTCCAAACATACCGAAGGTCGCCTATAGGCGGCGGGAGCAAGTTCGTCATCATACTCGGATCCAACGTCGAGGGAGGCGTCATGGAGTGGAAGGGTGCCCGTGAATGGGCCATTGAGCGCAACAGCATATGGAACAAGAAGAGATATGCGAAAAAATGGGGCTACGAGCTCGAGCTGGCCAATTTGCTGGCCAAGAAGCGATATTCACATGAATGGCGCGAGAGCTGGGAGAAAGGCGATGTGATTCGCAAAGCCATGCGCAAGTATCCAGACGCAGAGTGGTTTTGGTGGCTCGACTTGAACACCTGGGTCATGGAGTACGACACATCTCTCCAACACCATATATTCAATGACCTCAAGTCACACGTCTACCGTGATATCAATGCCTATAACCCTATCAACATCACCCATCCACTACCCGAGTTCTGGCTCGATGAGCTCGGTCGTTCTCGCGAGGGCGATGGCCAGGCAGATTCTTTGAATATGCTCCTGACACAAGACTGCTCCGGCTTCAATCTCGGATCTTTCTTCCTGCGACGGTCTCTTTGGACCGAACGGCTGCTCGATGTCTGGTGGGATCCCGTCATGTACGAGCAGATGCACATGGAATGGGAGCACAAAGAACAAGATGCTCTGGAGTACATATATCAGAGCCAACCATGGGTCCGGAGCGGTGTTGGCTTTTTACCACAACGCAGCATCAATTCCTTCCCTCCTGGCGCATGCGGCGACGGAGAGAATCCAGTCGTTCACTATCAGCAGGCAGCACACGACCTCGTCGTTAACATGGCTGGGTGTATGTTTGGTCGTGATTGCTGGTCGGAAATCTACTACTATCGCGAACTGAGCAATTGGCTTGGCCGGTCTGGTTGGGAGCGATTGAGAGATAGTGTAGTTGATCTATACGACCAAATGACGGGGAAGGTTGTGGATGGGGATGAGTGAACCTTACTGTTTTATGCCATTCACATCACATATATTCCACGGCAGGTTTGCATCCATGTGGTCATGCCTCGCATCATAGGAGGTCTTGTGTTAAAGTTTTTGTTTTGTATGTATGTATCGTTTTAGTAATGCCGCATTATCTTGATCAACCACGGTCATTGAAAATATGATATTTTCGCAAGTCATTTCTTCACTGAACATAATAGTGCCTAGTTCCTCTAAGCCACATAAAAATTCAATCTTATCCAAACCTCGCTCACTCTGTCCTGCCGTTTGCAGATTGTATAGATTCACGTGACCTTCAGATCTGCGCAGAAGGTCTTCTCCCTCTCCCGCACCACACCACCCTGACCGCCCTCCATCCACCCAATCACAACCCACGTAATCCAACCTTCAAGATCAACGTGCCGACGACCGCATCAAGCAGCTTTCAAGAGAACACTCTCCCAACCCTTGCCGTCACTGCCCAGCGCCCGAGCAAGCAACAACCCCAGCAAAACCCCACCTCAACGCAATCCCCATAAACCAACCACCCACAATGCCCACCGCCGAGTCCGCCGCCTTCCTCGCCAAGAAGCCCACTGTCGCCCCGACCTACGAAGGCGTCGACTTCGAGGACAACGTCGCACTCCACAACGCCCGCGATGCCATTATCCGTGAGCAGTGGGTCCGCAGCATGATGGCGCGTCTCGTCGGCGAGGAATTGGGCAAGTGCTATGCGCGCGAGGGCGTGAACCACCTTGAGAAGTGTGGTGTTTACCGAGGTGGGTTGTTTCCGTATTCTGTGTCCTGTCTAGGCTATATCCAGGAGATTCGGTGTTCTGGATTTGTCTACGAAATACCCTGATCTGACTGGATTGTGGGCTATGCGGATTGGATTGGATTGGTATTGATTGCGATGCGTTGTACTGACCTATATATCTTTTGCAGACAAGTACTTCGAGCTCCTCAAGGAGAGCAAGATTAGGGGTTACCTCGGCATGGAGAAGAACCGCTTCGGTGGACAGCCGGAATAAGCGTTTACATCTTTTGTGTGTTGAGCTATGCGATTGCGTTTCGAGGCTCGGGTTTGATGATTGATATCGACACCGCGGGGATTCTACAATTGATATCGAGATGAAATGATCAGCTTTGGACGGAAATCTCGTGGTTTCGATCCGATCCTGTCCAATCTTGATCTTATAGCCACCTAGATCGGGTCCGTGTCGGAGGGGAGACGAAAAGATGGCAGAAGAGGTCTGGAGATTACCCTCTATGCTCTTGTCCGACTGTACTGTACATAATATCACTTTGTTTGATCTTCTTTTTTCTTCTACGATGTTCATGGTCGTAGTAAAGACCCACACACGGCCTCATATCCCAATGTATCCTTAGCGGGCACCTGTTGTCCTTGGACCGCCAAGTAAATGCTAACTTCGGTATAATCACCGTATCTCATGCTATGTACTTATATGTACTTATATATCCGTATTCAATAATAAACGGTCGAGACTGTCGCACTCCGGTCCGGGAATGCACCCGGAGGTTCACGACTATCAGGTTGTCCTGCATCGTCTTCACTATCGTCGTCACTTCCGAATTGAACGTCATCTCTCTCATCTGGTGGGGCACGCATCCGCATGAGTTGATCGTCATCTAAAGAAGGGGGCTGGTATGGTGCCGGGGGAGAGTGGATATCACGCCCAGAAGGCAGATTAGAGAGCAATGGTGCAGATGGTGGAATGATCTGCGTGTTCATCTGCATCGGGTCAGGAAGTCATACATATTAAGTCTCACTTGGGCTAGAGTGACGTAAAGAATTCAAACTTACTGTGTCATTCATTTTCACCCAATTCGTCTCAAGCATCGCGAGGACTCGTCCCTCCTCATCACGGCCAGCATCATCTCCCGCATCCAATGGACCTTTGTCGCTGCGACTACCGCCAGCATCCTTAGTAACTCGACGCTCCTCACGCCGCTCTGTCCATTCTCGCTTTAAACGGGATAGTCCACCCTTTGCAGAGCCTCCTGACCCAGTAGTGTCTTCCTGAGACCCTGCTCCACGTAGGCCCAGTGGAGTGCGTGCAGCTCGCAACCACGCAATACCCTCACCGACTTTGCCTGATAGCTCCGCATCCACACCAAAGAATCGACAGGCGCGTGCTCGGGCAACGCGAGCCAAGACTCCGGTATAGCGGACCAAATCCTCATCCACACGGCCTGCACGACCAGACGTAGATCCAACTGCACCTAGACCTGCCGCCGCTTGTTCGGCGTACTCTGCGGCACGAACACATAGTCTTGCAAATAGCAGAGCGCGTACCTTCGGTATCTCAGGTGCACGGACCATCCACTCTTTATCATTCGGATTGCGCGATTGGATACACGCCGCAACATACGCATCATCTTTAAGGACAGCCAGTAATGTAGCCTCCGCCATGGCCAGAGACGACAAAGCAGACTGCGTACCAGACTCGAGCTCCGGTACCGTCGACACAGTAGCTGCGGTGAAAGTCGGCGAGGACGCGAGCAGATTATGCACCGAGCTAGCTTGTAAGAGATACCGTGTCGCAGTCTGGACAGCAGCCGTACGAGTCTCCGCGGACGGGGTAGACGGTGCGTATAACGTAGCGACGACTCCTGCGCGCGCCATCCTACTCAGTACGTAACCGAGCGTTGTGAGCGTAAACGCCAATTCGAAGTGGATGCCGCGGCCAGAGACTCGTCCATTCCGCGTGCGGATACCGTTTCCGCTTGTGTTATTTCCCCCGGGCCCGAAATTCAACCCGCCTGAGGATGACAGCGTATATCTCCATGTCGACTCTATCTCCGCATGGGCTGTGATGTCGACTACTTCGGCGCGGATATTCGTTCCCCCTGTCGTGTAGCCGTCTTGGGAATTCGCTGTAACAGAGCGACCATTCAGTCCGTTTGAGATTGCGAACAGGAAGGGGATGTATTCGTTCAAGGCGGACAGAACGGCGGGTAGGTGGGCATCCTGGCGCGGGCCGCGGGGTAGGCGCTTGTGGGCCTTCAATGCGAGGCGGAGTGCATGGCGGGTTGTTGTGGCTGATTGGGGGAGGGATGGATGAGTGGCAGAGGAGATGAATGATTGAAATGATAGAGGCGAGACGGTTGGGAGGATAAATGCGTAAACCATGGTGAATTACGGAGTTGGAGAGGGGAGGAATCGGGGATCGGAGCTGATGTCACTGCTCTCGCGGTGCATAGCGTCCTTCGAAGGAATCTGCCAAGCGCCCAGCACACCTTCCTGGTGTTGGCGCGGGCAACGATAATCTCAGTTTGTGCTCATTATTTATGAATTTTGAATTTCGCCCAGTACACGTGGTCCATGGGCAGTAATCCTTCTTCCCATTTTTCCTCATATTCTTTTGTATATCTGTATGTATTCGATATGGAAGGCGAAGGCGGTCGCTACGATACTTCCAAGGTTACCTTAGTATCCGGAGGCCTAGCCGCCTATTTACCATTAGTCAATATTGCATGCCAAAAAAAAATCAAGAAGTCTTACTTAGGTGCCGTATATATGGTATAAGAAAGTACCTTTTGTATTGGTATAACATACGAACGGTACCTAACTTCGTTGGCCGGGGTAGGTTAGACTAAAGCACAAGTTCATATGACCTCTGAAGAGCTATATAAACCCTCCCGGATTGATTCCCACTTCTTACTTCTCTCCCCATCTTCACCTAAATCACGGGCGAAGCTTGAGAAGGATGTCAGGCTTCTCTTAATGAAAGTAACGGACAAGTCAAGGGAAAGATAATAGTGGAGGGCCGGACAGGGCGTGGAATTGCTTCCCAGTCCAGAAGATGGATACAGCCAAGATTCTAGACTCAAACCGTGAAGAATTTCAAGGGAGGTAGCCTGTTCAGAAGCACAAGCAAAACCTGTGGAAGTTATAATCTTTTGGCTGAACGCAAGCAACTGAGAAGTTGGTGTTGTACTCAGCATCAAAGTACAAAAACGGGGAATAATCACCATGACACAATGAATCCTGCAAGCTCTATGATCCTTCCATCAACAAACTTGTCGTCAGAATGGAGACTAAAGCACATGCAACAATCATCGGTTGTTTCACCGGCATGATCGAAGCTTGGAATGGAATAGAGGTGGAAGATTATGAGCAATGAGCTCATAATCCCCCCGGGCATGGCTATCAAAGGCACAGGCAACGGGAATCGCGACACAAGCCAGCAAGACAACTTTCGGGCAGATATGATCAAAGCCTATAATGCCAGTCACCTTACCAAGCCATGGATTTGGTGTCCTGCTCTGTATGACTATACCGACGAAGAAGATATACAAGCATCCCAACTATTCCCATATATGAATGGGCAGGATACCGGTCTCTAGGTCAAAGCAAATTCATGAGATTCATAAGGCAGTCCGTCAATGGAGGTAGTGACGGTTGGGACGACCGTTGGCTCAGTGGATATGAGCTAGAACTTATTTTTACAAGTATACAAGCCACTCATTGAGATTAATTGTTTCATCATCCAGTAGACGAGAACAACGTCTGCCGGAATCAATTCATTGTTGGATTGCTCCAGTATCATCACCGGTCCTCCAGATCATCAAGAAGTAGGTTGGTTGGGTTCAGGTTTTGACACCCGGAGCAGGGGTGGTCAAGTTGTCTGACAGGAGAACTGGGAATGATCTGGTCGTTATATATACAAAGCTACGTTACTGAACGTAAGACTTTAATGACCTGGCCTGACTCCAAGATGTTAATTAGTTAGGGACGTTATACCTCTGGTAACACTACGATGTCTTTATGGGAATATATTTTCATGACTAGGTAGCTGTAGAAGTGTGACCAGGAATAAGAATACAACAACCCTTCTCTTCTCGCCTTTGCTCTCTTGTCAATTTGCTTAAAATTGAAACATGGAATGTCAAGTTACTGTGGCAAAGTGATCACTGCGCGTCCCATAATACCATCATCCCTCAGCTTCTCTATCAAAGTCGGCACGTCCGAGAATTCAAAGACTTCGATCGATGGTGCGATTTTTCCAGCAGCTGCAGCTTGCAGTAAGTCGGTCAATTGATCCTCCGTACCCACAGATGACCCTATAAAGGTGAGACCTATCGTTGTGAGAGTTAGTATATGATTGACTATGAGACCACCGTCATCTTACCTCTCGCTGTGCAAAGTGTAGCCGAAAGAGGAATATCCAAGTCATTCGGTGGCAACCCAACATTCACAACAAACCCCATGTTTCTCACCAGGTTAGGCGCCATCTGCAATGCTTCCTTCGTACCCGGCACGACGATTGTCGCATGCGCACCCTCCCCAGTGAACTCACGCACTCGAGCAACCACATCTTCAGTCTTGTAATCAAAGAAAACCTCCGCCCCAGACTCCAAACTCAAAGCTCTCTTATCATCACCGCTATCAACCGCAATAACCCGCAAATTTTTGATCCTGGATGCAATCTGCACCCCAATATGGCCCAAACCTCCCCCAGACCCCGAAATAACAATAAAGTCACCCACCTGCAGCTCATGATCAAGTTTCGACAAAGCACCAACCATCGTAAGTCCAGCGCACAGTAGCGGTGCTGCAACTTCATCGGCTACGCCCCCGGGGATCAATGTCAGGAACCGCGCATCGGCGATAACATACTGCTGCAATGTCCCCGGAACATGGCGACTTGTATTGAGCTGCTGTGCGCAATAGTTCGGGAACCCTCGCTTGCAGACCGAGCATTTGTTGCATGCACTGTAGAGCCATTTGACGCCGACTCGTTCACCGAGAAGGGACTCCGAGACATCGGGCCCTGCTTTTACTACAATGCCGACCCCTTCGTGGCCGATGATGGAGTTGTATGCACCCCAGGCTAAAACAGCGCGGAGTTCTGAGCGGCTTTTTTGATGGTTATGGGTTAGTTTTTCGAGGGTGAATTCATTTCGGAATGTAAGCGCTTACCACAGGCCGGTGCAAGTTAATTTGACGAGAACTTCATTTTGTCCAGGACTTGCGACGGGTATGTCATTCTGAAGAGTGATAGTTGCATTTTCTCCTGGGTTTTGCACCACCGCAGCTTGCTGTAGCGTAGGTGTGGAATCTGCCATTGATGGGAGTGGTTCTTGTTGAGGGGTAGATCTGCCGATATTCACAATGGTTTATTACACTTTAACCACGCCTTTTTGTTTTTCTAATAGGAAGGACTGATATTCAAGCCTGGTTTGAATACATTTTGGTCTTACATGTAGATGTTCGGTTTGCCGAGGTAACTGATTCTCTTCGGTCAGGATGTCGGCAAGTAGGTGACGGTGGAATTACGTCTCTTTGCAACGATACTTCACCACGTCTCAATCAACAAAAGCCAAAAAGCCGGCTCCAAGCGAGTTATCAGAAATAACACGTGCAGCAATTATCAAAGCCCTTCAAAATGGGAATTCAGCCATCAAAATTGCCAAAGATCTTCGCGTCGCGCGATCCACTGTTTACTGTACGAAAACGCGTTTTCAAGAACGCAAAGATATGTCTTCAAAGCCCGGACGAAGACGCCCTTCTAAGTTGAGTGATCAAACTGCGCGTTATACTGCGCGCTTGGTGAGGAAAGATGATCGACCCAGCTGGGCTGCTATTGCGGCTAGTGTCGATAGAGGACTCTCGAAGTCAACAGTCGGGCGTGTTGCACGCAGCCAAAATGCCTACAAATTGTCTCAAGAGAATACTTCAACACCTTTGACGGCGAAGAAAGCGAGAAAGATGGCACCAGCAGTCTGTGGAAAGTCGGAAACTGCAGAGTGAGATCTCGGGAGAATGTCACCTGTTCTGCACTATTGCTGCTCAACAACTTGAAGATTTCTTATTGTATTTGCGAAATCAATGGGACGCTATAAAGAACACAACGGCCTTCGAGATACCTCAAGTCCCTGGGCAATACTATCCTCCAACGAAGTCCACCCTTTTCGCCCACAGAATTCCCGTAGGAGCCTTTCTGCGTCCTTAGCCGGGATTACCTCACTCAGATCACGGCCCTCGTTAACAGGAGGTTCAGGAATCAATGTATTATTAGGCTGGAGCTTTCGAACGACTGAGATTATATCAGTGAGGTTGATCGGAGCTGCAAATCCGAAGAGTCGACGGGAGACTGTATTTGGGTCGAGGAGGGCCGCCACATGTAGACGCGCAATATCGATAACATCGCAGAAGTATTCTTTTTATATCAGCAATGATCGAACAATCAAGCAGTGTCAACTTACGCGGCACAAATGTCTCAAAAATACGTGTGTCACCTTTGGGTAGGCCAGTAACCCAGCCCATTGTCGAGCCGTGGATCTGTTCATGTAGGATTCTCCCGAGCTAATCGAAGTCAATATCATACGTTTGATGGCCTGGCATAGAACTCACGGTAAAATCCGGTAACACGGTATTGAATTGGAAGCCTGGCTTGTTCTTCTCCATCCATCTCCACGCTGCCTTCTCTCCCTCGGTCTTGGAGGCAGCATAAGTGTAAAGGCCCTTCACAAGTGGTGGAGCATCCGAATCATAGGCTAGCTTGGTAGCCTCGTCATTCCAGGAGTCTAGATACAATATTAACCAATACATCCTTGCATTCCCTTCTCTAAGAAGTGGTCTCTCACCCTCACGAACAACAACACCCTCCTTATTCGGCTCCGGAAACAACGCCGTGACCGCAGAAGAGGTCATGACAACCCGCCGGATAGCGGAATTTCTCGATGCAGCCTCTAGCACATTATGAACAGCTCTCAACACCCACGGCACAACCTCTTCCGGATTCGCACTGAAGCTAACATCTGATGCCTACACAGCGCAATGTCTCATTAGCACATACCCATCGAATAATTCCACTGCCAAATACATACCACATGCGCCACGCCAGACACACCATCCATTACACTAACAAGAGTATCCACGTTCTCAAAGTTAGTAAGAACAACAGACTCATACGAGTCCCGCCCGAACTTCCCGCGGAACATCTCATCGAGCCATGGTTTCGGTGCGCGGACAGTCCCGCGAACCTTGTAGCCTAGTTCAAGCAGACTGTGAACGACATTGCTCCCAATGAAGCCGTTCGCGCCGGTGACCAGGATGCGCGAGCCGCGCGGCAGATAGTAGAGTTGCTGAGCCATGAGTGAGATACCGAGAGGGTTCTGCGTTCAGCCTATGTGAAAGATAGGAGAAGAACATCGCGAGAAAACGAGTGGGGAGGGACTGGGTCACACAATGTTCCCCTCACCCCAATTCATGCCTCGGACGGTGTCGAAGTGGGTTAGGGGGTTGGGTGACATACTTCCGGGGCGGTCTGATTAGTCTGATTAGTTGAATTACTTGGATTACAGTTGGAGTTAGTCTAGAAGCAGGTGGTAGTGGCGCCACATGGACGGGGGTAGACGGGATGAGATACTGATACTGTTCGTGTTGGGGGCTTGGAGTCCCGACAGTTTGGGACAATACGACGATCTGTGCAGAATAAGGCGATTGTCGTTGATTCGGTAGCCTTGCTGGGTCGCACTTATTGAGTTAGTCCAGAAGTGCCGAGGACAAAGTACTTTGTGCAGTTGATTTACCCCTTATGTTGTAGAGTGGATTCAAGTTATACATGGAAGACTAAATCAAGCATTTTTTGACTTTCTCTACCGTCTGTCTTAAGACGAAGAAAGGGGAAAGAGATATACACAAAAGACATCTAACAAGACTACTCCGAACCATTGAGCCAACCAAATCTTGTCGCGACTATCCTTAGGGTTGTACTTCCACGCGCTCTCATTGGTCGAAGACGCTGACGTCACAAGTGGGTACTCAGCTGTCACTTTCTTCAGCCGGTTATCCAGCTCTTGAGCTATACTTACTTCATACTCCTTAACCTCTTACCCCTTGACCATATCCAATATCCGAAACATAAATCTAGATCCCATTGTATCACCATGCAGACCCGCTCCCAAACCGCCGCCCAAACCGCCCAACCCCCCAAACAAGCCGCCTACGCGCAGTCCTCGAATCCCGTCTCACACACGCCACAAGAGCAACGAGCAGGGACCGAAACAAGCCGACAACACGGCGACACGATCGGGGTAATTAAACGTACAGCAGAGTCCCAGCCCTCAAGCGACGAAGCACGAGCCCGTCTGAGCGCACAGCACCAGCAACACGAACAGGAACTCCACAATGCGCCGGACGTCGATTTAGAATACGGCGTCGAGGAGCAGCCCGCGGAGGGGTATATCGCGGACGCAGTTCAGCGGAAGGGGATGGGGATGCAGCGCGCGCAGGCCGGTGCTCATGCTGGCCCTGTTGGGAGTGCGGGTGGGCCTGGCCATCCTGGTTTCGGGGAAGCAGATGATCTGGCGGCGAATTTGGGATCGAAGAGAGCTGAGCATGATCGCATTCTTGGTGAGAGGGTTGGGAGCAGTCCGGGTGAGCCTGGGGCGGATGCGGAGGTTGCGGAGAGGGAGGCTGTCAGGCGAGAGAAGTTGGAACGGGATGAGAAGTTGGATGTGGAGGAGGCGGTTAAAGAGGCTACTGGTGATCCGGTGGTAAGTGCGGAGTAAATAGGTATTGAAAGTACCTATCTCGATCTTAGAGTGGCGATGGAAGGAGCGTGATTTATCTGGTTGTTAATGTTTGGACATAACTTTCATTATTTCGAGCTAGCTAAGGCTGCTTGTATCAACATAGAGACCGCACTCGCATTCGGTCGGACAAACTGGGTATGATTATGAAATGGTAACGCCGAAAATCCCATTGGACATAGGATGTGAAACAGGAGCTCAGATATCGTCCCCGGCTGGCATGCCCATAGAGACCTTCTTCAGTTGTAGGTCCTTCTTTAGTTCCTGGATCCGTCGGCCCATCTTGTTGCGCAAAATATGATTTTGCACCTTCTCCCACTGTGCGGTCTCGGTTTTGATGAGAGCTTCCAGCTCGGCGACTTCCTCGCGCTGCTGCTGGAGCTGTTGTTGCTGCTCGATTTGGTCGTCATCCAGCTCATCTTCCTCGTCCTCGTCGGATATGTTGCTCTCATCTGCAGAGGTGTCGCCGCGTTCGGTCGGTCCTCCAGCTGGTGTGAACGACTGGGACGTAGTGTGTGCCTGCTCGGGTGCTCCCGGTGCCTCATCATCCCCGGCAGCCAATGCCGCTTCCATCTCGGCAGCAAGCGCATCCTCGAAGTCGTCCATCATCTCTTCTTCCGCTTCACCGTATGCATCCTGCTCATCGTCGTATTCATCCCCGTAGCCTCCCGATTGTACCAAGCCCTCGACGCGATTCAGGGATGTGCTGTCCACCAACTCGAACTTGGGAGGGAAAATCGAATTGTCGTCCTGGGCCATGAGTTCTTCCACGGCCTTTTCAACTTGTTCGATCGTGCGGGTGCTGACGCGGTCGCGGAAACGCCGCTTGCGAACCCAACGGAGGGGTGGTGCGATACCGTGTGCGTATTGAAGTGTCTTTTCATCGGGAGAGTCAACGCCCGGGGGGAGTGGGTATTCCATAGCTTCTTGGTCACTGTTGACGCGTCCCAGAACTAAGAGCATTTGACAGATATCTGCTGACTTGTACCAGCCTCGTCGGTCCCAGCTCTTCATGCCCTCGATGATGCAGGGTAGATCCACGAGAGCTGCCGCATATTGGTGGCCCCGAACATTCACGATAGAGCGCCGGCCCTCCCGTGTGAGGGGTTTGATCCCGACGTCGCCATTCTTGAATGTCCTGTCGTTGATTACTTTCCTTATAATATCGCAGTCCTCTCCGGGGAGCATCCGTAAGATGAATTGTTCTTCGATGGACGGATCAAGTTCGGTGTCCGAGGCTTCGGAGTCATACCCAACACCTACTGGTCGGTTGGGAACGATTCCTTTATTTTTGATGCGGATTGACTGCAAAGCAGGCTTCTTGGATGGGATCAGCTTTATCCGCTTGGGGATTTGCTGGCTCGTCTCCGGTTCGGGTTCGTGCTCAAGCTCAGGAAGTGCGGCAGTTTCGGCTGGTCGCTTCTTTGTTGACTTCTTCTTCTTTGGTTTTTCTTCACTCTCAGGTTGTGGTTTTCGTGCGATCTTGAGTGTGATCTTGCGGGGGGCTTGGGGAGTTTCGGCTGGGGGAGCAGGCGCAGGTGCAGGCGCAGGTGCAGGCACGGGCGCAGGTATAGGCGCTGGTTCTTCTGGCGGATCTGGCCTCCTGGAGAATTTGATTTTTAAAGGCGGCATAGTCGCAATATGATGATACCTGGTAGCAAGGGTAAGGTGAGTAAGGTGAGTGGAGGAAGTGAGGAGGTGAGGTTCCACCGGGGCGGTTACCGCACATTTACATAATAGGCACCATGTCCATCCTAGTTAACTAACTAACTATTGTGTCATTTTGGCGTCTGAAGGACTATAACTTCTCTTACAATCCATTGAAATTTCTCTCACATTTCACATCCATCATGTTTGAACACGGCCTTCCTTCTACGACCCCAAAATATGAGTTTAAGGGAATTGAGGATGCTCTTCAAATTCTAGACCAGGAACTGGAGCGACATAGACAGGATACAGAGTTATCTAACCCTTATACTATTTTTATTATGGATGAGCGTTCCTTCCTTGATAATATGAATGTTGAAGAAAATCTGTTCGCACAATCATGCGAGAGCTACGACCCTTCCATTGGCCATGCTCTTATCAGACTCGAGACTGGAGCACATTCAGTGGCAATCGGTTCTTTCTTCGGCATGGTCGAATGTTGGAATTAAATAGTGGAGAAAGATTATATGCTCCTTCCTATGGGTTCAACATCAGTCCGAGGCAATTCAGGGCGGATCAAGAGGGCCGATTGTTCCTGGAGGCCGACTCATTTTTGGCACCAAATGGCCTAGCATGGCAGTTGAGGTAGCATGCGAGGAGATACCAACAAAGCTCGAGGACGACATGATGTTTTGGCTCAACCAAAGCAACGGAGAAGTGAACGTTGTACTCAGTATCGAAGTACTGCAGGGAAAAATCACGATTGCGCAATGGAAAAGCAACGAGCATGGGATTCCCTTCCTGGTGCAGAATATGGAGATCACCAAGGATCCGGCGCCAGGCTGTGACCATATTCAAGGTAGCATCTGTATTCCCTTCGAAGACATACATTGCCAGCCCAGACCGCAGAATAAGAGTGATTTTGTCATGACTCGTGTCGGCATGGAAAGCCTGGCACATCAGATATGGGCTTTCACAATTCTCTTGACACTTAACCCTGTCACAGCGCCTCTCCGTCTCTTCGACACTTCTATGGGCGATTAAGTATGCTACTGGCATCGATAGCTCTCTTGGATACCACCTCACCGCCCCAAATCACCGCCTTCCCGAGGCCTGTATCCTAATTTTATACCTATACGGAGTAGTTAGTTGTACTTCATAATGGTGTAACTATTTGATCTTGAAGCTTATAAAGAACTCATCCCTCTTTTCATTCCGATATATCTTTTGATTCTATGGGACACCTTATGTCGTACGCGTTGTACATCACTTTACAATCTTCATCTAGCGACACAACCTGCTAAAATACTTTAGGTATGTCTAGTGTTGGCTGTAATTAGTATGCGATGTATGGCATTACAACTCCGTATTATGTATTGTCTTTTTGATGTCTTTTTTGGTATATCTTATACTACTTTCTGAAAGATTTTGATACTACCATTATGTGGGTTAAGAAAAGAAGAAGAGAAAAAAACTGGTTCTACACAGCATACAGTTGCATAGTATCAAATACAATTGGAGAGTATATACATGGTAGACAAGTTGATGTACTACACTTTTGACGTAGCTACTGTACTTGTTAAATACTGCCGGCAATATTAACCAATGAGAGGGTTATGCCCCGATGGCGCACTCAGTCGCCTGTACGCTTCAACACTCCTCTTTTTTCTTTTTCTACATTTCATTTCACGTCCCTCTACTCTCTCTGTCTTCTTCGCCGATATATTCTGCAAAATGTCGGGCCCGAACCTTCATAACGCTCTCCTCCGCCCTCCAATCATCCAAATCCTCCGTGCTCAAGGCTTCCACTCAACACGCCCCTCAGTCTTGGAGTCTATCCAGGACCTGACTGGGCGATATCTGATTATTCTCGCGTCAGCTGCTGCCGAGCATGCCGCAAATGCGCACCCATACGACCCAGTTCCCGACCTCGAAGACATCTACCAAGCTCTGCAGGACGCAGGCGCCATACGACCACAACTACGCGAATGGGAAGAGGAATGGCAGGGAAAAGAAGATATGCGCGGTCTTGATGCCTTCCTCGGCTGGATCACCGGCCCCGCCCACCGTGAAATCCGACGTGTTGCCGGCTTTGTGCCCAGCGAGGGTGACATGGTGGACCCTGACGCCGTCGAGAAGGAGGATTACCTGACTGCATTGAAGAAGAAACACAGTAAGACTGGCGAGGAGTCGCGCTATGCTGGAACTGTGCTAGGAAAGAGTGCTGAGGAACACCCTGTCGTCATTGAGGGTGGTGTCCCCAGCATCCAAGACTGGGGTTTGCAGGTTCGTGCCCGGGCTTCAGAGGTGACGGACAGCGACAGTTCAGGTGTGAGCAGCGCACCGAGTATTCTTTCTGACGACGAAGCGATGGCGGCGTGAATGGCGCCAAACGCGTCATGAATTGCTTGACTTTTGAAAGAGTAGCAAAGTTGAACCTCTACGTCACGAATGTGCCCAGACCTGAGCCGACATGTCACTTCCGGTCAGATTCTCTTTCATGTCTGCACTTCCCTATTTCAACCACCAAAGTACTGCACAAGTGTCCCCAGACCAACCCGACCTGTCACCCTCCCGGTCAGTTCTTGAGTCCGGATTACATCTGCTCCCCAGCTCCCCATTCGAAGAACACACGGCCCCACCATCTGCTAGGACAATCAAAGCCTGTCCTCATGACTCGAGATGATCGTCGCCCCACTTCATTCTCCTAAGCAGACAAATCTCTTTTGACCAGTCACCATACTATCCCAATACATCCCATGGTATCTGATGAGATAGGTGTGAGTGGGCGAGTGCAAGTGGATCGGATCTGTTCTGGGGTACCAATGACCAGATTTCGTTTAGGCGGATTGACATCCGTTACTGACTCAACTATCTGGCTTGTTTTCCCTTCGGTTTGCATCCAAGCATTCCGGAAATCTATCCTGTGCCAATTTATTTGTCTGGTATCCGAGCGATTCATCGGTATCTACTACGAACTAAGTTCCTCGAGTTTATAGCGAACAAACCTAAGATAAAGCAAACACATAATATGCTATGCTGTGACCGACGACGAACTCCGGCTTTGAACTCTCTAAATAAACGGGATATATAACAATGTGCTACATTAAATTAATAAACATGACCGAAACATAGTATACAATCCAACTGACCCCCTTAAGGTACCGGCTGGTAGCTGCCCTTGCTACGCAACTCACTTTGCCTCCATCTCAACTTTGACTGCTCCAACGTCGTGAGCTCGGCGGTGTGTTCGTCATCGTTCAAAGCGCGTTGTAGACGGCCGCTCCGACGCTGCTTCATACACCAGAATCCGAATCCGGCAATCATAAGCGCACCAGCCACAGCTGCACCGACGTACACACCGATATGCGCTCCATTGCCAAGATCAGCCCATTTCTGGGCGAGGGTCTTCTCTGGTTTCTTGTTGATTACTGTCACGGCAGTTGAGTTTCCACTGCGAGTTGAAGTTAGTCCGAAATTCTTTGAATAACCGATTCAGAACAAAACTCACCTGACAACCTCGATACTGCCATAGGTGCCCGTGGTTCCGTTGTATTTGTACTCCTTTCCAGTGGAGAAGTCTTGAACGCGGATCTTCGATACCGTCATCGTGAACGGAACATCGTCCCAGTCAACCAAACCACCACCCCATTCCAGATTGCCTTGCGACTGTCCCTTGACTCCAACTGGCCAGTTGCTAACCTTGACCTGACACGGTGTTTGCGGGTAGTTTTTACCGTAGACAGTCAACGGCTCGGAATAGTTCACTGTCCGCACCAAGTCACCGTCAATCCACCATTCCATGCGGTCTCGATCCCAGTACGAGGTATAGTTGTGGAACTCGGTATCGGCATTTGCAACCGCATGATATCCGCCCCTATCACTCGTGGTGGTATTCCCCTTGCCGAAGAAATCGGACTGCACTCCACTCGTGTTATATCCAACCCACTCCCAGTCGATCTCGTCGAGATCGTCCGATTGCAGGATCACACTGCTGACAATACCGGCCCCCTTGGCCATCTTGACGTGCGCTTCCATCACGCCGAAGAAAATATAAAAGTTGGACACGAGGAGCGTCGACGCGTTCTCGGTTTTGATGATAAAGTCGGCTCCTTCGGATGTATAGTCCAGAGTGCCGGTGCGCATGTCCCAGAGATCGCTGTCGAGAGTTGAGTTGAACAGCCACGTGTGCTCTGTTCCGAGGGCCGGATCCGCATCACATGTCTTGTTGAGGGGGTTGCAGGTTGTCCCCGTGTATTCGGTGGTGGCATTGGTGACCCCGACAATCGTCGTCAGGGACAAAAGGAGGAACGAGAACCAGGATCTCATGATGTCGGAGGTCTTCGTTAACGCAGTATGCTCGGTCCGGTCCTAGCACGCGCACAATGTCGCTTTATATCGCAATGTAAAGGAAGTATCACGATCGCGGGAGGGGATGGATGTGTGAGAATTAGCCTCTAAAAAGAACATCCACAAAAGGAGATCAGAGAGCCAGTGGATATAAGTTTAATGAAAAACTCGCCATGACTGCTCGAAAAATCAAGATTAAGGAGGTCAATAAGCGAGAGCGTAGGCTAAAGGAATCACCACTTCGCGCTGTAATTAGAACCTTGCCCATACTTAGTCCAGCCTAGCGCCGAAAGTGCCAGGCAAATCGTTCCAGTTGAGACCGAAGCTATGGAGACTCAAGGAGAGACTAAGGCTATCTCCGAGTCCGAGGCAAAGGTTTTGCGAAGCTTGACTCGACGCTATATACTAGCTAGCTCCTTAGCGCAAATTGCACTGCCGCATCGGGTTAGGCGACTGTTGCATACCCACAGGCAGCGTAATTACCCGGCTCTTCTCTCGATGCCGATTGGCTACGCTACTTTAGTTAGCCCGCCAGCATCCGCTCCGAGAACCAGATCAGGAACAATATCCGACCATTGGCTATTGCCTGATAACGAGGAAGGCGAGGAAATTAAAAAGTGGACACAAGAGGGAAACGGAAGGCGAAAGGAAGAAAAGAAAAACAATGGAAAAAGCCCGGTGGATTGGTATTGTCAAGGTGACGAAGCCCTTTGGCAGAGTATTTAAAAACCAGCTCGCCTCTTCGGCTTCCTCTTTAGTTATTTTCTCTTTTGCTAAGAAAGCTTAGATTCGGAAATGAAGGTGATCGGAGCTATTAATATTATTCTATTCTAACATTATTGCAATATAGGACCGTCCTAGTACGAATGGGGAATCAACTTAGATCGAGATCAACTACTTTGACAAGCACTTCATTTCCCTGGTCCATCTGCAGTTAGTCTATGGAGCTTTTTTTTGCTTGAACATTACTGCAGGAAATGGCAGGCAAATGATCTCCTTGCCAAAGTAGTTGGACTCGCTCTATGTTGAGGCCCCGCTAGCCCTATCTTTCCGCACAGTGTATGGATAGACACAATCCCGCCACTTAACACTTTTATAGGAGTTCAATCATACTGTCTTTTATTTACTATATTTTCTTCTAATGGCTATATCTAACTTCTTATTTGACCGAAAATGGTGAGGGAAGACCTGATCCTTACGCATGAGCGCAGTGTTCGCACCAACTCTTACTACTTTGGGACATCTTCACAGATATAAACAGCTGACTCTTATATTTTCTAGCTCTTGTTTTATTCTTCCTCGCTCTCGCTTCGAAAGCCCCAGGTTGCAATGCCTTCGACAAAACCTACGTCTAACAGGGGTAACACCAAAGGTCATATCAACCACGACTTGACGCACTTCGGTTTTGAATGATTGGACAGACATTGGTCACTGGGCCTGATAGTGCTGAGTTCACGATCCACAAGCAAGATAGTGCCCGAAAATTTCAATCGACGACTACAATACATAAGCACTGAGCGATTGACCGTTGTCCGGACAGTCGACTATGCGAAAGGTCACACTCTCTTCCAACAGAGGCCGATACCGTTCGACCTTAGATCTGAACAGGAGACAATCCGAGAAAATTCAACGGCATGACCGACTGAGCCGGTGGAGAGACTGATACTCAAAGGCAGTTCAGGATATATGCCAAGTCGGTTGAAATTGTCAACTACGCCCCGGCAGAGGGCTATATCTATTCCGACAGATTAGGCTTTTCGGATACCGGTGTCTCCTGGGAATTCAAGTTTGGCCAAGTCAGAAACTTCAACCCTCACCGACATTGCCATATACACTTCGTCTCCTACCCCTTTATTCTCTTCGACCCCACGATTCAGATTTTCGGGCGCTACCACCTATTAAAAAATGCCGATTGAGATGAATTTGTCAGAACTGCTTAATAACTAAGCAGTGAATCAGGGTCTGCCAATATGCCATCGAGAAATCAATACTCCGGAAAATCCATGTCAAAGATACCAGTCAGTAGATTGTGCGGCAAGAAGTGCCTCCTCCAGGACACAAGCTGCCGTATATTCCATCTCATCTTCTCGCACCCAGTCGAAGGCCCGGCTACTTATCTGGTAACTGGTCCAGTCACTCGTGAGGACTAGGATTGCCTCGGGTAAATAAAGTCTAAGCGTCATAGAAAAACGTTGGAATTGGGCGTACCCAAGAAGATGGCTGCGAGGCTTGCGTTCATCGCAGGTGGCTTGGAATGCCAGCTCCCGACACAGGCTTTCGAGTTTCTCAATCACTTCATGGCGTCGCCATGCCTTGTATGTCAGAGTTTCAATCTGTGTTTCCACGGTTTGGACTATGTTGGTGTAGTCCACTTCAAGGCCCGGGCCAAACACGGGTTTCGGGGACATTGTTGTGGATGTATGTCAGTCGTTAGATCTGAGTTACAAGAGAGATTGTCCAGTCAAATATATAATTAGATGAAAAGATCTAAAATTATGTGGGACCAAGAGACTTATCATTGCCTAATGTACACTTCAAAGATGCTACCTCGCTATGAGAGACACTCAAAGCGATTGAAGCTCATTGTTTAGATTTTTCTTTATTATTTCCACGTGCTCGAGATCTCGACCCCTCAATGAATCAATTTGCCTTGTTGTTTCTTTTGTCTGTGACAAGATATCCGAAACTGAGATCTGACTTCCGAGTGAAAGAGAGGTAAGACAGCAGGGAAGTCTAATAAAGGCTTACACAACACTACCAAGTGATAGTATGAGAGTTAAACTCATTTTTGCTTCGATTTATAAAGCCGTCGCCTTTGAACCCAGGAGTATGGCATTATATCACATTTTGCCTGCAGTATAGTCTTAATATAAAAATTTTTGGCCTACCAATTGAAGGTTATAAAGAAGAATCACGTGTACAGTCTATGCTTTTCGCAGGATATATATATCTGAGAAGACATCCGAAAAGACAATCAAAATGACCAGGAAGGTTTTCTTCAATTCAGTTTCTCATGGCAACCTAAAGTACAGATATATACCCCATGACCTGACTTCAAACATGTTTCCATTCCACACCTCATACCTCACACTTTTTGTATTCATATTATATTACAGGGCAGGTTGCCCGCTACATGCAGGAACTGAATGTTCGACATGCCTTTCTATCCACATATGAGGAAACAATATTCCTCAGAAAGGTTGGACTCTCCAACTCTCTCTTACGGTCTTGTTCAACGATGTGTATGACCCCCAAGGAAGGACTATCACTACACGGCAAGGGCTTTTCCACTTAGCCCTCCTCGGAGAATTTTCCCCCGTGTTTACTGCAAGAAGAAGTACTGGACCAACTCCGCGCAACCGGCAGTGGAGTTGCGTTTAACCTCAGGCCTCAATATTAGTGCCCCAGGCATTATACCTCTCCAGAGGTATATCTCCCAAGGTTTGCTTCTCTCGCTCCTGCAAATTAACCCCACTTTTCCTATCTCTTTCCTCGAAATGGATCATCCTCGGTGAGCCGCTACTCACAAGCGAGAAGGTCACTATATCACCACCTCCATGCGAAAGACGAAGGCCTGTTCTACTCCTTCGGCCCGAAATTAAATCCTGCTGCACTTGCATAAGATTTCAAAGAATCCTACGAGGGCCAAATTTCACCGCCGAAATTGCCAAAACGGCAGACAAGATGGAAAAAGCCGGCAACGAATCCAATGTCAATCTCCCGGATAGGTCAAAAAGGTTGGAATCCCAATGAACCCGATCTTGATCCCAAGTACGTCTTTCGTGAGCGAATCGGGGACAATATCATGAGCCAGGTGTTTCAATTCAAGCGAATGCGGCTCCTGAAACAATACACCCAAAATTGCCTGGAATGTCTCCGGAATAGCACGAGACGGCATAGACCGTACGGCTCTCTACAATCTATAATTGGTCCACCAATCCCGTTCTACAGGCTCTGTATTAAGTTCGTTGCCAGCCTACCGTCTTCCGACGCGGGTCTCAATTAGATCGCCTGCATCGCCTGCATCGCCTGCGATTTCACCAAAAGGACCGGTGCGATCCCGGGCATAGCTACATGGTCGAGTAAGGAATGGGCTCTTGCAGTTCTTGCCACTTGCAAAATGCAGACAGGTCATATAATTTTCACTGTGAATTCGATCTCCAGCTCTCAGTCCGAGGCCCTTCGGTGGGCATTTGCCAGCGTTGTCACAAGAAGGATAAAGCAGCGATGATCAAGAAACCCGCTGATCGCGTTTACTTATTCGGTGCCTAGAATAATATGGACCCTGGGGATGTCCCTACGTTTCTACCAGAGCTAACCCAGGTCGAGGAAATGCTGATGTCTCGCGTACACACCATCATTGAAGTCAGACAGGTACACGGCCAGCAATACTTTTATCGCGGCCACGTGGCTCATTTCCTAACTGATGCACCTAAAATCCACAAAGACAAAGGCACCGACATACCGCGGTTTCCAGTTCGGCGAAGTCGTAGGCCCAGCCGGCCTATGTACGGCGACCAATAACAATTCCTTACAGCTGGACTACAACAATCATAAGATTGTACGAGTTGACAGTACGGTGCAGCCCAACGGATCCAACAATCTCTTACACAGAGAACGGTGTTCACTTAAGCCCCTTAGCCAATTTTTCGGAATTCTACCCGAGGAGCGGAGACAGATCAAAGCAAATCATGGATCGTCCCGACGACATCACGGAAGACACCTGGGAGGCAAGCAAGGCGGCGCGACTCATCGGGGCCGACCAAACTCCTATTCTTTACCAAAATATGGAGATCGTCCGAAATCCTGTCCCAAAATGTGAAGATCACAGGCAGCCTTCAAGTTCTATTCGAATTCGAATGTCTGCAAGTCAGGTCGAAACAGCCAAATGCGACTAACTTCATTGTGAACACCGGTGGCATGGAACGTTCGGCAATGATACTCGCTGTATGCATCCTTCTAATAGATATATGCATAGGCATCATGCTAGACAAGTGAGACCGGAGGACCCACGGAGGGTGATGACGGAGGAGTACCGCAAGGCCAAAAAAAAAGTACGCCAAAAGGAGAAGTACCGCCTTCTGCTCGCGAAGATGGAGAAGAGGGTGGAGAAAAAGAAGAAGACTTCGCATTGGGGGCTCTGGGGCAAGGAGGGTGAGTAAACGAGAAGTGCCTGTGGGAATTCTTACCCATATTTACCAAGAGTGTCTCTCTAGGCAAAGATGCCTCTGCCAAAAGGGCCCCTAACCGCCCACTCTCCCCAGGCCTTTCGCCCTCCCCACCCCATCTGGGGATCTTCTGCGAGGGCATGGCGGAGGCTAGTTCAGGGGAGATTCAACGGACACGTGGAGTTCGTTGCCCCGAGGTCACGATACGTATATTCTGGAGCTCCATGGAAATATCAAGTGGGATGCACCTGGACGAGTTCATGATAAACTTCTCCCTAGAGCGCCGCTAGATATATGCCGGTCTTGTGAAAGCTGCAACTATGAAAACATATAGCCAGAAGACTGAAGCAGTGGTACAAACCAGCTCTGGAAAATTTGGTCTTCCAGAAGTTACACACTTTGTACCTTACTCTGGTCTTTCGCGCTAAAGCACCGAAGAGAGTATCTGTGCCCCGGATTTGAGCATGCCAAATCTCCGGACACTTTAACTCGAACGTTGGCATGGGCCTATCTATCTATTTCCTTACCATTGGGGATATCTTACTGATCGGATTTTGGTTTGTTTCAATAGCTATCCTATGTTACACAATATAACTGACCGCTACTTGTGCACATCTAGAAGCTTTTTCCAAGGTTGTTGAATCTTCGAGTTGAGACAGACGTCGTATACCTAGACGACGCCATTGCCGCATTCAAGGCTATCGTCAAGGGTAAGGACATGGTCACCTGAGGGAAGAAGCAGTTCTCTTCCAACCACCTACCCCGAAGCGGCCGGGATGGTGGATCCGCTTATCATTTCCTCGCGCAGGCCGTCAGCCCTGCTGAAAAGAAACTCACGTAGGGATGAGAAGGATGTTCAGAAGAGGCGCTAATGATCTAAGGTTGACCCTGAACATGCCGACTCCAAGAGAAATGTGTCAATGACAATGTGGGAAACGGCGTATCAGGAGCTTGACAAGTTCGTATTTGGGTTGGCATGGATGTTCTATTGCGAGCTCGGACAAATAAAATATAGCCCCCCGGTAGGAACAATTTCCTATCGAGAGAAGCGTGAATTCCGGTTCATTACGTGTAGGCTGGATATCTTCTGAGCTGTAAATATCACGAGCGATGTGTTTTCCTTTGAATGGCTTCGGGAATCACGTGATGACATCATTGCGGCATGTGATGGTGCCGAGGTCTGATTAGTATTCAAATAATCGATCTATTTGAACAAGCTATGTTTCCTCAACAACTTCCATACACCAAATATTCCCATCATGACGACTCTTTTCACCGTCCCGATCAGCTCTACTGGAGGCTCGATCGTCTGCACAAACCCTAGCACAGCGAAAGAGCATGAGACCATCTACGTGCTCACCTTTAGTTCACCCCCGGACAACCGACTGACACCCATTTTTATTGATGCTCTGCTGCTCGCTCTCGACATTGTCGAGCACCGCTACCCGAAAGGTGTCTTAGTCACGACTAGTGGAATTGCCAAGTTCTACAGCAATGGGCTTGATCTCGACATTGTCAAGAAAACCAAAGGGTTCTGCGAGAACTGGATCTGGCGATTGTTCCGACGCTTCCTGACGTATGTTTTTTTCTTAAATGATCAGTCCGAGGCTCAAGTCGAGTTATGTATATTTAAGATACTAATATCCTCCCTAGATACCCCATGCCAACCGTGTGTCTACTAAATGGACACGCTTTTGCTGCCGGCTTCATGTTGGCCATGTATCATGACTACCGAGTCATGAACCCAGACCGTGGTTTCCTCTGTATCAATGAGCTGGAATTTGGCGTCCCGCTCCAGACACCCATGATGTCTATATTCCGCGAGAAGCTGACGCCAGTCGTTTTCCGGACTGTGGTTCTCGAAGCTCACCGCTTTGGTGGACGAAATGCGCTTGAGGTTGGTATCGTTGATGCCGTTGGTGGAGCTGAGGAAGCGCTTGCGCTGATCCAGACCCGCAAGCTCCAGACTAAAGCTGCCACCGGTATCTACGGTACCATGAAAGAGGAGATGTATTGTGGCATCTTAAACGGCTTGGATGATCATGCTGGAAACTTGCAGTGGCGGAAGAATGTCGAAGAGAAGAATCAAGCTGTTCGGCAAAGAGGGCTAGAGGCTGTACAGCAGTTTGAGAAGAATGGGAAAGCGAAGCTTTGAGTGGGTGCAACCTCGAAGCTCTTGGATCCCTTTGTTCATATTATACCAGAATGTGTACATATACTCAATTCTTGGTTCAAGCATTTAGAACAATCCCTCATCCTATTGTGTCAGTGCCATATTTCCGAAGAGGCTGGAAATAAAGCTCTTAGCCCAAGCAAGGAATAGATTGGCTAGATGTTTTCACAGCATTTGGACCAAACCTGCCAGGCTAGTTATAGCAACAAAATGTACCATGACCAACACACCGAGAAGAACAATGTGCATGTTTCTGAATTAAAGAAGGATTCCTCCCGTACTGATCTATCAACCAGCAGGTAATCTAGCGTTCTATTTGCTTTCCGGCTCATGGTTGTACATGGCTAATATGAAACCACTACAAAAGCATTTATTCAAGCTCATCTTGCAGCTTTCATGTTATCATATTATAATGACGATACCCTGAGATCTCGACCTGAATCTTGAATCCTGTATTTCTAAGATTTCGTGATGTTCTTCCTGTTAGTATAGCGACTAGTAGATATGGCTATCGCTCCTTCTATTCGAGAGTGATAAATTGACATTTCGATTGACACAGACAGCATCAACCGCTCCATGTTCTCTGACTTGCTCATCACAACTGCATGCCTCACGGTCGACTTCTCAAGACTTTCAGATCGTACCATCCATTGCTTGACACTTTCATCTCTTTCAATCTTTCAAAATACCGGCCTCTTCTTCTAAGAAGTCAAGCAAAATGCTCTCGGCCTTGCCAGAACAAGGATCTTGTCTCTGTTCCTTCATCCCCAAGACCAAAATAACCACCCCCTGGTGAGTATTTTCTTCTTTAATCTCATCTTCACCTTGACCCATCCATGCTAACATCATCAAGTCATTCCACCACCTATCGAGATGGAGAATCATCCCCATGTCCCTGAGGCCCAAAGACGGTCCATGAATCAATATCACTATCAGCATTGTGGGAACGCCGATGCCATCATCCTGGCCAACACCAGCTTCAACATTCCCCTCGGCGGAAGCATCTTGACATCCAGGCCTGTCACGCCCTCTGGTGGCCCCAGTGTAAGATACTTATTCCAGACCACTACTCCCCGATCCTTTACTGACCCAAGTAATCTAGATCCATCTCGCACAGCCGCCTGTGAATGCGGCTTGTGAGAACCATATTCTCTCAGCCTGCAAGCCTGATGATCCCAGTGCCGATCAACGCATTAGGGAGAACACCCGGCTTCTTGTAGACTCTGGGATCGTCGAAAAGCTAGGCACCAACCAAGCTCTGGATGCATCGCGCTTCGAGGTTGACGACACCTCTTACATGTCCCAGGACGATGCCGAGACCAACAGGAAGCGTACCCAGGAGGCTCATGCACGTTACTGGGAGGCAATGGGAGGAATCGATCGGGTGATTGGAAAGCGTCCACACAAGAAGTGAACGCACGAGCACGACAAATGTGTCCTCGGGGGGTTTTTTCTTCACCTGAGGAGGCCCTCCTAGCTCAAGACTAGGCCAAAGTCTTGTGCATAGCTTTTCTTGTCAGAAGACCATCATTGAATTTAGTGTTTTCCATACTATGATATTTTTATTCGAAGCTATGTCTGATAACTTCGTAAAGAGTTCCTTGCAGACATTGCTGTAGTATCGAACCGATGCAAGTAAGGGCTCTTTATTCACGAGACGCTGTACTGAACTTATCAGTGGTCTCCATGTTCTCATATTTTCTCACGACTGCCAGCGCATCTTAAACTTAAATTTTTATAGTTGCCAGCCGTGTTGTTGCAGATAAAAGACCTCCCTGTGCTTGGCACCGCACCATAGTCCAACTCTCGATGCTTTGCACTGAGGGCTACTCTGTCAGCGGAAATTCCTATACTACATATACAAAGAGTCCTTAGGCATCAGCAATGGCCTCGGGTATGAAGGAAGACTATCCTTTCAATTGGGTTTATCAGCTGATCCGGTGATGGAGTATAGCGGAGTCCCGATTAGGCTTGGTGTGTACTATGAGGCTTAGGGCCAAGATATATCGTAGGCACTTAAAAGCCGAAGTCCAATTTCCGAGCTTACAGTGAGATTTACGATAATGTCCCATAATTCCTATTCCCGCAAATGAATATTATCTATCCATCTCCGCTCTTCAACAACACTTGTCCACACATCTCAAAATGCCCTCAAATAACTACAAGGCTATCCGAGCAAAACAAACCGCAAATACAATCACAGTGTACCAAGCATATTCCCCCGAGATAGCCGAGCCAGCACTCAAAGCCCAAACATTCGTCCCACCATTTTCACGGGAGAGAATGACATGGATCAAGCCCTCTTTCCTATGGATGGCATACCGATCAGGCTGGGCAACCAAAGCCCGACAGGAACGTGTCCTAGCGATAGAGATTACCCACGAAGGTTTCGAATGGGCATTGCGCCATTCCTGTTTGAGTCACTACACGCCTAGTGAGACAAGCCAGGAGGAATGGCAGAAGAATCTGCGTGCCAGCCCGGTGCGCGTTCAGTGGGATCCCGAGCGGGATCTCTTTCTGCGGTCTTTAGATTATCGGAGTATTCAGGTTGGGTTGAGTGGGGAGGCTGTCGGGCGATATATTGATGAGTGGATTGTGTCGATTACGGACGTGACTGCTACTATGAGGCTGATCGACGGTTATCTTAAGGATGGGAAGGTTGATGAGGCCAAGGGTTGTTTGCCTGAAGAAACTCTGTTTGCTTTGCCTGAACATTTGCAGAAGAGTCTTACCATGGGATAAGCTATGGTTGTTCTTCGGAAGGTCATCTTCTTAATCCGAAATAAGGATTTGTATATAATTGCAGCATCTGCTTTTGATTATATGATATATTGTACAACAAATTTAGAACCTTGACACTTTCAAGGCATAGATAAATCATGTATGTTTCCTTTCTGTCTTTTTTATCAAGAAAGTGCACAAGACAAAACGCCAACTTACCAAGAAACCTAAATAGTCAAGAAAACACAAGTCCAGCTCTGTTCATAATCTTAAAGTACATAACTTCGTAAAAGTCCATAATCCCATATCCATTATCATCAGAACCGTTGGCGTGTTCAAGTCTTCTTCGTCTTGCTAGGACGGCCGAGTCTCGACGGTCCCTCCAAGTGATCTACAAACGGCCGATACGGCGATGCCAGGACATGCTCCGGCGCGCGTCCTCGTCGAGGCTCCCCAGAGCTCGGTCGGTGTAACTGCTCCTCGTGCATGCGATCAAGCGGCTCTCCAACAACCTGATACTTAGCCCAGTTGATTGGGGGCATGCGGACGATATTCTGCGGAACAGGGATATGGCCGAAATTCGAAGCTGGTGAGCCGTCCGGATTCGTGCGTTTTGAACCGTCTTCATTCTCTTCGTCGTCCGCATCGTCCTCCGAGAACTGAATCACAGCGCCGTGGTCCTGGGTCTTCAGCCGACCTGCTGCGAGCTCGTGCGCAAACCCCTCTGGATCAGCAGCGGCGGCCTCTTTCATGCGATCCAATGCCTGGATATCGCGCAAACTTTGCTGCTTCTGCATTTGCAGAATCGAGATGGCGGAACGGAGCGCGATGGCATCTGGATTCTCGCTCTCGGAGATAGGGATAGGGGGCGGTTGGGGCTTGAAGACGGGTAGATTGGGCGGAGGAGGGGGATTTGAATAGTTGCCATATTGTGGAGGGAGGTGTGATGTTGGAGAGGGAGATGCGGGTGGCGGGACGATCGATGGCTCGTTGGAGGCGACTGGCACGAGATGAGCAAACACGGGCGTTACCGGGGAGTAGGGCGGGCGAGGTGGAGTTCCCGGCTGATCTGGGATCGGGGCTTCAGCCCCTGGTTGCTGCATAATGAGATTCGACAGAGTTGAAGAATCAAGCAGGTTGGGGTTAAGTGGGGGGACAATCGAGGTCTTTGCGGTGATAAGGCGGGTTATGACGACACCGGTGCCTGGATTTGGCGCAATCACATGTGTTCTGTTACGGCTTCGATCGAAACGAAGACGGTGGTTATGAGGAACTTGCTCTTTCAGGTCATAAGGAGGAGAAAAGAAAGACTGATGTGCAGAACTATTTTATTAGAAAGACAAGGACATCGGCTATGCGCCACTCATCTACGAAGAGACCAGGCCTCCTAGAATACAGTCGCTTAACGCAATACTGATTGAGATTTTACTACAATTATATCAGATACGTACCATACATTGTATAAATGATAATAGACTCAACAATAGAAGTGAACTGCGATCTTCATGGAGATCCAACACAAACACAGTGACCGCCTCATCGCCCCCTCACCGCCCGGAAAAATCTATGAAACATCAGGCCACTTGCTGTTGAAGCTCCCATTCCTCTGCAAACCTCAAAAATGAAGCGCAAGACAGACGCAAGGGCCTCTCTCGATGGCAATTCCATGCCCAAGTCCAAGAAACGGGCCCTCTCCAGCGAGGAGGCTGCTGCCCGCTTCCGCGACGGCCTGTTCGACACTGCAGAGCAGCAGAAGTACACCAGTGAATACGCCAAATCTTCTCCGTATGTATATACAGCAGAATATTCCAATGGCAAAAGCTAACATGGCTCAATCTCTAGCTACCTTCATGGCGTCATTCACCCTCTGATCGAGCCCACTCTGCTTCGCTCCGTCCGCAATGAGATCGAAACGCAAGTGTCCTTCACCGAGAAGGAAACAGACATCTACAAGATCTTCCAGTCTGGCGATCTCGCCAACCTCGATGGACTGGATGACTCCTCCCTCTCGAAACTGCCGTCACTACTGAAGCTGCGCGATGCGATTTACTCAGCACGGTTCCGCGAGTACCTGTCGTCCGTGACTGGCTCCGGCAAGCTAAGCGGGCAAAAGACCGACATGGCCATCAACGTCTACACCGAGGGCTGCCACCTTCTCTGCCACGACGATGTCATCGGCAGCCGCCGAGTCAGCTACATCCTCTACCTGACCGACCCCGACACACCCTGGCAAGCCGAGTGGGGCGGTGCCCTGCGCTTGTTCCCGACAACGACCAAGAAGGACGCCAAAGGGGAGGACGTTAAAATTCCCAGCCCGGACTACAGCCTCTCCATTCCACCCGCCTTCAACCAACTGAGCTTCTTCACCGTCCAACCGGGCGAGAGCTTCCACGATGTCGAGGAAGTGTACTATCCACGTGACGACGAAGACAAGACCAAGAAGCGCGTGCGCATGGCTATCAGCGGCTGGTTCCACATCCCACAAGAAGGCGAAGACGGCTACGAGGAAGGACTGGAAGAGAAACTCGCCGAGCGCAGCAGTCTGGCGCAGCTGCAGGGCCGCGGCGATATCTACGACCTGCCGCAGCCACAGCCAGTATCCTGGGAAACCCCCGAAGTCGAAGGCAAGGGCAAGGGCAAAGTGGAAGAGCAGACCGAGGGCGAGTTCACAGAGAGCGACTTGGCCTTCCTACTTCAGTACATTGCGCCTTCGTACCTGACGCCCGATATTGCCGAGGAGATGTCAGACGCGTTCTCAGCCGAGTCCTCGCTCAGCCTAGAACGGTTCCTAGGCGATAAATTTGGATCGCGCGTGAGCGCGTACATCGAGGAGCAGGAGAGACAGCCTCTTCCTGATTCTGCAGATGAGATCCAGACACAGCGCGGGTGGACGGTTGCTCGGCCTCCACACAAGCACCGGTATTTGTACCAGCATGCTTCCGGAGAGAAGGGTACCGATAACCCGATCCAGGAGCTGTTGAACGTGCTGTTCCCGTCACAGCCTTTCCGGAAGTGGCTTGGGCTTGTTACTGGTGTGGACCATCTCACGAGCCACAATTTACTTGCTAGACGGTTCCGTCGCGGTAAGGACTATACTCTTGCCAGTGCGTATGAGGGCGAAGAGCCTCGACTGGAGTTCTCGCTCTGTCTTACCCCGACCACCGGATGGGAGAAGCAGGAAGAGGAAGACGATGATGAGGATGAGGACGAGGATGGAGAAGCCAATGGCTCGTCTGCTAAGACATCCAAGCCGAAGGAAAAAACAACCGACGACGCTGTGGAAGGTCCCGCACTAGGTGGGTACGAGATTTACATGGCTGGTGATGAGGATGAAGATGAAGAGGAGGAGGATGAGGAGAACGCCGACCAAGTCCTGGGTCGGAAGAAGACCAAGGCCGACCCGGCTATTTACCGGTCAGCAGGTGCAGATGAGGACGATGGCATTCTGTTCAGCACGCAAGCGGGATGGAACCGACTCAGCATCGTGCTGCGGGATAGCGGCACTCTCAAGTTCGTCAAGTATGTCAGTGCTGCGGCTAAGGGTGACCGGTGGGATATCACGGGTGAGATTGGCGTTGAGTTTGAGGAGAATGATGATGAAGAAGAAGATGATAATGAGGATGAGGATGAGGATGAGGATGAGGATGATGAAGAGTAAATCATGAGCATGGCTGCATCCATACATGTGAAAAAATTGTAGATATTATATATGGCGCATATACGACTTGAATTGACTTGATGATATTTCCGGATTATATTAGGATGGTTCTGGTTTGGATATGTTTCTCTTGGAGATATGTAAATCCCTTGACAACCGCAGAGGTTAGAGAGCCTACGGTCTTGCTGGTCCTTGTTCTCTTAAACAAACGAAGAGAGAACAAGTTGTATGTCATATCACATAACAGGGATTATATCAAGTTTACCTGCGAAGTAGCTGACCATGAACTCTGTATTCCTTCTGATTTACACTTCTCTTCAGCATCTCAGCCCTGGCAAAGGTTCAGCATCAACAATTATATAAAGCCATACATCTATCTCAATTTATTGCGCGTCGAATCATCATTAAAACTGCAGATTGAGGCTATGGCATAAAAAGGTCAGTTGCAACATATCCTCAAGGTTGGTTGTTAGCTTAAAAGTTCAAGAGGAATCACATTGTCCATTGTCCATTGTCCACCATGACACGAGTCGGTCTAGACCTATTTAACTCTTAGCCATCATTGACAAACGGACCCTAAAGGCTTTAATTTGAATAGAGCTTTCATTCACAGCTCAATCCAACGTGTAGATGTACGACAAAGCTAACCGTACGATTCGGCGTGTTCTTTCCTTACCTCTTCCTTTCCTCTGCTAAGTTGTAATGAGCCTTCGCGTCGCGGGATGGGTCCCGCAAACCCACTTTCTCCGTAGATTTATAGTGGAGGACAGCACGGGCGAGATGTAAGAAAACTTCGTGTGAAAATCATGGAGTACAAGTAGAAGACTAATGTAATAAGCAAAGCAAGAATGCTCATTGTGATGTTGGCGAATCACGCTGGATTCTCGTACTCCGTAGATATATTTCTCATACGGATCGCGGATGATTTCGAAAATACCGTCCAATGGGACAATTGAACATTTAAAACTGTTTACAGTCTTGCAGATATTGTCGGACCAATATTCTCGCTATACATATTCGCATTTTCAACTAATTCGTTGAATTCAACATTCAAAATACAACCAGACTAGAATATACCAATGCATCAAGACAATCTCCGCACCAGCGCCTAGCAAGTTCCAATCTTGACCTCAAATTCTAGAGTCCACTGACATCATCCACAGCGGCAATTGAAACCCATAACAAAGTAAACAAGACACGCGGGGCGATCCCGAGAGGCGCGAACTGAAACAAGCACAAGCACATGGGCGGGATCAATGGACCTCGGGCGGCGACACGATCTGAGACACAGCAAGGGAAGAATTGAGTGTTAATTAAGGGCTATCACGACCATTTCGAATGATACAGGGGTGTAAACTACCGAATCGATACAATCTTGGAAGTGGGGGGAATCGACCAAAAAAACATGTACCTAAATGTAAATCCAAGCAACCCACAAAATATGCACAAGTGGATGATCGACAGCATTATGTCGTAGTGCACATGTACGATGCATGTATGTACTCCGTACCTCAGAGGAAAAGCGAGAGCTACGCTACACATGGCGCCGAACATACATTTACATTTACATTTACATTTACATTTACATTTACATTTACATTTACATTTACACATCCACATCCAGTAAGGAGGGAAGCCGGGAAGCGGCGACGATTCCCCGTGGAATTCTCAACATGCAAGACAAGACATGTTTGGCAAATACTGGCTCCACCAGGACTATGTATTGAGTGCAACCCTTTTGCTACGGGGCGTTCTGACATTCGACACGCGACAGCGCCTGAACCGAGAACAGGATGAATCCAGTGGGGTTTGTGGCAGGCAAGGGGTGTGGTGTGCCACGATGATTTCAAGGAGAGGGAGATCGTGGAATGATCTGCCAATCATGCCTGGGTATCGGGTGAAGATATGGAGTACGGATGGTGGGATCATCAAGGAATTGTTGGATGGATACGGGGGGGACTTTCTGATCTAGCATAAAGCAGTGTAGTAGCAGCATATTGCAGATTAGTGACCTCATCTCAGCTTCGCCAGTGGTGATCATTTGAGGCCTGGTGGATTAAGCCAGATCGCGTCGATCTTAACTGTTGTATTTGTCCTCGATGATATGTCTGATGTTCAATTCCACTCGGGATGGGCCGATGTTGGGGAAAGTGAGGGGTCATGGATCCATCGACACCTGAGAGCCTGAGGGACCAACGTTGGGATTAGTTGGGGTTAGGTAGCAATGGCGTTGTATTTTAGTTCCTGTAATTTCTCCAATTGATCTGTTACTTAGGCTGCTGTGGCGCTCATCTAGTCATTGACCCAATTTTAAGCGCGAAACACTGAACATTGGACCAAACCAATGAACTGGTCGGATTAGGCGGTTTATGTAGAACAAGTGTCACGACACGAACAAGAAAGTGATTAAGACAAGCTCAATACAAGTCATGTTGTGTCTTCCCTTCATAAGCATCCAATATGTCAACATCAGAGAAAAGCCGCCAGTCCAACATAGACGCTCCACAGCTCCCCTTCGAAGTCGACGGCCTCTACATCCTATTATCTAACCGCGGCGACAAGAGCTACACATTCCACTGGAGCCTCTATCTACACCAGAGTCCAAAATTAGGCTCTGTCTACCATCTACTAAACGACATCGACACAAGCACCTGGCGCTTCGAACATCTGCCCAATGAGAGCGTCATCTACGACCAAGCACTCCTCGTAGCCCTCAAAATAGGAGTATTGAATCCTACCCTCCACATGCCCTTCCTCGACCGCCTGCGCCAAATCCCAATCGTGGATTCAGTGCGATTCCGCGAGAGAATCACCTGCCGGGTGTGGCTGAAGGAAGCCCTCTTTGCACTCGACGACGAGGGATATATTATGCTCACTCGGAGTGTGGATGACATCGAAGCCGAGGCGAGGAATCTCGCCCTTCAGAATAAGAGTCTAGGGAGGCGGACAATTGTGAAGAGTGGTGGAAGTCAGGCTTGAGATTCCAGTCATGTGAAGACTCGAGTGGATTCCGGTAGTATCATGCGTAGGGAAAGGAAAGAGGATATTTTATACGAGCAGAAGGACAGGCAAATCCAACCACCCTAGCCATTGTTATTTCAGTCACAAGTGGATCCAAACATTTCAAAGCCGAGCGCCAATATTGTCTCTGTTTCAGCAGAATAGCCAACAACACTCCTACCTAGTGTGCAGGTGGGTACGAAATCATTGTACGACGGAGGTGGTTGGGCGGCGGCACGCGGAAGTTACGGGTGGACAAGACGGGAGGTTTCTGGTCGTGGTGGATATGCTGGACGATAATTGAATAATTGCATCTGTGCTCACATTCTAATTTGGAAATCCCGGTATGATCTGCCAGCCTTGTCTGCATGTAACCTCTAAGCTTTGGCTGTGCGCTCCCCAGCTTCGGGGAACGGGAGCCGGTGTGAGGATCGTCGGCAGGAGTTTGAGTGGGGAGGCTGTCTACAACATACAACATAGGAAGAGGAAAGAGTACTTCAGACGTACATATGCAAATAGACAGGTATGTGCAATGTATGTACGATCTACGTTGTATATGTGTAGCTAGTGGGAGGTGGTAGTGCAGACGCATGCGCGGGATGGCATTACATACATGCTTGAGACTTTCGAATGACTGGGGCATTATTCATTACAGTCCATTATTGCACAAAGGGGTACTGCCATACGAGGGGATAAGCTGAAGTGGGAATTGGAGGCAAGAGGAAAGGCAAAGGAAAAGAAAGGGAAAAGAAAAAGTACCTACACCCCTGGACGGTACGACCCGTCCATACAGACTATTGGGAAAGGGCAGCAAGGCACGGCCCATGACCACGACCGAAAAGGCGTGGAGGCAGGAATGGGCAAGGGCCACGGTGTATTGCCATGGGCTCCGAGCAGATGGGATGGGAGAGCATGGGGGTTTGCCATGGGCGAGCCATGGGCAAGCCATGAGAGGAGGCATTCGCATGAGCCACGCACTATTGACATAGTGAACTCTATAGTGACCCCATCCCTTGATAGGGTGTACAACGTTGTAGAGATAGAGTCGTACTGAGAATTCCCGTTGCCGATGGGCCGTTTTGTGGACCTTTTTTGGACCTTTTTTTCCCGAAAGACCAGCTGTTTGGCAAGATTGAGCTTGGAGCCTTGGATAAGCTGTGTCCTATCGTCAAGTATGGAGAAGTGCTACGGTGTCAGAGGTTCGAGGAATGTGCCGTAGATCGGGTGGCGATCGAGACATTCTGCAAGGCGACGATGGTGCCATGTGGCATGCTGGAAGGGGAAGATGATAGACAGTGGTAGTTGACATGCATATGGTTATTGTATTGAATCTGTGCTGCCTAAATTACTTCTACATACATAGTTAGGTAGTGCAGAGCATGTGGGTAAGGACGACGTGTTATTGCAGCCACACTGTGGCGGTGTCCATTGGGCCGATGCACGGGATTGGAGTTTGGAGTTGATTCAATTGATTCAATCGTTTCAATAGTGTATTTTATAGGTTTACAGGTTACAAACGGTTGGGGCTGGTCTATTTCTGGACGAACACCCGATCAAACGGAGTATGAAATCGATACACCCAAAAGCCACCTGGCAGGTATTCACTAGGAAGTCGGGTAAATAGCCTCTTCCCAAAGGAATCGATCAGACTATATGATTAATATATCGCATATTGCTGACTCGACCTCCCTTCACCAATCGACGAGATCGAGATCCCGATCCATCATATTCGCCAAGACTCTAGGTCACACTGAACTGTCGGAACCGGGATATTACCCTCAACAGCCCCCGTGAAGTTGGTGAAAATAGCCGCGCGACATAATCCAGTCCGCTGTGCTACCCATCTAGGCCCCTCTGACAGGTCAACATGTGATGATTTGGGCGGCAGGGACGGGTGGGTGCATGAGTACGGTATGAAGCTCAAGCTCATGGAAGCGTGGGTGATCTGTGACACACTTTCTGTCTGTGTCCGAGGTGTTACAAACAGAAAGAGAGTGGATCTGTTTTAGCTGGGTATTCGATACATTGTAATTATGATTATAGAAATAGAAATAGAAATAAGAACATATAAGGATGAGGATATAGATCAGAACATGTGAACCCTCGGTGAATAAGAGGCCATGTGTGGGACTGAAGAAAAGATGTTATTCTTCACATGGAGGACAAGGATTAGCACAATGGATTCGTACTAGACAACTTTAGTACTTTGTTCCAATCGCCAAACAGAAGTAGAAAAAGTAGAAAAAGTAGAAAAAGTAGAAACGTAACTATTCGCCCCCGAGACTGCCGATCAACCCTGCATCCTCTGCCATGTGTCCAACGTCAACATGGTTTGTTTATACAGACTGACCTTACAGTACTAATCTCCCGGGTGTGTGCAGTGAGCCCCGGTCGCGAATGCAGCTTGACTGGGCAATAAGTAGGAGACTGCAAGGGACCACGTGAAGGTATTGTAATAGTATTCTATATTCTAGTCTGTATATTGTGTTTTGTGTTTTGTGTTTTGTTCTATTTTCTACTCTATTTTATGTTTTATATTCTATTGCTAAATGACGTTAAGACTCCGTGTAAACGTGTTTCTCCTTGCTTTTTCCAGGAATCTATTCAGGAATGTAACTATATTTGAGTATGTATAAGAGAGTAGTTAGGGTTAATAACAGTAATATAATCTAACTCAAGTGCTAATACAATAACAAGCCAAGTATAGCCTAGTCCTTACTCCCCAGGGTCAGCCTCGTGGCACACACAGTTGCAGTAGGGCCTTGGCGGTAATACCAGTACTCGCATTCTTTGCATTTCTTTTCTTTTATTTCTTTTATTTCGGTCTTTTTCCTTTCGATTTCATTTCCGTGCTATTTAATTTCATCTTGCGTAAAGGGGATGCCAAAAAGAAGGTTAAAAAAGAAAAAAAAGAGTTTCAGACCGTCGAGGCTTTCGGCTTTCGAGTCTCCAATTTTCTACTTCTTTAATCTTTCCCTCGACTCACCTCCCTCTACTTCACTCTCTCGACTCGGCCTCGACTGCATAATACTCTATATACTCTATATCCTAATACCTCACTCCTCCGTCCCACGGTAAGCTTGATCGGCGTTGCAGGGACCGCTCAGGTCTAACCTCCGATCTAGCCTTCCTTTTACCTCGCGCGAACCTGGAAACTTTGACAACGGTTTCACGGTGAATCGTTTCTCGAATTCAATCTCGTCTCTCTCGATTTGGAATATGCGATAGTGTGGAAGAAAAAGAGCGGGTTGATATTCGATTCTTCTTCACTCCCCCCCCCCGCCTGATCGTGCCTCTCCCGCCATGGATCCTGCTGTCGCACATCGCCCATGGGAGGCAGTCTCAGGGCCTCAGTCGACTGCAGGCTCCACGCAAACTCTCCCATCTATCTCAACCCTCACCGCAAATATGCCAGGGACCGGGGCCCCCGCCGAGAAATCCCCCGGGAATGGTTCGCTGAATACAATTGAGCGTGACTCCGGGAATTGGTCAATGCCGCAAAGCACAAGTAGGAAACCCTCGCCCAGTACGGAATGGGAGCGGCGCGGTGCTGACCATGTAGGATCGTCTACCTACTCTACAGCGACCAATGGCACCGGCAACAACTATCCCTCCCTCAGCTTTATCTCCGCGTCGCAACCCTCTCCGAATCGCGGACATCCGGCTGTCGACCGCTCCCCTTATCCCCACGATCAATCCACCACCCCTTCCTCCGCTGGCACTCAACAACCCTCTCCCAACTTCGGCCAGCCGAATTCCACCCTCCCTTCAATCAACCAGAACTACGAAGCTCCCTCCCAACGAGTGAGCGTGGCCGAGACCATTGAGTCTCGGCGCAGCAGTGTCGACAGTCGCATGAACCAAGGGATCAGTTCTCTGGCAATCAACCCGGCCTCGCCCTACCACAGCACCAATGCCTCCCAATCATCCATCGTTTCAAGTCTACAAAGGGAGCGAGGGATTCCGACCGACATGAATTCATACCGGGGACCTCGGTACTCAGGAGGGAACCAGCCACTCTCTCCGCTAGGCCCTCGCGCAACCGACCAGCAGCGGAGTTTTGCAGCCGGTCGCACTGCTCCGGCCATTTCCTCGAATCCTCGGTCGGAGATTTACAATGCTGAAGCACCCACGGCGGGTATGGCATATGCCTTCCCGGACCCGGCCGTGGCGCGCTCAAGCTCTGTCAGCTCGAAGGGAGAATCCAACCCTGCGTTTTCCCGGAAGGGAAGTATGGCGGAGTCTATGAATAGCATGTACTCGGAACGGATGCCACGAGGTCAACACGGTAAGAACCTGCGCAAGACATCCTGCACGCGCAATACTAACAATCTCCAGACCTACCCCAAAATGTACACCACCACCACTCCCTCCAACACAAGGCAGTAAGAGAGTTGATCGGCGAAGAAGACGGTCCGCCCGGCAGCACACCGTACAGCCGTACGCCCGAACTGCGCGTAACGCACAAACTAGCCGAGCGCAAACGGCGAAGCGAGATGAAAGACTGCTTCGAAGCGCTCCGGCTGCGTCTACCGCCCGGGCAAACCAACAAATCCAGCAAATGGGAGACGCTCACACGGGCAATTGATTACATAGCAATGCTGGAGAAAACCGTCGCGCAATCGCAGCGCGACCGGGCCGTTATGCAGTCCGAGATAGATGAGATGCGCGCTCAGCTCCAGCAAGCCAACGGCGTCCCCCGCCCCATGTTCGACCACCACCAAATGAACTCCCAGGTCAATGGCCAGGGCCCCTACAACGGGTTCGGCAATGCCGTGACCCAGGAGCAGCCGCGTACGCTACCGCCTCTTATGAACGGCTCCAGTGCGCCTATGCAGGGCATTGAGTATGAGCGACGGTAGCGACGGCAGGTGGCGTGAGGTGCGAGGAAAGCTCAAGCTGTGTATGAGATATGACTAGTCACGCAAAACCTATCATCAACGACTTCGTTTCTGACTTTCTCTTGGTATCATATATCCCTCTATAGATGCGATCCCCATTCGACTGGCGACTTCGGGGTTGGTTTATACTGATTTTTTCCTGGATCTCATGGAGTGGTCTCTTTTTTCCTCATATTTTGTTATTCATACCCGCAATTGCTTTGCTTTGCTTTTTTTTTTTTTCTATGAGGCCACTCTGCATGGAAGATAGGGGATATGGAATACGAACATTGAATAGCTGGAATGGCTGGAATATGGATATCCATGTCTATTCAAAAGCATCTATACGTGGAATATGACATCCATCCTTGGAATATGAACAGTAGCACGAAAATATGTTTCAGACTTCAAATCGTATGTATTACAATTAATCTAACTGGAGATCTATTTCTGTCCTTCCACTAATTGGCCTCTCGAAGCGCCCGCCCCCGGCTCGGCGCGTAGTGACTGGCCTCAGTCTGACATCTCGTCCAATCCATGCCCTTCATTTCCTCTTCCCCTGGTGATCTCTCTGCCAGCCGTCCAATGACGGACCTCAAAGATGCAGCACGGAGCTACCTGCAGCGGGATGTCTGGGATCGCTGCAGAAATTCCCCAGCGCCGATGATCATTGGCTGGGTTGTTTATAGCTCGAGCTGTGCTGTAAGTGATCGGGCTGGGCTCTTCTGCACTGTGATGATGCAGAAATAGACCTTGAAGATTTAAATCTCGGGCTTTCCTATTTCTTTGTCGTTCTTTTGTTCTACATCTGACTCAATCGACTCTATTCAGCGCTATTGTGTATTGTTGCCTTCATTGTTTTATTTGCTATCATATTAATAGACACCCTCTTTGTTTGTCTTCCTACACTTTCGTCCTTTCATGCTTTCCTGACACATGGTATGTACACCTGAGTCCTCTCATTTCTGCAACTAACATGACACAGTCAAGTCTACTGAACTATGTTCAAACGAAAACCAGACCTCCAGGTCCCAGTACCAAACTTCCCACTATCATCGCCGATCAGCGAAGAAATCCTAAGTCCCTCAGGCTCCTCCGAAGATCAGGAAGAAGGAGACCGACCCTTTACATTTCTATCTAAGGCAACGCGACAAAAGCTCGAGGCGAGGAGCGCTAAAGATGGGAATCGCTCGTCCGTTTCCGTCCGCGAAAGCTCGAGACTGAATATCCGCATCACTAAGAAGCGCAAAAGCGTCGGGAAACCACTCGGCTTGAATCTGGTTACGGATTTCAGCTTGGCGCCGGCGCCGAGGAAACAGTCGATTCCGGATACAAATGCGGCTGCGCCCTTTGTCGATCTGAATGACCTCAAGCTGCTTTCCAAAGTGCGGGAGAAGGAACGCTCGGCTCAGAAGTCAAGGGAGATCTTTAAGAAGAGGACTTCACGGGGCTTTCAGCGGTTATCTGAGACGGTGCAGAGTCAGAACAGCCATAATGAAACTGGAACGTTCCTTGCTGCCAAAGATGAAGATACGTTCCACGATAGACAGCAGCATGTAATCTCACCCTCAGACCGCCATGTCATGATCGGACTCACTGTGCCTCGCAGCGAGTCGGTGGAAAGATCACAAGAGCACGACGGTGCAGGCACGCCGCTCACACCCTCGATTATCGTCACGCCAGCGAGAGGAGATGCACCATGGAACGCACACTCAAACTCGAGCACCGAGATGCTCCGACCAAGAGCAACATCAAGCATCTACTCACAGCCCACACCCCGTCTCTGGCAATATGAAGCAGACGTGCCACCCGTGCCAGCCATCCCCGCCCAGCACTCAGCTGCTACCAAAACCCCTATCCCAGAGACCGGATACCACAATACACTAGGCGTAGATCGGAACGCGCGCGCCCTGTCAACAGCCTCAATCTGGGAAGATGCCAGTCCACCCCGGACACCAGAAACAGTACGCCCGCCCCCAAAGCACCAACAAGGCCGTCTCAGCGTCAACACCCAAGCAGACGAAAACAGACCCTATTCACAAGGCTGGTGGACATATCTCCTCTCGCCTCTTCTAGGCCGGTCCATAAAATCCCCACTCAGCCCATCTTTCCCACAAGACTCACCCTCAACCCCATCAACAACAACAACCACAACCCGCCCAGGCCCGAAAGAATGGATCCGGCGCGAGAAAGAAATCTCCTGTTTCTCACCAGATACACCAGAAACCGCCGCACCGACCGGGGAAAAGGCATTCGAGATATCCCGATCCTTCGAACCAGAGCAATATCAATACCAAGCTCAAGCTCAAGCCCAAGCCCCCGAACGCCATCAATCCCCACCACCTGCATACGTCTCAAACGTCTCAACCAGACACAACACCATGTCCTTCATGTTCAGCAACAACCAAACAATCCAAGGCGAAGCCGCCGAGTACTACCAAGCCTGCGCACACGAGCTATTTAGCAAAACGCCGTACTTCGCATGCGTCAACCACGTGTGCTCGATAACGCCCGCGAACCCGGGTTCGATGCCAGCGGGTGCTACAAACGGGACTGAAGATGGTAGTCGAGAACTTGCGTTTGCAGATGGGGAGCCCGGAGCTGATCTTGAAGGGACGCGCGGAAACCAGACTCCAGTTCCGTCGACGACATCGACGAAGAACACAGGCCTGCTTATTGATATTGACTCGCCTCGTTCGCGGACGTCGACGATTCCGGCTGGGTACGCGGTTCGCGCGAAGGAGGTGCAGGTGTTGTCGCCGGCGTCGGAGTTCAGTTCGAATTCGTGGGATTCGTCCGTTGTTGATGAGGATGGGGATGAGAAGGGGTCTGTGGCGGCAAATAGTGCTAGGGATGGTGTTTCTGGGTCTCGGTGTCAGTGTGGTGCTTCGCATCCTGATCCTGTTCCTGTGCCTGTTGCGGATCCTGTTGCAGCGCCTGTAGAGGTGACTGACAGACAGGTCCAGGAGCCGGCGCCTGCACCTGCACCTGCGCCGGCTCCCGCTCCGATTCCTATTCCTATGCCTGAGCCAGCTCTTGCACCTGCCCCTGCGCAGGCTTCTGCGCCGGCTCCTGTTCCTGAGCCAGCTTCCGCTCCCCCTCCTGCCCCTCTTCCTATGCCTGAGCCAACTCCCGCTCCTGCTCCCCAGATAATCACTAACATCTCACCCCCTGTTACTAATATCCATTATACTTCGCCTGCACCGCAGCCTCAGATACAGCCTGTGCAACCAGCAGTGCAATATGTGCCGATCTTCGCACCGCAGGCTGCACCAACGGAGCCGATATTGCAACAGCCACAGCCGCAGCCGCAGGAAATGTCGCGAGGAATCGAGGATCCGATGGTCCAGCCACCCCCTCAAGTCGCAACACCGAGGTCAGAATGGCCATGGGGACAACGAGGACCGCAAGAGCAACCACAGGTTCAACCGCCATCTACCCATCAACAAGCTTCTGATTTTGAATGGGCATATGGACAAGGACAGCCACGAGAACCTTCTGTTACACAAGGATCTTCTAGGGGATCTCATGTGTCAAATGGACAAACTCCTCCCCAGACACGACAGGCAACTTATGGTTATGCAAACCAGCCTCGAGGGCCACTTGTTATCCAAGGACGGCAATCTGGGTCTGGGTGGCCGTTTAGTGCAAGCGCACACCCTCACTCGAATGCACCGCCTGTACCGCCTGTACCACAAACCCAGCCTACTGTTCGACGCCAGGCGTCCTCGGCTCAGGATCGCCAGCATGTGTCTGACGAGCCGCAAGCAGAACGAGGATTATCTGAAGGATCTGAACTCGCCCCTCAACGACCTTCACATGCTTCTGAGCCTATCTCTCCCGGTTTCCAGCGCGCCGCGGGCGGACCTGGCTCGATACCAATGTCGGATATGGAGGCACCGGCTCCTGCATACACGCAATATCCTCGAGAAGCTGCTCTACCCCATCGCTATGATACGCAGCCAAGCTACAATCAAGATCCTGCAGCTGGAATTACGAGCGTCAACCCAAGCGGCGCCATAGGACCCCATGAGGCTCGACGCCGCAGACTGGAAAAGGAAGAAGCCACCGGCCGAAGGGTTTGTGGTTTCTGGCGTGGCCGGGGTCCATTCAGCAAGAAAACGGGACGTCCAGGGCGCGAGGGTCGTACTCGACGGAGATGGTATTTCCTGATCTGCGTTTTCTTGTTCATTATCGTGATCTTAGCTACTGTTCTATCGATCACCCTAACAAGGAAAGGAGCCGATACTCCCGTTCAATCACAGTGGCTGAACCTAACAGGCTATCCGCCCATGCCGACTGGCATTGCAACACTCGCTGGGACGCAGCCACAGCTTGAAAGATCGACCTGCATCACTCCCTCCTCGATGTGGAGTTGTGCTTTGCCCAAAGGCCAGCAGAATGCCAATGAGCCGTATAATGCGAACCAGCCAAATTTCCGTGTTTCCATCCGCTTCCGCAATGGCACATACGATAACAGTACCACGGTTAGCTCGAATATACGTGTTAGGAGTGATAACCTCTTCAATTCATCCCCGGCAGCCCCAAGCGATGCAGAGCAGAGCTTCCTCGGCCAATACACAGACAACAATGCCGCACCCTACGCCGGCGAAGAAACCCCCTTCTACATGTCCCTCCTCTCACCAGTCTCCCTCTCCTCGGCAAGCATATTCCGCCGCTCAGACAGCACCAACGGCACCGCATACCCGAACATCTCATCGATAATCCCGGCACCGGAAGAAAACGCAGACGGAACCCCATCCGCAGCAATGCTGTACCCACTCCCTTCATCCCAGCCAATCCGCCTCTACAACCGCGGTCTCGCAACCGAGCACTACGGCTTTTACAGCTACTTCGACAAATCCATATTCCTAACCTCTCAAACGAAATCCTCAGCCGCGGACACAAACGGCGGGAGCACAAAAGCCGACGCACGCTACCGATGCACATGGTCCCAAACGCGGTTCCTCGTCCAAGTCTGGACGCAACCAGATAAAATCGGCCGCCAACTCCTCCCACAATCCAACAGCACAGCAAATAGCACCGCCACCTCCTCCGCAGCACCGACATCAACATCCACTAACACCCCTACATCTTCTTCCTCCGCAACAGACTTCTCCCGGCCAGGCTCATTTCCATACCCGGTAACCATAACCGTGGACCGGCACGGCGGAGCCGAGAAAAAGAAAATGGTATACTGCTACCCGCTAGAAAACGACGGGCATTACAATATCACTGCCGTGCAGCTGCAGCTCGAGGACCGCTCTATCGGCGGCAACCTTGTTAATCCGGCTGCGGGACTATTCAAGGGTCTTGATGAGACGAAGAATGCTACGACTGAGGTGTACGGCGGTGTTGATGGTGGTGATGGGGGGTGTGGGTGTCAGTGGGTGAATTGGATTTCGAGTGTGTAGAGACGAGACAGCGACCGTTTGATTTGGAGGCCTTACTTTTCTTTATCCTTGTTGGTGTACGTTGCACTGATTCTGATGGTGCTTGGGTGGCTTTCTGTTCATTTCTTGCGAAAGATGAGACTCGACTTGTAAAAGTGTTTATATATAGGTGTGTCTGGCCAGTTTAAAATTCAAAATCATAAGTCATAATGCAATTTTCAAATTCAAAATCATGAATCATGGTCTAAATTTATAATCTCTTTGACCCGGCAAATCTACGGTACAATCACCGCACAATCTATTGTTATCTCGTAATCTCGAAAGTAGCCTTCCAGGGTACAGGGTTGTTCAAACCATGGATCACACACACACAAAGCAGTTACATAAAAGCCAATCTGAAACCTTGATCAAGCCAATCTCCGTCCATCTGTGGATATTTACTCGCGAACCTTTAAAGTAAACGTAAACCCTAAAACAAAGCCATACGGCCGAGAATCGTGCCATTCGACCCTGCAGGGACGACTAAACTGCGTTCTGGGCTTTTATCAGATGTACGAGATGTATGACCAGGGCTGTTCTTTTGCCACTTGGGATTATACTTTGAACTGTAGGCTTGGCTTTTGGTGTCAGGCTGGGATATGGCCCTAGGCCTTAGACAGGAGCCTTAGTTTTTTATGCTCTGGTGGTGAAATACATTATGTTTGTGTTGATTGAATATATTCGAGTTCATCTTTATACGTTCACGTAGACAGACAAGTTCGAGAAGTAATAACCGTAAACATTCTTTTGAATTAGAATTATAATCATATTAGGTTCTGGTATATTACCAAATAACTCATTGCTAAACACAAAAAAACCAAAAACCAAAAATCATATCCTCCAACGCCTCCCTAGACACCCCAGTACTCCTCCCACCTTCTAATCTAATCATATCTCTAACCAGAAGGCAGTTCCCAGACAGATATCGAAAAAGACAAAAATACACCCAGTAATTAGAATAACCAATCACCAACATTAAGAGACAGCCATTTGAACATTAAGACGTTTATGCAAGCAGCATAATGGTACCGTAGACCATGCTGCCAATAACAGCGCTAATGACTCCGATCTGGGGAGCGGTAACCTTGGAGCCAGGGCTGGAGAGGCTGTAATCGTTCGTGCTGTCGGAGCCAGAGGTAGAGACAGGGCTGGAGGGACTGGCACCTTTGCCGGCGCCAGAGGTGGAGCCAGAGCCGTTGACACCACCAGAACCGACAGAGCCAGAGCCAGAGCCTTCGATACCAGAGCCGGAGCCAGAGCCGGAGCCAGAGCCAGAGCCAGAGGGGGAGGTGCCGGAGGCTGAGGAGGGGGCTCTCGAAGAGGCGGAGGCGGGGGTCGAGGGGGAGGG